CATTAAAATCATTTACTCAAATATAATTTTATAGAATCTATTTTCATAAGTCCTCTAATAATATGTTATATAGCTGTATCTATCTTATATAAATAGAAAGAATCATAAATAATAATTCATATACTACATTGTGTTATAATAATATTACATTTAAGAATTGCTCATAAATTTGCATTTGGTATTACTTCTTTATCAATTTTATTTTATTAAATTACTATATTAAGTGCACTGTTCAATTTAATTTTAATTTTTTGGAAGATTTCAGCTGAAAATGATAAATTTATTTTCTTTACTTTTTTTATATCTTCTCAAGTAAAATTATGATAAATTTTAGTTATTATGGTATGTTGTTGAATCTATGTTTAAGAGAAAAATACAAAATATAATATAACAATTTTGTAATGGGTCTAATAAATCTTATTTAGTTTAATCTATAGAGTATTTTATTAGTGAGTAGTCTCAAAGCATAGAATTATTAATCCAATTAATGATACATAAAAACAATTGTATTGATATTCTATGTCCTTGCAAGGAATGTTAAATATTAGATATAGATAGAATAACATTGTTAAAAGGTTAAAAAAAAGAAAAAAGACAAAAGAAATTTATTTTAAAAAAATGGATTCTTCATCTTTATAAAATTCAATTTAAAAGCAAACAATAAAAATATTTCAATCAAAAATAATATGATATGATTATTTTAAATTATATATCATTTCAAAGATTTTACCTTGAAAATCATGTTTTAACTTGTAAAACTATTTATTAGTGTATTGAGGTAAAAAAGTAAATTTAAAATAAATAAAACAAATTTGATGTTACAAATACTATATTATATTTAATATGGCAAAAATGCAGAATAAAATTAATGAATTAATCATTAAAATAAATTAAAATAAGTCAATAAGAATACTTCATAATAACTGATATCAATATTTTATATACATTAGGAGATTCAATAATTTAAAGTCTATAAGAAGTCCTTATTTCTCAAAAAAAACTATGGGAAGATTATTAAAAAAATGAATTGATAAATTTTGATTAATTATTAAAAGCTGTTGAATAAGTGTAGAAATTAAAAAAATAATCATAAAAATAATTTGAAGAATATTAAAATTATAGAAATTAAACTAAAGAAACAATCTATTCTTTAAAAATTAAATTACTATATTATTTAATAATATATCAGGATCTTAAAATAACTTTAAAAATTTAATAATAATTAAATGAATTTGAATAAGCTTATCAATATGATAATAATTTTAATGATTTTAATAATTTATCATTCCTTACAGGTTAAGCACTCTCAATTATTTCTAATATTAGCCCAGAACACTAAGGTAGATTAGAATAAAAAATTACTCCTGAATTTAAATAATTTTTTGGATTTCATGAAACAGATGGATAAATATTTACACATATAAAGGATTTAATGCCACATAAACTAGGTGATGTACATTCTGGATTGGTAGAAAACTTCTTTTTTAAAGGACAAAGTGATAGAATAAATAATTCTTCACTTGCATTCATTTTAAATAAAAGAAACTTGATTGAATAAGTTAAGTTATGTTTAAGTTATTTTTTTCCTGTAAATCTAAGAGAATTATCATTCTACATGATAGCTCATATATAAAAGACTTCTAAAATTGAACAAAATTTGAAGGATTAAAATTTAAAAGGACATTTACTTTTAGATAAAGAATTTAAGATATTTGGAATGACATAAAATATTTATCAAAAATTAAATTACAAGTATTATTTCAAATAGAATTAAGATGTTGAATTAATTACTCCTGAAGAAATTTATAATAATTGTAGTATATTTAATATTATTCCTTAATTATAATAAAATTTATAGAATTATTATGAAAAAATGTAAGGAGGCTATTTGAAAGAAAATGAAGTAATTTTTGTTAAAGAAAAAAGTCTTATGAAAATCAATATTTAACCAAAATAATAATAATAATAATCAGATTTTAAACGATTGTCATTAACCAAACTAACAAATAAAAAACTACTTCATCATGTAATTGAATAAACGATGATGGTTTAAAATTCACTAATTTAAGATTAAAATATTAAATATTATCCAATAGAATATACTGTAACTTAAAAGATTTTGCATCCATATAATAGTGAATAAAATTTAGAATCTTTTTTATATTATTTAATAGATATAGAATTTTTGGAAGATTTTAATTAATAAATAGATCAAAACTTAAAAACTAAATAATAATTAAAACAGTAACAAGTTAAATTTAAAAATGTTGACTTTTAAAGAGAATCAACATTATAATAATATTAATTTGAAAGTGTTAATCTTATAACAAGTGATAAAATGATATCTCATAATGGAGAAGAATAATAAATGATTTAAGAACCTCCTATTAATAATAATAGAAGAAAATCTTAAATGAAATTTATAGAATTTTAACATCATCTCCAAGAAATTTAAAGTTAAAATTCTTCTATTCTAAATATTCCTAATCGAGTTCATAAATTTATTGAATTTCTCTAAGATAATCACTATCCTTAAATATTTAAAGCTACTTATGGGATAGTATCAATTCATTTATTGATTACAATATTTTCAATTGCATTAATATGTGTTGTTTATTATTTAAAAAAAGTTATATAATCAAATTGTATTATACATAGCACAGAAGATGTTAATTATTTTAATGGTTATAGTGCTATATTGTCTGGATCTAGACATATTATATTTAATTCTAATTTTTAGACTCTTATAGATCCTATCAATATAAAAGTTAATGATGGAATTATCAATATTACAAATAAAGATAGAATAAATATATCATGGGATATATTAGTTTAAGGATCTTAAGGAATTATTGGAAAATTTTATAATTATTCAAAAATTCTATTAAGTTATGAAGATGTATCTGTTAATTTCTATTACCCTGATTTTTCTAATAAAAAAGTGTTGAATTAACAATTAAGAAATTTTGCAACTCATTATACAATATTATATTAAGAACTTTATTTAACATTTTAGAATGATTTATCCCTAAACACATATTTATCAAATAAAAATGAAAGCAATATAGAGTATTTAAAATTTTAAATTTTAGATTAAGAAATAGATATTTTTTATATTTTAATTATCAAGACATTATATCTTTAGTAAGTTAATCTCTTTTTGATTGTGAAGAGTATAATGATAAAATAAATGAATAATATGATTAATTAGTTTCAATTATTTTTGTATTATTATATTGTTTAGCATTATTATTTGGTGTATTTCATGCTTTAGCAATTTTAAGATTAAAAAAAGTAATTTAAATTTATTTAAATTAATTTGTTACTTTAGAATTTGATGAATGTGAATTTATTATAGAATCATATTAAAGATTATAGGATAGTATAAATCAAGATAATCTTTTGGTTAAACAACATAATTTTGATTAAATTAAATAAATTCCTACTAATATCCTTACATTAATACAATTTTAAGAAACAAAATAGATTGTTATGTTGATAGATAACAATTTAAATTTGAATAATAAAAATAGATCAACAATGGAAGCCAAAAAAATGTTTTATAATTCTCCAACTTTGTCAATTAGAAAATATATAATCTTATATTTTATTTTGGTTATTTTAAAAATTAGTTTCTCTATTGTTTTTCAAATATACTATGATTATGTTTCTTCAGGAATAGCTCCTGTAGCAAAAAGAGAAATATAAGCTTAACTTATGAGATTAAATTTTATAATTACTATTAATATGTGGGATACTTATATGTTAAAACAATTTTATAACTAAAATAATGATTTAAATTATTCAAATTAAAATATAATTAATAATTAATAACTTTTTAGTTTATTGGAAATTGATAAAACATTTTTATTGAATCAAATTTAACATTTGTAAGCATATGATTTAACTGATTTATTATATAGAAATGCTTAAGAGCAAAACTAAAATCTATTAATATCAGAAAATAATAAATAGATATTAATTGGAAAAGATGTTTGTTTATTAGTAGGTTGTAATATGAGTTTAGATTTATTACAAAATAGATTATTCTCTGATGTTTTGTAAGATTATTATTAAATTGGACTCATATAATTAATTAAAAATACTTTTTAAGTGATTATTGAATATAATTATTTAATAACTGATGATACATTAACACCTGAACAAAGAACTTAAGGAATATTTTAAATGCATAATTCTAATAATTATCTTTTATACATTTTTTATGGTCTTGATGCTACCTAATATTAAATTTCTTGGTTTTGTTAATATTTTTTAAATTTGACAATCTCTACATTAAATTAATTGACTTAATCAAATATTATTTACATTTTAATATTTGGTATCCCTCTGTTACTTTTAACTCTATTTCTAGAAATTTATGTAATAATGAACTTATCATTGAAATATGATTTAGGGAGAGAAAGTATTAGATAGATTCCTTTAGAAACATTATTTTAAAAAGGAATACCCAAAAAATTATGTTATCTAATGAGGAAATATAAATGAATATAAATTTAGAAATTATATATATATATATATATATATATATAATTTTAATATATAAAAATGGCCATGGACAACAGTAAGTTTGAATAAATGAGCAAACATTTCCCAAAGTCATTGAAGTTTTCATTAAATCCAGTTTATTATGGGGCAAGAGTTGGAATTCAAGCATACTTAGGATTATTGGTTGGTGGAACTTTGGTAATCTACCTAAACACATTCAATGGAATTACATTCCCATATTTATATAAGAGAGTAAAATTTAGATTAAAATATATAATAGCAAAAAGTTGAATATCAAGCAGTACCAGATTTTTATTCAAAATAAGTATTGCTCTATTAAAGAACAGTGCCAAATACAGTGACTCAATTGTGAGAATATATAATTGAACATTATTAAAATATTAGTGATAACTAAATATTCAATTATCTTATTCTGAAAGGATTAATCTAAATAATAAAAATATTATTTATAAGATCATGGTATAAATCATACTCAAACAAATAACAAAAATCCTTTTTCTATGGCTTTTTTGTACTATTCACTTTAAAGTTGATTTTTTGACAATTTTTTGGCATAATGAAGTGGTGCTGGTAAATAAGTGGTAGAACTCAAATCAAAATTTAAGAAAATCAAATGATAGTATAATTATGCTATTTCTTTTGTATTGGCTGAACTAATATTTAATTATTATGCTTATAAACATCCTTATTCTCCTCTTTAAGAATGGAATGAAAATCTACCTTATTTTTCATTGATAGGAATTATACAACCTACTTAAGGGTTTTTACAATAATAAGATTCACTAGAATAAGATTATATATATTTACAAATTCCTTTCGAAATAAGTGAAATATCTTTCTGCTATAGCATCTTTTACTTATACCATAATAATTTCAGGCTTTAAGATTTATTATGCTAATCCTTAATCTTTTATTAATTAAATTACTCCTTGTATTCTTTATTCCATAATTTGTGTATAATCATCTTCTGCAAATACAATAACTTAATTTGCTAATATTTTATGTGTGGCATAATAAGTTGCTAAAAGAAGTGTAAGAATTTAATCTAAATCTCCAAAAGAGGATATATATTTATTGAGATATTTATTAATACTTAGACATGCAGAAAAAGAATTATCGGTTTTCCAAATACCTAAGACAGCACTCCTTTTATTATTAATTAATCCATTAATTTCTTTAATAGACCAAGGTACACTACCAAGATTAGCAGTCATCATTGCTAATAATCTATTAATCTCTTAATCTTAAATAGGAAGGATAATAATTTAATTAGGAATAGCTTTTTATAATAAAGTGATTCTTGCTTATACAAAATCTGTATTTGAATCTCCAACAAAAAGTACATAAGCATCTTCAGTAACATATTTTTCTATAATTTCATTCAAATTATTATTTATATCATAAATTTAAGGTTATGATATTTTATATTATCTAGATTTAATAAAAGCATCAAATTTTTCTAAAAATTATTTAAAATTATCTCTAAGTTCAATTATTTCTCTAGTTACTAAAATCATTAATTTATTAATAGTCATAGATGTTGTAAATGTAGTTGGATTTTTAAGAAAAAAATCACTATAATAATATTCAAATTCACTTGATGTTCTAGATGCTACAATTTAATATATTGATTTAGTTGAATTATTTAATACTAAATTTCCAGGTTCTAAATATTATTATTTGAATTCAACTTATTCATTTCTAATTATAAATTTATATTAATTTAAGAATTAAATAAAAGATGTACTATTATTAATAATTTTATTCCAATATTCTAATTATTAACAATAAATAGTAACATCTTATTCAATATAATCTATTTTCAATTCACAAAATTCGGCAATTAAGAATTATTTCTTTATATTTTATGTATTATATGTTTCTAAATAGACATTTGATTTGCTTCTTAATTAATATTTCTATTTAAAGTAGTCTTCTAAACATAAACCTTTATATGTGAACTCTTAATCAAACACAACTGATTTAATTTAAACAATCATTTTTTTTTCAGGATATCTCAATAAAACATATTTATTCTTAAAATATGTAGATGGATCAGTATTATTTAAACTTTTAATAATTTGATAACAATTATGCATAGTAAAATAGGATTTACGAACATCCATTAATATTGATGGTTATTCTCTATCCATCAATTAAAATCTTAGAGATGGATATGATTTCAATTGATTTACATATTGTAATTCAAACATATTAATTATACCCAAATCTGATAATTTTGAATATTCTAATAGATTCATTGCTTCTTTAATAATGGCCATTATTATGTCTCCTCTTTCAGATCTATTAATTTTATATTCTGGCAATTCCAATTTTTTTGGACTAATAATCAATCCATCCTTAAAGCTAATGGTATTCGTAGTCTTATTGCCATAATAGATATAAATTTCATCCAAAAATTCAGTCTCATAAATATTTGACCCCACAACTATTGTACCACTCATTTTATTTATATATTTTCAATTACATTTAATAACTAATCAACTAATGGTCTCTTCTCTATCTCTTGTTACCAACACCATCTTATTATATCATCCATCAAAGATTTAGATTCGATCTTAGGTCTTACAGCTTTATTAAGACATTCCTAAATATTTTATAATTGTAATCCTTCAAAAGGTATTTTCTTTTCAAACATCTCATACATTATCATTCCAACACTGTAAATGTCTCCTTCTTAAGATCCACTCACAACTAAACCTCTTTGTTAAATTAATTCTGGAGCTGTAAATCCTGATTTATTTGTGTAAAAATGCAATAGAGATTAATATTTCTTTATTCCAAACAGACCAAAATCAACTAGATATATAAATATATTATATATACTAATTTTAACTAAACCATTTGATTTAATCATTATATTTTCTGTTGTTAAACTTCCATGACAAAGACCTTATTTGTGTAAATAACTAAGTCCATTTAAAAGTTAAATTAAAATCTTAATCTTTTCTTAAATTGATATCTAATATTAGATTAAATAAGTATGTAATGAATATTCATAAAATTTAATTAAAAATACTACCTTATTATCAACTATATTAAATCCATTAATATGATAAAGATGTTAATGATTTAATTAATTTACTTATTATATTTCCTATTTTATTTATTCAATTAAATAAGATTACAATTATTTAAATTCAATTACTCTCATCCCATAATTTTTTTATTATATTTGACATACAATTATATATCCTAATCCATTTGATTTTTATCGCTTTATTTATTAATTAATATTTTATTTGATAATCTAATTGTAATCAAATTAAACTAATGTTCTTTCCATTCCTGAACTCTTCTAATTTTTTAGTAATTATTAATCCATTTGATGCTCTGAAACTGTACTCATTGTAATATTTTTATTTCCCCAAAATATTGTAAATGTTTATTATCTTAATGCCAATATAAATGGAAATATGTTAGTCAATAAAAGATCAATTATAAGTATTGAAATATACAATAATAATTAATTTTGACTCAATTATTATGAAAAGAACTTTTCTATTCTATCCTAATTTTCCATTAATAGAAAATTACTTATTATTTGAACAATTCTAAGGATTGTCCAATACAATATTAATTTCTATAATCTATTTGAATTATTTTCTTATTTTGATGATTTAAATGGAGATCCAGAATATTTATATTGTAAATATAGAGATGTTATTATAAATTAAACAGGTATAGATACATTAATACCAATATTTATATAAAATAATACCTTTGCATCTATATAATCAAAATTATATAACAACACAACAATTAATTAAGCAATTCCATATACATAAAAAATGTCTTTCATTACATCAATTAACATATTTGGATTATATGGAAGTTCATCTAATTATCCAATATGCAAATGTGAATCATAATGCAAACATACTACTGTCCAAAATAATGATTAATAAACTATCCAAAATAATCCATCAGGTACATATATTGTATTTAACAGCTATTTTTCAATGCTCAAAATATACTCTTCTGTAGTTTGTTATTAAAAAATCTATTTTACATTTGTAAATGTACATCATATAAGTACAAAGCCATATTCAACATATATGCCAAACAAGAAAATACAATAGATAAATAAAAAATTTTTCCCAAGTATTTTGTTTTCTTTCCCATTTTACAATATCTAATTCCACCAAAAAAAAATATAGTTGTGTAAATCATACCCAAAACTAAAAAAGCTATTCCTAAAACGAATTCACTTTAACTATTTTATGCATATCTCATTAATAATATTATTTTAATTATAAATAATAATCAAGAAAATATACTATCATTGAAAATATCATACATATATAAACAATTATATCAATATTCTTATTAATTTAAATATATAGAAAATATTTTTAAATAATATTAATTGTTAAACTCCAAAATGAATTATTATAAAATTTATCTATATATATATTTATTTATAATAATTATCAAGGTATTATAACGAGTATTTTCAATTATTATTTTTAATATTAATATATTGATATGTCAAAATTGTAAAGATGTGCAACAGCAGGAGCCCTTGAAGCTAAAATGACACATTATGCTCCAGATGGAACTGGTATTATTATTAAAAAATATAATAAGGTAGGGATTCTTATGTTACTTTATAAAATGGAGGAATTTGGAAAGAAATTTAAATTTAGTGTGTACATCCTGAATTAGGAACCTTTAGCAAATAAAAACAATGGAGACCTCCTGCTCCTATGATGGTACCAAAATTTAGACACTATTAAAGTGATGGATCAGGAAGAGATAATTATGTAATGTAATTTTTCATTTCATATATTCTAGTGCTGATGAAGGAGGATTAGCTCCATCATCTAAAAAATTTCAAAGAAAGACTAATTTCTTCACATCTTTAAGAGATTATGAACCTTGTCCTCCAATACCTTAATAGGATTGTTTTAGATTGGCTTAAACTCCAAGTGCATAATCTTTTAAATAATTCTTAAAAACTCAATAATTAGCAACTTAATAAAGTGATATGATACGAAGATTAAATGTTCCAAAGAAATCTGAAGATCCATATAAAAGAATAAGAAAGCTTTCAGCTCCATTTTATAGAAAATGATTAATTGTTATAGGCTAAATATATATATATAAATAGATATTGTTATACTATATGGATAAGACAAATAATTATTCTTCATATAAAAAGATAATAATTCAGTTAATTTCCATTTAAAAAATAAATTGGTATCTCTTTTCTCAAATCATAATCCTGGTCAATCTCAAAATTATATTATTTAAATCCACCTTACAATAAATCAAATTTATTAACATTCATTTCAATTTTAAATACACTTTTTTTATCATTTAATATTGGTTATTTTATTCTACAATAAACAAATTAAAATATTAAAATTGATGAATTTTCATTTGCAATTCTATTTTATCCTTATCTCATATTGCAACTTGTATATTTCCTAATAATTTTTCCTGATTATTATAATCTAATATAAACAAATTTCATCTTATAACCACAACTTTATATCACCAAAAAATTCTTATAATTAATTTAATTGGTTATCTCGAAATCATGATTCATCCATCTTCTTAATACTCTCTTATTTTATACATTCAGAAGATATTAATAAAGGCCACAACTATACATTGCATAATTTAAATCTAACATATGTAGATAGTCAACTTCATTGTATATCTGTAATTTATGTTAGAATTCATTTTTTGGAGAATAAACCATAATACTATTATTAGATAACTGTAGACTAATATTATTATCTGTATCAATTGATATTAAGCGTTCACTCTTCAATTTTATTATCTATATTTTATTTATTTCTTAAACATTGATTATACTCAAACTTTCTGTATCCAAAATAACAAATAAACTTGAATCAAAACTAAATTAAAAAGAAATAAGAGAGCTATCTACCTTCCAAGATTTTGAATATAATTCTTTTCCCGTTATTACATTATATAATTAAACAATAGGAAACCCTTCTTTCTCTTTAAGTATTGGATTAATTTATAATCTGATTGCTATTAAATATTGATTTGGTGAGATAAGACTATCATTGACTCTGACTGAATAATTTTTTATTTAAGGTGTATTTATTGGATGCTTATGAGCAGACACTTATTTATTTGCAAATAGATTTATATCAGTAAATTCTGTATACTAAATTATATTTAATAGTATTACTTAAAGTTAAATTGATTATAATTTACATTAATTATTGATTTTTAAATAATTTTATTTTCATTCATATGAAAATTATTTTGATATTATATAATGTATTCTTATATTACTTTATTAAATAATTGAGTTTCATATATAATCTACACATTTAGTTATTATTTCTATCAAAATTAAAAGATTAATAATAATACTCAATAAATTTTGATCTTTTTTTAATTTAAACCATTAATCTTCATTATTTTGACAAATAAATCATTACTCCTGATTTTTAAAGATATATTTTAAAAGATAATACCCTTAAATTAAAATTTTAAACTAAAATAATATTAGATTGCTAAAATTCAAAATTTATATGAAAAATTAATATAATATTATCTCATTATTCATTCTAATTGGCAATGAAATTTTATTCTGTCAAAATTGAAAAAAATATATTATTCTTTTTATTGTAATTAAATTTTATTTTGCAATCATTTGTAATTAAGATTCTAATTATGTTGCACATTATTTTTAATATTTGTTTATAAATTGTTTTTTATAATAATAATAATAATATAATTAATGGAGAGGATAGATAGTTTTGAGGGAAAAGTATTTTACAAAATTTATATGCTTTGTAAGAAAAATCAGATAAATGAAGATTAAAAAGGAAAATTAAAAGGTATCTGCTCATATTGAACTAGACCTTGTTATATTAAAAGATGAAAGAATTGAAATTGCAATGAATTAATTTCTTGAAGACAGAGATGAATTTCGACTCTTAGAAAATTTTCATAATTATTCTTGTGAGGATTATTCTCCATAGAGTCTTAAGAATTTTTCAGATGATATCTCAATAGGAAGTCATAGTAAATTTAAAGGCAAAAGACCTGCTAAAATGTTATTACCAAAAAAGAAATTTATGATCAATTTAAGAAAGTATGATGTCAAAAATTATATAAAAGAGATACAGATATTACAACTAGTTCCAAAGGGTATCATTTAAGTACTGCTAGATCAAGTGATAATCGAAATACCCTTACCTTTAATGAAAGATTTGCTTAATAGAACTGGAGTGAATGTGAATGATAATAATTTATTATGTTTTATTATAAACTAACTTTAATTGAGTTAAAGAAGAAAAAAGGAAATTCAATCTAATATTAAAATTCTTAGAATTATCTACATATATATTATTATTAAGGATGTTCTGAAAATAACATTCATTATAATCTATTAATTATTAACCACTCAATTAATCTCTTAAAAATTTTGATAATTATTAAATTAATAATTAAATCAATTGAAAACCATATCTATTTACACATAGAAATGGAGGATATGAATAGATTTTAAGATAATTTACATTATTAATTTTAAAACAAAATTTTTTTACATATATCAAATATGATTTATAATACATACAGCATTTTATTTACATCATTAATCTTTTTATTATTAAAAATTCTCTAAATTTATATATTATTTTTTTAATTTCCTAGAATAAATTAAGATATTTTAATCTTCTCTTAAAATTTTTTTATTTTTAGATAATAAAATCATAAATGAGCAGTTTATTTTAATTAATTCTTACTATATTATTTCTTCTATAAATCAAATCTGTTATAAAAGTATATATCCATTCAAATTAGATCATTAAAAGTAATTCATTCTTTTCTTATGGATTAATCAATATATAAATTATCGAAATGCAACAGCAATTAGTACTTTAAGTACAAAAGATGATAATTTAAATTAAATAAATTTTATTCATTGATTCTATATTAAAAATATAAACAGCAACATTTGAAAATAACTAAAATAATGATTCATTATTTCTTGCCTTTAATCCATTAACCCTCTGTGACATTACCATTAGAATCAATAAGTTTTCCTTTACCATGTTGTTTTCCATTCTTCCATTCTCCTATATATTTTTACCCATTAGACCATGTCATTTCACCTAAGCCTTCTTTTTTGTCATTTTTGAACTAGCCTTTAATTACATAAAAGAATTGTACCTTAATAATGTTTTCCATCATCAATTAATACACCTTGTCCTTCCATTCTTCCTTCAACCCATTATCCTTTGAAGAGTCTGCCTCCATACCATTAATATTCTCCATAGCCATGAAATTTTTCATCCTAAAATTCTCCATCATAATATGATGAATCATTCCATTTAAATATTCCTTTGCCATTCTTTTTTCCATCTTCAAAAATTCCTTCAAAATAATCTCCATTTTTCCACTATATTTTGCCTTTTCCATGCTAGATTTAAAGTATAACATACAGGAAGACCAGTTTTCAATTCACCATCATAGATTCCTCCATCAGGATAGATATAAGGAGTATTAATACAACAGCCCATAATTCAAATAAAATAATCAATAAATTTGTACTTAATCAGTTTATTTTCATTTATTTACACGTTTTGAATTTACTTGACTTGAAGCTTCTAAAATCTGAATTATTAAATCATTTGATTACTATTTTGGGTTTTTTGAGATAGTTGCCAGTTAGAATATCAAAAATTGTCAAAATAAATTATCATTTTATTTAAAACTAAAAATATATTCATTCAAAAAACAACAAAATAATCAATTTTTTTAATTCAATTATGAATTATTCAACTTAATTACTTTTTTCCATAATCCCATAATTACAATTAAAGTTAGATAGTTAATAAAAAATTATTTAATTTATTTAAAATAAAGTAAATAAAAGTATTAATGATTTAAGAAATCAATAATTCCTATTATATATCTTCTTTTGATATTAATTTGATATAAAAAGTAAGATATTTGAAATGAAAGGTATTAAAGATTAATATTATTAATATTATCTTATCAAAAATTAAATTCTAAGTCTATAATAAATTATCAATCTCTAAGTTTATAATAATTCATTATATCATTATTATAATAAGGAGAATTTTCATTAGCTATTTATTTGAATCATGATTAATTACTAAATTTATATAATAATGATTAATATGAAAATTAAATGATTCTAGAATAACGTTAGCCTTATTGTCTAATACTGAAGATTTTATTATATAGAAGATTAATTAAATTTCAAAAATATATTGATAATCATTTAATACCTTTTTAATCTACTTATTTATTTCAATTACAGTTATTATAGTGGAATGTAGAGCATTATAATTGTATAATTAGTCACATAGAATATATATAGAAATATGTATATTTATATGGAGACACTCATATATTAATTGATTTTAGTAAAGACTCTTAAATTTAAGAGATTTTGTCTTTAGTTTTAGAATAACCTTAGAATGTTCAGTTAGTTTAGATTTAATTAAGAACATGCAAACACTAAATTTGTAAATAATGTCCCATTTTAATAATTATTATTATGGATAACAAATATATAGAAGAATTTGAGCATTTAGATTAAGATTAGAAAAGCCAAATGTTAAAGAACATGAAATAATTCATATCTCAATTATAGTTATAGATTTAAGATCTTGAGAAGAGTGCTATAGATATAATAATGGAGAAGGATGAAAAAATATAATAGTTAGAAGCCATGATTCAAGCAAATCATGGATCTAGACAATATAATAAAGATGATGAAATTATGCAACTAAAAAAGTAAATAATGTGTATTAACATAGTCATATCAATGAATTAAATTAAAGGATTGACGCAATCTAGATGAAACATTTTGAGTAATTATAAGAATAGGAAAGAAAGTGGAATACATACTTGTTAGATTAAATTTAATTAAGTAGTAATGATGGACAACAAGAAAAAATAGAAATGTTAGAAACTTTACATTATTTAGAAGAGAAAGTTTACTCACTTGATAGAGAAGTATAAAATTTTGATATTCTAGTTGGAAATGAAAGAGAATTAATAGATGTTTGATAGGAACACGATCAATTAGTTGACAAATATTAATTAATAGTTATTAGATGAAAGTTAAGAACTAAACTAACAATTAATAAAAATGTAGAGATAAATGGATTTAATGAAGGAACATTTTTAATAGGAGAAAAATAGTCTAGAAATGAAAATAAATGTATAAATTACAAATTATATAAGAAATAAAATATCCAAATAGCTTAAATATCAAAATAGGCATCTGCACTAAAACTTTAAAATAATAAATTAACATAGAATAATAAAGAACTATTAAATTAAATAAATGAATTGAAAGATTAATTGGAAACACATAATGAAAGTAAAGATAAAGTGCATTCTGAGAATTATTAATTATAATAGACAGCTCATTCAACTGATTAAAATTTAAGAGAAGATATAAATATAACAGCCTTTTAATTATTAGAAGATAGTTATGAAGATAAAGATGCTACAATTCTTTTAAGAAAAGCTTTAGATGAAAAGTCAGAATTATGCATATAATATGAAGAATGTCTTTGTAAATCAACAAAATAATTGAAAGAACAAAGAGCATAATTACAATTTTTATAAAATCAACTTAAACTTATAAGGAAATAATAATTTAATTAGAAGAATCTTAAAGAATATATTTAAATGTTAGAAAGTGATTATTTAGTTTCAAAATAATTATTATGTGAAAAGGCTGACAAATATTAAGAATAAGTAATATTATTAAGTTAAGAAAATTATGATCTTAAATAAAAAATAAAGTGTTTCTAATCTAGATTACATAAAAAACTTAACTGAAATATATATATATATATTATAATATTTAATATATATTATCATCTTTTCATTATTTTTATATAAACTTTATTATTGTCTGATTTATATTATCAAATACTAGTAGATACTATAAGATAATTTATTCCAGAAAATTATTATTAATAACTTATTATATAATAATTGATCAATGTAAATAATGAGATATTAAATAATAAATAATAATGAAAGGATTTATGAATCCAATATTTCATCCTGTTGATGATGAAATCACAGTTGAAGAGAGAAGAACTTTTTAAATGCCTTTATCTAATTTTAATTAGAATATAGAATTGCCAAAAGAATATGAAAGAATATTTTCATCAATCACAGACTCATCTTAACAGCTTAATGATAGCTTATTATAACCATTTGATAATTCAAAATATGAATAAACTCTTTTATTTTAGAATAATAATTGTCTATAGATTAATCATCATATCTCATAAAAGAATTAGCGACCAATCGTTAAATTTGACAAGAATCGCTTATAATAAATTCTATAAATTCTTGCTAATTATCATTAATGTAAATAGAAACCATAGAACGAATAAATAATAAATCAAAATAATAATTCAAAGAATATTAAGGTATCTTCTGATACAAAATAAATTCAATTCAACAAAATGGAAAATGTAATTAAAAACGATTCAACTCCAAAAAACCAACCTCAATCTATATAAAATGAAAATGATATAAAGTCTCATAAGCAAAGATCTTCTACTAATTATACTCCAAGAGTTGAAACTTCAGCCATTACTGTGTGTCATTATAGTTCCAAAAATTTAGATGCAAATATTAACTAGAAATAAGATGATACAAATATTATTTAACTTTTATAAAAAAGAACAAAATCTCAATATCACCCTAAATAATTGATAAAATCTTAAATCGATGATATTAATAAGAAAATCATACAATTTAAAAATCTCATCTTAAAATCTATTAAATATGATCCTTTATATGAATCAATTTAAATGTCAATAGATAAAATTATTTAATAAAATGAAGATAGTAATCTCTTACAAAAAGAAGTTGTTTATCTTAAAGATTTTACAAATTCAAAATCATTTAAAGAATCAAAATATTATATTTACTTTAATGTTTAAAAATTAATATCATTAGCTAAAGAGAAGTAAAAAAAGTTATAAATAATAATGATATTCAATAAAGAAGGTTATTCAAATGATGGTCATCAAAGTCCAAAAACAAATTGTATATTGTCTAGATAAACAACATCAGATAATATAATAGAAGAAGTTTAAGATGATAAAAAAAGATTTTTTCAATTAGTTGTAAACAGAAAACTTGAATTGCCATTTAATCATCCAAGCAAAGAATTATTACTTAATGAATTATATGAAAAAGCAATAAAAATAGGTATAAAGAAATGTGATTGGTAATAATTTATCATTAATGAATTGAAATTTTGAATAAAATATTGATTTATCAAATTATTCTTACATTTTTTAATTAATGTAGATAAATTTATATATTATTAGGTTGTTTTATAAGTTTAATAATTCTCACTATTTTTCTTTATAATATTTAATCAATATTTTTTTAATATTATGTAATCTTATCTTTAAAAATAGAGATCATTTATTATTATTATTAAATTTAGTTTATAAAAATGTTATAAGAAGAAGAAGTTGAATTGATGTTAGAATAAGGAGGAATTCCAATATCATAATTATGCAATTCAAGTGTTAATATTGATTTACTTTAATGCCCAATTTGTTTTAATATACTCTGGAAACCAATTGCATGTGGGTAAGATAGATGTTTCTCCTCATTTTGTTAATACTGCATTGAGTCATGGCTTAATTAGAAAAAGTATTTATCTTTAAAAATGGATAGTGCATAATCTACTTTTGAAGAAGAAGAAGAAACATTTGCAAATGAAAGTAATTGTCCAAAGTGTAAAAGACTGTTTATTAAGACTGAAATACCTTTGGTTAAAGTATTATTGTCTTAAATTGAATTGAAATGTGTTCATTCAGGTATGTAAATAAATATAAAAGATTGCACTTAGGTGATACCATATGAAGAATATGAAAACCATATTGTTAATTGTAAGGAAAGAAAAAAATAATGCAGAGGTTGTTAATAATACATTTTATAAAATAAACTAGAGGAACATGAGGCATAATGCTCTTAGATTCCTGTTGAATGTTAGAAATGTCATAAGAGGATGCCAAAATGTGATCTTGAGTCTAAACATGATAAATATGTAATAAATTTAATGATTAGCAGAATTGTATAGAAAACTTATTTAAGATTTAAGATTAGTAATTAGAGAATTTATATACTTAATATTTAATGTGTGATGATATGGTTAATTATTATGAAGAGAAGATTGCTAGAATGATGAAAGGAGATCTTATTATATTAAATGAGTATAACTTTTTTACCATTTTTACAGCTAATTATTAATTCACAACTGATAATTTATATATTGCAAGACTTGTAAGGTATTAAATTTAATTAAAATATTAGAAATTCATACAATTACAATAAATAAAAAAATGATTTCCTTCATTTTTATGTAGATTATCATTTTACAACAGGTTTAGAAGGTTATGAATGGAAAAGTAGAGTAATTAGATTAAGAGGTAATTTACTAATTGGTGTTTGTTCATCTTAATTATCAAATTCAGTTGATTTTATAGTTAATAGATTAGGAGAAGTAAAAAAAAAGGAGGAAAATGATAATAGATATCATATTATTAGAAAAGTTAATTTTACCTTTGGAGAAGGTGATGTCATCAGATTTCAAATTCTTCCCTTCATGTAATGCTTAAGAATCACAAATGAAACAAGACATTTGACATTTTGTTTCAATAGGAATGAATTATAAGAAATGGGAGATTAATATTTCAGTTTCTTTAGTCTTGAGTATTAAGGAGATGCTCTTCAATTTTTATGATATTAATTTTTATGTAATAACATTGCAATTTGATTCTCAACGAACGAGGAACTCTATGGTTAGGGGACTACGAGTCTGCTCTCAATTTAGTATTATGATTATTTATCTCTAAGGAGTTCCTTAAAAGCAAAGGAATTAGGACAGTCATAACAGTGGCTGCAGGATTGAACTTAAAATATGAAGGAATAGTCCATCACAAAATTGAAATATTAGATATAGAATTAACCAATATTTCTTAATATTTTCAAACAGCCAATGATTGGATAGAAAGAGGATTTAACATAGGAGGTGTATTAGGTAGCATCAATCTATTATAAGAAGTTAAGTTCATTGCATGGCAGGTGTCTCCCGATCTGCAGCTATAGTAATTGCTTATTTGATAGAGAAGAAAAAAATGACCTATTATTAGGCCTTTACTTTTGTTAAATCTAAACGACCTTAAATAAATCCTAATAAAGGTTTTACAAATTAATTAATGTCTTACGCTACAAGAAATTCTTAGCCTCCCATCCCCAAATCTTCTAGGGCCAATCATTTCCAGTAGACATAAGACTAGTTTGAGAATAATTTTTATGCACCAGTTCATCGAAAAAGTTCAGCTGGGGTTATTTAATAAAATCCTAATTTCTATAAATCTATTACTAAGTCGATGTCGTAAAGTAAAAGCAAAAACAAATGAAATTCTATGATAATATATATAACATTCGAGAAAACTGAATTTAATTAATTTTTCTTAATTATTCTAAATCTCTATACTTAAATAAAAAGGATCTATTTGTAACTAAATTACTCATTTACTATAGGTTGTGTTAGAACTCTATTTAAGAAAATCTTGATGAGGTTTAGAAACAAAAGATTTTTGTATTTTATATCTATGTTAACAAAAGATAGTTATATAAGAATTTTATATTATAAATTTATTTATTATCAAAATTTTCTTAAAATAAAATGAATTAGAATTATATTAATTAAGCATTCAATTAAAATAAGAAATAATTTATAATTTTTTCTCCTTATTTCTGAGAGCTTAATTAGAGTAAGTTTAATTAATTATATGGTATAGATTTATTTTAAATAATAATTTATTCTTACTTTGTGTAAATATCTAATTGGAGAATCATTGCACTTAGCAGTTCCTCAAGAAATTGATTGTTTTTCTAATGATTAATTAAAAAATTCTAACTTTATAATAATATTAATTTTCACATCTTGTAAATGTGCTAGTCTTACATAATACTTAGATATTGAATAATATCTTGTTATTTTTATTATTATTTTTTCTTTTTAGGATTTAGAGAATTCTTAATATTGAATTATTCAAAACAAGTATAATGTTATTTTGCAACAAGAATACATACTTTCGAACCAAGTCTATATATTTTAAATGATCAAAAATTAGAAATTATTTTCAAATAGATATAAAGCTATAATTGGAGATTTATTTTTAAATAAAAAAGATGAATCTAGTGTTTTTAGTCATAGTTAATCAAATTGCTCTGAATTAGTTCTTACTAATCCAATTTAAAAATCAGTCAAATCATCAATTCTTTTTTAGTCATTTACTAATTCTTAAGATGTACCACTCTAATTTATGTAACCATGATCAAGATTTGTCATTCTTATTACATCTTAAGGGACATAATGTACATGGTTTTCCCAATAATTCCAACTATTCTTTAAAGAGTTTTATTCCCTTTCTTCTTAGATTGGTACCATTAATTGATCCTAATATCTCTAATTCTATCTTAAAATAGTTATCTAAGAAGTTTATAATATGTTTTCATTAATTCTTGTTTCAATGATATCACAATCATCAAAACTTTTATTTGATTTTTTTTATTGTGTTGTATGCAACCAAGGATGTAAAACAAATCCTTATTATGATAATAAAATACATACCTTCAGCAGATAGTCTTTTATTTGGATCTTTTTCCAATAGTCTTTTAAGTAAATCCTAAATTAATGGATTTAATTGACCTAGAAATGTAGAGTTTAATTTTGAATCAGTAATCATTTCAATTGTATCTAAGATTGTTTCTGATTGAAAAGGCAATTATCCAAATAATAATTGATATAATATTATGCCAGCTGACCAAATATCAACTATAATATATATTTTATAATAATACTTTTCTCATCATATCCACCTCCCATAAATATTTCTGGTGCTTAATAAAATAATGAGCCAGTCCTTGTCCACATATCAATTTTTTTTGTTACTTTTCCTTTTACTAAAAATCTTTTGGAGACACCAAAATCAATTAATTTGATTGAAAATTAATCACTTATTAGAATATTATCAGGTTTTAAATCTCTATGACAAATTCCTCTCTAATGCAAAGAAAACAAAGATTAAGCCAAATTTAATGTGATTTATTAGATGTCTTCTTCACAAAAGGATCCTATTCTTTATTCTAGACTAGGAAATGGACAATATTCCATTACAAGATGATGCTCCTCTTTTTTTGAATTTATAAACAAATCAAGAACTTTAACAACACAATTAAGATCGTTTAGTCCACGATGTAAGTGAAATGTCTCTCTTATTGTGTTAATTACTTCTGTATCACCAGTTCTAAACACTTTTACAGCATAAGTAACTCTGTCAGAAGCTCCATTATTGTTATTTGGATCTCTTCTATAGCATTTTTTAACAATTCCATGGGCTCCCTCACCTAATCATAAATATTCATTTTACCTATTTATTCATCACCATATTCATAAACATCACTAAAATGTCTAAATTATTAATTTATAGCTCTAGGTTAATTGTTGGGAATAGGAGGGGATGAATTTTATCGACCTTATTTCGGACATGCATTTCTTCTTTTGTCATTAAAAAGTGCTTTCTTTAAGGAAGCTCTTATTGCCTTTTAATTCTGCCGATTCATCCAGAATATATAATAAAATTATTTTTTCTTAATCAATTAATACTAATAAATATTGTTAGGTTGAAAATTAATGGTACCAATTAAATATATAACACTTAAAATTCTTATTTCAATACTTCTATATAAAATTGTTTATTTTAGGTTTAATTCTTAAAATAGTTTCTATATAAATTCTACACATATAAATAAATATTAAGAATTCTAATAAATAGATTAATTATAAAAAATATTTAATAATTCAAAGATGGATTGAGTTATGATCCATTGAAATTCTATAAATGATTAAGAATAACTCAATTTATTTACATCATATAAAAAATTCATATGATACTATGTCAAAAAAAATCTTTATAAGATTTAATTATCTATTTTTAATTTTATGTATAAGTGAACTTCTATTGTATTTTTTTTTCTCATTTGTTATACTTATAAGTATCTATTACAATTCATTTTAAATAATTTTTTTAAATATAAAATATTATGAATTAGCAAAAACAACCTTTAGACCCTAAAGACTCCATTTTAAATATTTCATTAAAGAAATCTTCAGGTCAATTCATTTTCTTATCTAAAATATTCTTGAATAAATTTGAAAAAGTTGAATTGCATGGTTTGGGTGAAGCAACAAAGACAGTAGCTGCAGTTGCTGAATCTCTTTCAAGAAATGTAAAAATATAGTCGCTATTTTAGTAATATGCAACAATAAAGAAAATAGAGACCTAAACCTATACTCCTGAACAAGGTGGAAAAAAAATAAAATTGATTGCCATATTAGAAATAACTGAGGAAGGAAAAAAAAAAATTGTTTCAGAGTTGTAAAGAAAAAAGCCTGAGGAAGGAAAAAAGAATATTTAACAAGAGGTGTAAAAATAAGTAGAAAATTAACCATAATGAGATTGGGGAATGTGAAAGCATATATTTAAATAGAAAGAGAAAAAGTGTATTATTATTTGATGAATGCGGTTTTCCAATATTAATTTTTTTAAATATCAAAAGTCTTTTTCCCATCCTTAATCTCCTTAATTATTACCATCCATTTATCTTACAGATTGCTCTTACTTGAGTAGATATAATACTTACTTTAATTTCATCTTCAATCATTCTACCATTTTATTCAAGTGATTTTATTTCTATTTCTGGTAGTAATTTGTCTGCTGGTGGAAGATATGGTGTTTTTATCTCTTTTTCCAATAATTTTTCCTATTTTTTTATCAATTTAATGAATACCCAATCAAAATTTTCAAACCAAGGATTTCCCTTAAGACTTGCATAAGATCCTCCTAATCTCACTTCAGGTACCCGAGATAATAATCTAAAATATATATTAATTCAATTTTACTAATCCATAAGTTTCTTGGCTTTCTTATCTTTTAAATAATTAGGATAAGTTATATCCTTCTTAATAATTTCTTCATAAATTTCATAAGGATCTTCAGCTTCTTCTCCAAAAGGAACCATACCACACATAAATTCATAGAGACATATACCAATAGACCATAAATCAACTAAACAATTATATCCTTTGCCACATATGATTTCTGGTGCCATATCTAATAAATTCTTTATGTTATAAAAATACAATGTGGAGTTCCTATAATTGTGTATGTACGAATAATTCCTTATTTTCCTTTAATTATTTTTGCAGTTCCTAAATCTATTAATTTTAGGAATCCTTTTTCATCAACCATGAAATTTTCAGGTTTAATGTCTCTATAAATGATATTTTGATGATGTAAATATTCTGTGATTAGAATCATAGAGGCAACATAAAATTGAGAATCATATGTTGATAAGAGACCTAAAGATAATATTTATGAATTACCTATATCTCTAATAACATCAAATAATTCCATTCCTCTTACATATTCAAGAAGGAAATAAACATCCAAAGTGTCTTTAAAGGTTTTCATAAATGAAATGATAAATGGAAAATTGACAATTTCTAATACTTACTTCTCTTATTACAAATATCTAAAATTATGAATTAACAATACTTTTCAAGAGTTTATTCATTAATTTAATTTTTGTTAAATGCTTTTAAAACATATAATTATTAATTATATTTAGCTTTAACTAAATAAACTGGACCAAATTAACCATAAGCAATTGTTTTAATATGAATTAACTCTGATTTCTTAATATTTTGAGCTTCTTTCTTTTTAGTTTGATCTGATTTTTATAATTTCTTTTCAAGAATTTTCTCATTTTTCTTAATAACTTCTTCTAATTCTCCTCCAATGCAATCAATAAAATTATCAGCAGTAATTTCTGCAATTACACCATCAGTTTCCATGACAATATCATCATCCAAACTAAATATTTTGATACTTTATAATACATTTTAGCCTTATTAGTTTATAAGAAATATTCTTCTCCCCAAGCTTAAGCTTTAGTTGCAACTGTAATTCCAGATTTACTCTTTTTCAAACTACCTTCAATTATAACAATAATCTTTTGATTGGCTTATGTTCCTTTTTTAAGAATCACATCCCCAGCTTTACATGATGAAATTTTCATCACATCTAAAACTTTGTCAATTTAAGCTTTTGTTAATTTGCTTAATAAGGCATTTTTCTCAAAAGCCCATTTTTACAAATTTCTAAATGTAACAACATGAACTTAATCTCCTAAAATTTTAGTTAAAGAATCTCTTCCTAATGCTAAACATTTCACATCATCCTCTGCTCTAACAGTCATTTATCTCACTGTATTATAATATAATGCTTATTCACCAAAGGAATCTCCCTTATATAATTTTCTAACTTCTTTGTTTCCTTTAAGAACAGAAACAGTTCCCTAAAAATAATAAAAAATCAATATACTTCTTTTATTATATAAAATGAAGATCCAGGATCACCTTCATTTACAATAATTTAATTTTTATAAAATTTCTATACAATTAAAACTGCAGCAATTGCATCCTTTTATTCATTTGTTAAATTATCTAAATTTATTATAAAGAACTTACGAAAAAATCTAACTACTTCCATAAATTTTCTATTTTCTTCATATTCCTTTGTTATCATTTCCTCAACAGCTCTTCTGAAAGTATTTCTATCAATTCCCCATAGATTACAATTCTCAAAACATTTCACTGATGCAGAACGAGGAGCATTATACAATAAAGCCAACTCTCCAAAACCATCTCCAGTTTTTAATTCTCTTTTTGCCTTAAAATTTTGAATTGAGAAATAATACTTTTTCATTAACAATAACTTCTAAACTTCCTCTTTATAAAATAAAAAAGCAAGTTGCATGATCTTATTATTTGAAGATATAAGTTTATGCAGCTGCTTCACAATAGAACATTTTGTTGACAATATTCTCACTATAAATAATATGATAATTATTATACAGCTCAGCTTCACTTAGATTGTAAAAAACAAAATGATTTTTTAAGCAAGTCAAAATGAAAGTAGTATCATTTAATGTTTTTTTCATATCAATTTTTTTAACATTTTCATGGATTACTTCACCACCTTCATTAATATTGTGCTTGAAATTATTTAATTTATCCTTAAAGATGATAAAATTAATACTGCTTCATCACCTGATCGTTAATCTTCATTGTCGTCACCATGAATTTAATTCTCAGAATTGTTTTATGACCTGGGATCCATATTTAATAAATTAATATATTAATAAACAATCTTTTTACTCTTAAATACTAACACTTGGTTACATACTTATAATCTTAAAGTGATTCTTATTCTTTTATATGATTAAAATATTATCAAATTGATTGTATACGTCATTGTTCTAATTGAATATAAATTCACATATTTAAAGTAAAAATTGACTGTTATATATTCTCTCCATTCATTCAATTATGATATATCATTATAAATATAAAATAAATTTTGGAATCTTTATTGTTTCTATATTTGAAATTTCACAACCTTCTAGAGTTAAAATCCTTCAATTAAATTTCTTCTTATCTTCAGTATAATCTAGATATTTTGATTTTCATTCTTTATTTTAAAAATAGAAAATAAATGTATAAATTTTTATATTTGATAGGAAATAATATATTTTATTTGGTTAGACAATTTAATATACATAATCATAGGTAGAAATTGTAATTATATCTATTTATATATAGATTCTTTAAGAAACAAATTTAGAGTAAAATTAGAGCAAAGATATAATCAACGGTTGAAAAGACATTATTAATTTTCAATTAATGACTTCCAATAAATTTATGAACCATTAAATATTAACTATCAGTAGGCTAAATAATCTAAATGAGTGTCAAAAATTAATTTAGACGATTTGAGTTAATCAAATAAATAGATGTTTTAATTAGAAAAAGTACAAAAAAAAATGATTTTATAACAATTTTAGGTAATAAGAAATTGGAAGATTCATATTTGGAATATTTTTATAGTTTAAACGTTTATTCTACAATTCTAATTATTCTAGCTTATTTATCAATGATTAAGAAGGTTAGAGTATTCTAATTTTGAAATTACATAGTTCTGTAATAATTGAATTATAAAAATAATAAAATACAATGGCAACATTATTTTAATGTGATGGTGCAAACTGCATTGAAGCTTTTCTTGAAGTGGCCATCTCCACTACAGCTTCAATAATGGCAATAAATGGATTCCGAATAATATTTAGAGATCGTAATAAATTGCTATCGAAATTGAATAAAATTATTTATGGCATATCTATGAGTTAATTAATATTGCTTAGTACTTATTTTATCTTTTGGGGTAAGTTTTCAATAAAACTGTAGGATCTGATTTTGTTATTTCAACAATTAGATGTCTTAGGATTTTGAATGAAATTTTATTATGTTCCTTATTAGCAGAAATAGGATTTGAGAAAGACTTTTTAGAGAAATTAGAAATATTTTTAAAGGTCTTAAGTGGATTTGTATTTGTAGAATGGTTTTGGACTGCAATTATTTCAAATGAAGAATATGAGTAATTTATTAGATAAATATAAAGCTATTATTGTTTGAAAATGGATTTGGTTTATTTATCTGGAACTACAGTAATTTTAACTTTGTTAGCTTGTGGTTTTGGATTTTATGCACTTGATTAATTATACATATCAAAATAAGAATTAAAACCAACTGATTAGAATAAGATGGATGAACAAGCCTTAGAAATAAAAATATTTTTGGGTTGTGATTTATTATCTGGTCTTATTTAATTTGGATGGGATTATTGGGCTAATATGAGTGCATATACTATAGCTGATTGTAAATCATATTATGAAGCTTAATCCATTACTAGCGTATTAATTTAATGTTAATAATTAGATATTTGTTATATTTATTATGAAAGTATTAACGTTAATGATATCTCCAATGGCTATTTATTATATTTTATATTATAAACAGAGATTGTAATTTAATTATAGAGCTGCTAATGTTTTGGATATAAATGTTTTAATAGATAGAAGAAGTGAATTAGTTGTTGAATTAACAAATGCTTGATATGATTTAGTTATATATATATATATATATATATTCAGTTATTTATAAGGCTTTCGCATATTTGACATCTAATAGGTCCTTTTGTTCCATGATGTCTAATGCAAAAATAATTACATCCAGGTTTCTTGCAACAAAATATTTGATTTGGTAAGAAACTATTTTTTATTGATTTTAATTATTCTTTAAACATTTTATCTATTAATTAAAATGGAATAAATTTTCTTAGAATTGAACTTTTAATTTTTTATTGACAATTTAAACATCTCAATGTTTTGCAATTATTATTAATTTATATTTTAATATAATCACTTACACATTTTTAATGATAGCAATGAAAACAGTCTAATTAAACTAAATCTTTTTCAACCATTACTTAGCATTTATCACACATTTATTACATATCAAAAGATGTTGATTAATGTGTGATTTCTGAACTCTCTTATGTTATTAAATTTATAGTAAGTTTATGATGATTTTTAATCTCATTTATATAATTTTTTGTGTTGTTTTCTATAAAATTCATGTAATCATCAAAATTAATTGGTTTATCTTATATAGTAAATATATTATTTTCTGAACAGTCCTTAATAACCTTTATAATTTTTTATTTAGCTAACTCAACATCTTTAATGAATCCATTAAATTTGCTTTAAAGAATATCTATTAATATTTCTTATCTGCTTGGTGCTAAGATATTCTTTATTGGAGAAATGAGATTTGTTAATATTTATGGATATCCTTTGTTCGATTTGAAATTATTGTAATCATAATCATTAGAGCAAATCGGAATCATAAAAATAAGAAAATTATTTTTTTTTAAGTTTATTTATGATGATTATATTATCAATTTTCAGATTTTATTCAGTTATATATTATCAAATTGAACATTTTAATACTCCCTAATAGATATAAACAAATGAGTTTATTAAACTATTTAGAATACTATAATGAGATTATTTATTATTCATAATTATTTAGACTACTTTATAGATTAAAAATAGCATATAATTATTATTAGGTAATCAATTAAATAAATTAGTTTCTGTTTAGAATTAGTAAAACGTTATTTATTTTTCAAATGATATATTACTCATTTACAACTATTATAAATTATATATTTATTTAATTATTGTGAATGCCTCCTAAGCCTAAACCTAAGAAAGCACCATAAGAACCAGAAGATGAATTTACTAAGATGACTGCTTAAGAGCTTACATAGAATTTACAAATATTCAGAGATAAATTAACTGAATTAAAGCAAAAAAGAAATTATATCCAAATGGATCGTGATATGGTTCAAAATTTTTTCTCTAATTGCTTATAAGAAATTTAAGAGCTAAATATTAAAATTGTAAATAAAGAAACTGAAGCTGAATAATTAGAGGAAACTCACAGAATCCAATTAAAAAGCTATTTATAAAAAGTATAACTATCAATTAAGATAGGTTAAACATCTTGAGTATGAATAAGAAAAAGCAAATGATGAAATAGAAAAAGATGGAAAGGAGGCGCATAATTTAGAAAATGATCATTTTTCTAAGAGAAGTGATGAATAGAAAAGATAAAAAACACATTTAAAAAAATTATAGGAGGAATATGAAAACTCGTATATTCATGCTATAGAAAAAGAAGAAAAAAACAATAAAAAAACACTTGATAAATCAAAATAAGTTTTTGATGAAACTTTATAAAATATGGAAGAGAAATATAAAATGAGACTTCAAAAACTAAAAGAGGAATTAGAACTAAGACTTAAAGTAGAAATCCATGAACTCGAAGAAAGAAAAAATCTTCATATTAATGAATTAATTAATAATCATGAAACAGCATTTGCTGAACTTAAATAATATTATAATACTATCACTAGAGAGAATTTAGAACTTATTAAAAATTAAAAAGAAGAAATAGCTAGCATTAATGCTAAATTATAAAAAAATAGCAAAATAATAGCTGATATGAAAGCTGCTAATAATAATATAAGAATTCCCTTAAAATAAGCTACTGAAGAAAGAGATATTTTAAAAAATGCGCTTAAATAATTTTCAAAGGTAATATTCTCTATTATTATTTCAGCATAAAATGTCTCTACAAAATTTACAATCAAAAAATACTACTTTAACAGAGAAATATGCAGAATTAAAACATAATAGCAATGATTTAAATTTTAAATATGATAAATTATTAAGAGAAAAATAAGAATTAGAAGAAAAATTTGAAAGAATTGCTATGGAAGTTAAAAAACATACAGATTTATAAAATAATGTATTAAGTTAACAATTATAAAATATGTAAGATGGATTGGAAGAGAAGGTATAATTAAAAAATTTATTATTAGGAAGTTCAATTAAAGACCATTGTAGAAAGAACTAATATGGATCCATAAATGTATTAATAATTAACCATTAAAATCAAAGAGTCTATTGAGTATTTCATATTATTATTATTTTTAGAGCTAAAAATTAATTAATCAAGAATCTTAGATATTCTATTCATCATGCTACTAAAGCATACAATGATTCAATTAGAGTCTATGAGGCAAAATTAGTAGAATTTGGTATTCCACCAGAAGAACTTGGCTTCTAGCCTTTAGCAACAATCACAAGTTCTATGCCAGCTGGATTAGTAAGTTAATGATCTTATAATTATACAATAATTTCATTATCATCTAAATTAATATGATGTGATTATCTTTTAATAATTTTATCAAATGAACAATGCAATATTTATATATATATATAAACTTAATTTATTAATCTAAGTCTCAAAATAAAATATAATTAAAATTAAATAAATTTTATTGATAAAATTAATAATCAATTAAAGGAATAATTTTTAAAAGATACTAAATGCAAAATATTATTTATGATAATTTCATTCTTAACAATTACTTTGAATGCATTTTATTAAAGAATTGGCCTTTTCGTTATTTCTGACACATTAATTATACTACAATTAAAACCATATTTTACAGCATCGAGACCCTCATAAATAGCTTTCTATTTACAGTCTTTCAGTCTATTTACACAATCATCATTGCATTCTTTAAAAAATTATGCACATTCATCTTTAATACATTCTTAATATTCAGCTCTTTTATTTCTCTCTTTTTCATCTTCTTATCCTTTATTTTTTTTCTTTTCTTCTTCTTCTTCTTCTTCTTCTTCTTCCTCTTTCTTTCTCTTTTCCTCCTATTCTTTTTTTTTCTTTAATTCTTCCTCCTTTTTTTTCTTTTCTTCTTCTTCTTTTTTTTTCTTTTCTTCTTCCTCCTTTTTTTTCTTTTCCTCTTCTTCTTTTTTTTTCTTTTCCTCCTCTTCTTTCTTTTTCTTTTCCTCCTCTTCTTTTTTCTTCTTAGCCTCCTCAGCCTTCTTAGCTTCTTCAGCTTTCTTAGCCTCTTCTGCCTTTTTTGCTTCTTCAGCTTTCTTAGCCTCTTCTGCCTTTTTAGCTTCTTCAGCTTTCTTAGCTTCTTCTGCCTTTTTTGCTTCATCAGCCTTCTTTTATTCTTCTGGGGTTAATAAGGAAGTTCTTTAAGATAATTCTTCATTTTTTATCACTTCTTTCTGTTTATCAAATAATATCGATTTTTACTTGAATATACTTTATTTAAGCCTTGTTGAGTATTTCAATTCTTTTAGTGGTTGCTAAAGCGATTAACAATATAATAAAAATAACAGATGTTCTCATATCCCCAAAACTTTAATTTTACTGAAAAAATATTAATAGGTTTTTTAATAATAAATTTTAATATGGAAGTTTAGTATTCACAACATCATAGATTAATATTTATTTATATCCATTTATTGATTTGAATGAGTTAAATAAATAGTATTAGCATAAGAATTTGATAATAAAATAAATTATTATTAGAAAGTGTTTGAATTAAAGATTATCTTCAATGGGATCTATGAAACTGAAAAAATATTAATATTGATAATAAAAAGATTGGGCTTGCTGATTGTAGAGGAAGGTTTTTTATTATTTCATTAAAATATGAATTTCTTAAAATGTAATCTTATATTAAAAAGATAATTATTTTATTTTTAATACATAATATTGGTTCTTAAACATTTTTGCTTAGAAATAAAGTGTAACGTTATTATATGAAAAATTAATTTTTCTTTGAATACATAAACTCTTGCAAGGTTAATATATAATTAATATAATGATCCATTTCAACTATCATGATAATTGAATTTCTCTTAATTAGAAATGAGTTTTATTTGATGATATTCTATTTTAGAAATATAATTTATTTTATATTAAATTAATTGCAAAATTTTTCTATCTCTAATTTTTCTATTAAAGGTTTGTATTGTGTATAATAGGAAATGCATTAAAATACAATAGTTTGAGGTTTTTATATTAGAATATAGATAAAATAAGTTAATCAATCGAGAGAGAAAAAAAGGATATTTTAAAAACAATAAATGTAAATTGATTATTTATTTTGCTAATATTATTATGATTGTTGTACAAACTATAATAGTGATCTATAGAATAAAATATTTAATAAAATGAAAACTAGGAACTCTGTTAAACAAAGACAGAGAGAAGACTTGTCTGTCACATGTTAAGAGGTATTCACCACAAAATTCTCATAAATATGTCTTCCTTTATATATATTATCTATACACTATAAAATAGAATGTATCAATGAGTGAGTACCCACTTCCTAGTGCAGCATAAACACCGATTAAGAGAAAAGGACCAATCAATAAGAAACCTAAATAGGTATTAATCATAATAATGAGAAGACTATGATTAATTTAAAAAAACACAAATCTTAAAGGTAATTTATCTGCTATGATGATAAAGATTTAAATATTCCTTAATAATACTAATCAATCCTCTAAAAACATGTAAGTATTAAGTTCATAAAATATAAAGAAATCTGATGATGATAGAGAATCTGATGAAGAACAAATTAAACATGCCATTAACTACTTGTATAATGAATTATTATTATGTTTGGAAAAAGAAAAAAAATGAATTAATTAATTTTTTAATGATCATATAAAATTATTTTTTATGATTGCAACTCAAAAGTTTCCTTTTTAGGTTCTTCTCATTCCTTTTAAGAAATTAGATTTAATTAAACAATTTAATATCACAAATTAACAAGAACTTTGTAATAATTATAGATGAAAAATTTCTAAAAAGAGAGCTTTGAGAATGCTTTATTAAATCAAACAGAGTCTTATTGATAAGTTAGTAATTATGTTTATACTGAAATTTTAATGTTCTGTTCAATCAGTAAGCATTAATACAAAATGATGTTCTCATTAAATTCTATTCTAATTAATTTCAATTCATTCATTATTAATCATATAAATTAACTTAATACTTGTAAATATATAAAAATGAAATGTAGAATAAGTATAAATAAAAATTAGAAATTCCAAGAAAATATAAATATAAAAAATGAAAAAAGTGATTAAAAATGTAGAGATATTTTAATTTTTTTATTAATTCATAAAAAATATAGAGATCTTAATTTTGTAATAGATTTAGAATACCCGAAAATTGATAAAAATAGATCTTTAATGTTTACATTAATTTACAGTATAAAAAATATCATTATAAAATTAATTCTTGATGAATGATAATATCACTTCGAATTGATAAAACAGAAATATATATCATCAACACAAATACATGTAATAATTAATATAATACCTTAACTTATCAAGAGTCACCTTATTCTATCTCCATTAATTAAGAACTACTTTAATGGGGATTAATTTAAACTATTCCTGACATTTCATATTTAGGAGCATGAAAATTGATTGTTTCTACTATATTATCTACCTGAGATAGTTTTATTTATTACTTATTATTTTATAGCTCCAAATATTTGATTATCAAAATATATTTAGAATGAGTTCTTAAAAGGAGGCAATTCATTTTCATATTCAACTTTTAAATTTTCCTTTATTAAACTCCAACTATTTTATAACACATCCAAATTATTTAATGTCTTTTATGTAAAATCATTCAATAAATTATAGCTATCTTAGTCATCTCCATCTTTTTATTTAAGATATTCATAATAAGTTTCAAATAGAGATTCCATATTAATTGAAACTGATTCAATGTACATTTACATTGTGGAGACATCTTGTATAATATTTTCTTGTAATGTTTTTTCAGTCATAAACAATAAAATGAAAATTTATAATTAATTAATCTTGCTCATAATTATAGACCATGCAACTATTTCCTTAATTCATATTATATAGCTTGCATTGTTATATTTGGTATAAATGTTTATTATTTGATGATATTTGTGCTTGGTTAAGGTTATTATTTCTATTGTCTTGGTAGCCTTGTAGATTAATGAGGAGTGATTTTTGGTTTAAAAGAACATTCTTTATTTATATTCTTTTCTTTTTCTTCTAAATATGCTTTGTTTGTTTCTTATTATTTTTACAATTTATTTTTTTGCCATTATTCATTTCTCTCTAAAAATGATGTTTGTTTCAAATAATTTGGATATTTCTTTTTAGAATAAAATAATACATTAATTTATGGTTTAAATGTAAGTTCTTTATTCTCTTTTTCTTCAGGTGTAGGAGTCATTGATTATCTTATTGGTTTAGCAATTACATGAGTTTGACTTTTATTGATTAAATCACCAACACATACTTTCTACATATGAAATGAATTATTTTTCATTCTATCAAGCATCTTTGTGAGATTGATTTCAATACTTTTTGATCTATTAGGTGATTCATCGTTCATTTTTTTTAACCGAATAGTTTAATAATTAATATTGATCAATTTTTAGATAAAAAGAAAAATATCTATAACTTTAGATGTTAACAATATCTACAAATTTATAGTATATAGATCAAATTAAAAATGCATTTAAAATCTCTCTTAATATTAAAATATCAATCTATAATTTCAATAAGATTATTTGAAATATAAACTAAGAAATAATTTTAGTATTCTTTTGATAAATATTTACACACATTGTTTTTAAAATGAATTTAGAAATAAAATTATTTAAGTCAATATTATGATTAAATCTTACTTAATAACATTTAAAATAAAATTTATCATATATTTTATAATAAAAGATTAATTTTTCTTACAATTTCATTCTTATAGATTTGAAAACCAGATTAATCGAAGAAAGCCATATTTAAGTTTTACTTGTTAATGAAATTCTAAGTTAATTGTTTATACTAAACTATAATAATTAAAATAAAATGATTAAATTCATTATTGTTATTGATGATTTGGGGAATACTTTATATAATAGACAATATCAGATTATTTATTCCAATTTCCAAGAAATATTGTAATCGTATCTTATTTTTCATTGAAGTTTAAATTTACAATTTAATTACACATGAATCTGTTTTTATATTTTTTTTAATAAAGATAATTACTTATTTATTGTTAAGGAAGTTCTAATAGCTTCTAATCTTAAGTTGATTAAATAATATTTATATTATTATGCAAGCTAAGAGTGACATTGTTATTGAAATGGAAATGATGATAGAAAGCACAGAACATTTAAATAATTTAAAAGGGTATTCACATAAAGATTAAATAACTGATATGAGTGGATAGAACTAAAGCATTAAACAAAAAGTCAGTTAGATTGATTTAGAGTTCCAAAAGCTTTTATTTTAGTTGATTGAGTCTAAATTAAGTGAAAATACAATCTCCTAAGTAAGTGCTTCTATTTATTTAAAGGTTCATGACTTGTTAAAAAGATTATCTAGTTCTTTAATAATAGAAATTCCTAAAGGGCCTTAGATTCTTTAAAGCCTCTACTTAATCATATTAATAAGAAAATCAACAATCATAAGAAATTTTCCTTTTAGTCCATTGTCTATCATTTTGTCGAGGATCAAAAAGTTAATCAAAAGAGTTAAAAAGTTGTTATAAAGGAAATTGAATTGGATACAAAAATAGAATGATATCCAAATAAAATAGAATTCATCATTTCATTTATACAAATCCTAATGTAAGAATACAGATGATCTAATTGATTCTTTAACGAGGCAGCTATCTTTTGAATAATACAAAAAACCTATATATAAACAAATCACAATAATATAGGGATAAGGATTAATAAAATTTTGATTATAATATTAATCTCAAAGATTCTAAGAAGTTAATTTTTCTATTTCCTTCTAAAATCTTTCTTATACAAATTTGTTTTTAAAATGTATTTATCTATTTCTCATTGATGTTTGAATGTTCATGTGTTCATTTCTTCTTTAAATCTGAGAATAAATAATTTTTCGAGAGGAACTCTATTCAGTTTAAAATTACCTGGTTTTTCTAAATTTAAATATGATAAATAATTTACTTGATGGTTTCTAGATTTTAAATATGCAAATTACTTGCTTCATCTAATAGGTTAACTATTTTGTCATTAATTGATTTATGGAATGATGTTTATAAAGATTTAACTCTATTAATATCATCCTCTTAGGTTTCTTATTTAGAATTTAATAGTCTTTCAGTAGGAAATAAGAATTTTTATGAGTTGATTCTTGAACTACATTTAGTTGTACAATTTGAAAGTGGAAGAACCTTTTATATTTCAGTAAATTCATCATTAAAAGGATGAACGTGTTTATTAAAGTAGACTTCGAAATCTTTGATTAATTAATCTCTGCCTTTAGTTTTTTGTTTACTGAGAACTTCTGAGAGTTGAGACAATCTAGTCATCTGATAGATTTGATTATAGTATTTATCTGACCATAGTTAATTATTGTACATAAATCCTTGATTCTTCTTCTATAGATTTAAATACTCATTCTAAAGTCTGTTACTTTTAATTTATTGTAAGACTTAGCCATAATCAGCTTTTTCTGCAATAGATTTTCTTAAACCACCAATTTTCTTCAGTTACAAATAATAAAGATCTGAATGAGCCTTTTTTACATAGGTTTGGAATGTCTTATGTCTTTGTAAGAATGCTTAATCTGAGACTATGTTGGGAACAAGAAGAATATGTTTGAATTTATTTTGTTCTTTTGACATTAATTTATTATTAAAATAAGGTAAGTTAAGAAATCTTACTGATTGTATAAGCTTATAAATTTAGAGATGGCATTAATTTAATAGTGTTTTTGAATGATGATGGAATAATAGAAGCTAATTTCAGAGATCAATTGCGCCAAATAAATTAATAAACCTATATATATAATTTTTAACGAACATATGCAATAACGGAGACCTAAATTGAAATCTTTGGATAATAAAGAGAATCAACATACTTCAGAAACTCCAATACAGAATCGTAAACTATTTAGAAAGACAACACCAAAATTATTGTAGCCATTACAAATGGATTAACACATAAGTTCAAGAGAACCTTTGACTACAAAAGTAGATGGACCACATAAAATCAGATTTAGAACATATGCTAATACTATTGAAAATTTGATGAATGATAATTTGTTAAAATTAATACCTCCTACATGTGATGGAACTACTTACTCAATTGGATAATCAATAGGTAAGGGAAGTTATGCTACTGTAAGACTTGGAACTAATAAATAAGGGTTGAAAGTAGCAATTAAAGTATATGAAAAGTTATTCTTAAAAGGAGAGCGACTCAATAATCTTGTAAAAGAAATCAGTGCATTAAAAGCACTTAATCATGAATAGATAGTTAAATTATTGGATGTTTATCATTGTGGAAGTACAATAAATTTAGTATTGGAGTATTGTGGAAATGAGAGTCTCTTTACTTTGGTTAAATAACATAAAGCATTATCAAAAGATTATGCATTCAATATAATTCATCAATTATTAAAGATATTAGTATACATTCATGAGAAGAATATATGTCATAGAGATATTAAACTTGAAAATATTCTGATAAGCAATAAAAAAATTAAACTAATTGATTTTGGATTTAGTACTATATAAAATTGTATAACTTGTCATTGTGGTACACCTAGCTATATGTCACCTGAAGTTGTAACAAAATAGAAGTATGATGGAAGGACAACTGATATATGGGCATTAGGAGTTCTTTTTGTTGGTTTGCTATAAGGTAGCTTCCCATTTAAGGGGTCAACTGAAAAGGAACTCTTTTTTAAAATCAGAAATAATGAGTATATAATTAATAGTTAGGATAAGGATGTGAGAATGTTTTTAGGATAGATATTTGTATTGGATCCTCATCATAGAGCTACTGCCAAAGAGGTAATTATTTATTACTTTTATTCTTAGTTATTATAATACGATGTTTTTAGATCTATGTGACTTAATTTCTATAATTATTATTTATAAATTGTTATTTTTCAAAATTGTAACTTCTCTCTTATTATTATTCAAGTAGTATATAATCAATAATATTAATATTGATGAAAGTACTTAAGGGATTGTTAGAAATCGAAGGAACTAGTGGTTTTGTGAAATTCAATTAGGATTTTAATTCAAAACTAAATCATCTTTTTTGGTATTCCATTAAATAGATTAGAAAAAATGTTAATAATGAAAAAGCTTCTCATATATCTGAATTGGTTGCTGATTCATGAAATAATAATAAGAAATGAATTTAGTGAGAATTAAGACGTATTTACTTTAATAATCTTAAAAGAACAATTTAGAAATTATTCCAATTTGAACCAAAAGCTTAATCTGAATATATTAGATCCAAATATATAAAGAGATTTATGAATTAGTGGGTGATTATACTATGATAGGAATTTAATTATGTTGTAAAGTAATATAAGAAGCTAACTGCACAAGGAGTAGTTGAATTAGATAATGCTAAAAAATAAAGTTGATTTAAAGTAATATTCAATTATTAACTAATAATATATTAATTTGATTATGATTAAATCTCAGGATGATTTTTTGTATAAAATTATAACTAAAAATTATACAAGTATATATAAAATGTTAATTATTTTATGAATTAATAAAAACAACTCATATATTGGGAAAAATAAGGATATGATCAATTATGTGGTGTACATTGCATCAATTCTCTTTTATAAGGTCCATATTTTAATGAGATTGATTTAGCAACAATTGCTTAAGAATTAGATAGATAAGAAATTGAATTACTAGGAAAAACAGGACATCGTTATAAATCGTAAAATGTAGCAGAAGATGGAAATTTCTCAATTTAGGTTTTAGCTGAAGCTTTAAAAAAATTAGGAGATTTGTAAATTGAATCTGTAGATTCAAAAATCAACTAAAATTAAGATTTGAGGTATTTGATTTCTTTTATATAAATTAAGTCAAGAAAGTGGATTTATTTGTAATTCTTAAGCTCATTGGTTTTCAATAAGAAAGATTGAAAATATTTGGTATAATTTAAATTCAACTAACAAACGAGGACCAGAAATAATTAGTGATTTTTATCTATCTGCATTTCTATAATCAGTAAAAGAGAATGGATATTCAATATTTGTTGTTAAAGGTGTTTATCCTCCACCATAATTAGATGTATTTTATAATCTAATTTTTATTAATAGAATATAGATTAGAATGATCGTTAAAAAGTTCTTACTACTTAATTCATTAAATAAGTTCATGATAGAAGAGTCAAAAAAAAGAATTATTAATTGAATATTGGAGGTTCAGATGAAATAGAAATGAAAAAGGCATTAAAAGCAAGTAAAGGAGAGAAATATGTACATTAAGATAATTATTTTAGGAATCAACAGATGAAGAATTTGAAGAAGAACTTTAATAACCAAATAAAATGTAATCCACTCCAAAATTTCAAGGATAAGGAATTTAATTTGGACAATAGAAATCATAAGTAAATTATCCAAATTTCAATATTGATCCACTTGATGCTGAATATAGATCAATTATACTCATGACACTTGAATAAGTAATTATACTATTGAATAATTTATAGAAATTTAATATTTAATTGGAAGAAGGTTTAGTTATCCTATTTTAATTACCAAATGGATAAAATAAATAATATACATTTAGTTATGATGCAACTGTTGAAGTATTTCATATTTCCATTTTATAGGATCTTTATGATTTTATTTTCTTTGAAAGTAGACAATAATCTATGAGATTCACTTTGATTTGCCCTATTCAAAAGCTATAACTTTTAGATGTTACACAATAGCTCTTAGATATTGGCATAGATACAATGACCTAAATTATTGTAAAGAAGGATTGAAAATTTAAATTATCAAACTTCATTGCAAACAGATATTTATTCTAGAAAATTTAGACATTCTTTGTTTCTTATTAAAGCTGAAAATTTTGATTGAAAAATAATTATTATCAATAATTTATAATGCTTACTGATTCATCATTATTTTACAGTTTCAGCAAGCAAACTGCTGTAAAAGTTCAATTAGTATTTTTGGATATAAAAATTGGAACTGATAAACCAAAGAGAGTCATAATTAAATTGTTTTATGATGAAATGCCAAAAACTTGTGAAAATTTTAGAGCATTATGTACAGGCGAAAAATCAAATCCATGTATGATATTAAAAATATAGATAAGATGTAAAATTAAATTTTAGAGACGTTCCTTTTCATAAGATTTATAGTAATTTTATGGCACTTGGTGGAGATATCTTGAATAAAGATGGTACAGGTTAATGTAGTATTTATGGACCAACCTTCAAAGCTGAACCCAAAAGATTCAAACATGATTAAAGAGGTTTGATCTCAATGTTTAATGATGGAAATGGCAATATAGGATCATAATTCTTTTTTACTTTTACAGATTGCTCATGGGTTGACGGATTGCATTCGGTATTCGGAAAGATTGTTGAAGATTACAGTATATTAGATGAATTAGAGAAAAGTTATAATTAATTTCTATTATTTAGTTTCATCAACAAATGGAGCACCAAAAAAATTAGTAAGAATAGTTGATTCAGGTGTAATAATGTGAAAAATAGTGAATTTAATTTTTCATTTAATTCTTTTGCCTTCATGCCATTCTCCTTCAATAATTTACCCATCTGCAAAAATCAATTACCCTTTTCCATGTTACTTACCTTCAAACCAATTTCCAACATACTTCTTACCATCATTCCAAATGTAAGTACCGAATCCATGTTTTTTATCATAGATGTAATCTCCTTCATAAACTCTTCCATCTGGCCATTTGTATATACCTTTCCCGTGCATCTAATTAGCCAACCAATAACCTTCAAAACTTCTTCCATCAGCCCAATTATATTTTCCAAAACCATTAATTTTATTATTTATCCATTAGCCTTCATAGCTACTTCCATCTGGCCATAAATATTTTCCATAGCCTTCTTTTTATCCATTTTTATAGTCTCCTTCATACTTACTTCCATCAGTCCATGTTTCAACTCCCTTTCCATGTTATTAGTCTTCAAACCAATCTCCATCATATTATGCTCCATTAACATGTATATATTTTCCCTTTCCATGTGCTTTATCATCTTTCCATTCTCCTTCATCTGGCAATATATTCAATATGTACATATGTCTCCATCAACATGATAAAATGTACCCTAACCCTCAGCTTTATTATTTTTCCATTATCCAACGTATTTTGCTCCATCCTTCCAAACTTATTCTCCAAACCCTTCTCTTATATCTCCAATCTTATCTTTATAGACATTTTGTTACCCATTCTCCTTTATAAATGGCTCCATTTTCAAATTCATATTAATGTTAACTCTTTTCAAATGATTGCTTGTTCTGATTTTCACTACCATTATCATTAGCTAAAACTTGTTTATTATCAAAATATCTTGAAGATACTGGCAATGCCTTTCCAGGTGTTACAATAGGAGTTTGCAAAGGTTACTCACAAATTTATATTTGAAGAGTTTTGCCAATTGAATTACTTAAAGCTTGTTACTATTCATCATTTAATTATAGTTATTGATAATTTTTTGCTGGAGTTAATACTTATTCTGTTTCTTTCTCGCTTTCGACACATTAACATTAATTTCCCATTAGATTATATATTTTGTTCTATTATAATTAAAATAATAATAATATAATCATTCAATCCTTCTTGTTATAATTTAATATTTTTCATGATTCCCATTGAAGGTGATTAAATAGTTCATTTTGATTTTTGTTTATTCTTAAAAAATTAATTTGGTAAATTTAAGGTATTCTTTGATGTTATTTTAATAATTTTGATTAGAGGAAATTTAAGAAACAGAACATAAATAGCTGAGTATTGATAGAATTAAAATGTAGATAAAGTATTATATTAAAATGAGGTAATCATATGTACGATATATCTTTATGTTCTTTTGGATCCAACATTATTCAAGTAGTGTGAAAAAGGAATTCTTTAATAGAAGAATATAAAAATAGTAATTGATTCACTAATATAAGTATTTATTAAATTAATTACTAGGTAATTTTTGATATATAATTATATATAAATATAAATTAATATATAATTTATTCATCACATTTTTTCAGATTTTTTATTTAATAGAACAAATGAAAACATGAATCATTTCAAAAATCATTCAACAATCAATAGAACAACTTTTTTATTTTCTGATAATCTATTTTCAAAACAAAAATATTTTAAATAATTATAATGTAAGTTATTTTTAATAATAATATATTAACATACTTTTGTAACTCTTTACATTATTTTATATTATTTTATTTTAACTTGTGCATTACAAATGCTCAAGTTTTAAATGAATCAAGGCAATCTGATTAAGCTAATTATGACTATTAATGCTTTCATTTTACATTTATCCTATAATCTCAAAAAGTTTACAATAAAAAAAAAAAAAAATGAAAAATTTGAAATTGAAGAAGGAATTACGAAATATAGCATCAAATTTAAGTTTTTATTGATATTCATATTTTATCATTCGATTAAAGTTAATTGTCCATTTATTTTGCAAACATCATCAAGATTGCCAATTTCAAAATTATCTACATGAATACCTTCTTATTCATTAACAGTACATTATAAAGGCTATAGGTAATTTGAGAGATCCAAGAGGTCGTCATCCCAAGCTTATTTGATTGTATCTCCTTCAACAATCATATCCTCAAAATGTTGTTAATTTTCGAGCTTTTTTAGTTGATGTTTCTATTCAGCAACGGTTTAGTGCTAATCTTATAGATATTATTTTTGATTATATCGCTATTATTTTAATATCAGGCGCAAAAAACCCATTCTTTTATCTCCAACCTTATTCAAATCTACTAAGAACTATGCTTTTCTAAACTTATATTATATATCCTTACCTTAATAGATAACGATAATCCTCTAAAGATTTTTTTGGAACTCCTACTTTTTCAGCAGCTTTTTTAAGACTATATTTAATTTTTTTGCCATTCTCATCAATCCCTCCATTTTTATATAGGCATCTCCATTAATCAACTTTTTATTTAGCCTCTATTATAGTACGTTCTTTGACTCTTTTAATAGGTTAATGTTATTTACACATTAATTAAAAAAAGATAAATTATTTTTTAATTCTAATTTATTGTTTCTAATATAAAGTATCATAAAAATATTGAATCTACTGCTTATATAGAATTCAACAGTATATATATCTAATATTTATTTTTTCTAGAATATCAGATGAAAATAGGAAGGAGATATAGTTTTAATCTAGGAATAGTATATCTATATCTTTTTAAGAAAAAGTTGTGTTCCAAGTGTCTTTTTTGTATGTGGGCAACAACTTATTTAAATTAATTTTATTAGTAGAAAGGATTATTGAAGAAATATTAATGATTTTAATTAAATATTAAGATTATTAATAAATAAGCTAAATAATAAGAAATATTATACAGTAATTATCATTTTTTATTATTAATTATTAATTTTTTAACGTATATATATGAGTATTTTAGTGAGAGTGGAAGGAGCATCAAAGGATTTAAGGATTATGTATCCAGAGCCGGAAGAGATTCAACTAAACTTCTGTACTTTAATAGATTTAGAATTTACAAGTTTTTCAAACAAAGAAGAAGTTATTGTTTAATTTAAGCTTAAAGAAGTTGTTGCTCTTAAAATTCAAACCTAAGAGGTTTTACTCTAATTAGATTCAATAAGGAAGCGATTTATGCTTCAATGTTTAGTATATCCTGGAGAACATATGGTTTGGGTATCAAGCATGAATAATTATGTTGTGACAGAGAAATCTTTAGATCATGTTTTAATGGGTAAAAAGCCTTAATTAGAAACAATAACAGAAGAAGATGATGCAGTTAGTCCAATTAAAATCCATGGTAAAGAAAATAAACCAATTGGATAAAAATAATGTCATTCTAAAAAAATATCTCCTGTAAAAACAAAAAGTCCAAAGAAAAAGGATCAGTCTACAAGTACAAGTAAATTATGAAATATAGAAAGGACAAAAAAGAGTACACTTCGTTGGTCTTAATACATGGTTTAAACTCCGAAATCTCCTTTAAAAGGAGACTATGTTGATGCCTTACTAGCTTAGTTGATTTAATAAAACAATAGAAAAAGTAAATCTAGAAAGAGAAGACCATCCTCTTCATATCCATTAAGACCTAAGATCGATAGTGAAGGAATGATTGATAGATAATGGTTGGAAGAAGAAATGATAAACGAGGATTTGTGAAATAGTTACATATATATATATTTAATACTTTATATAACACACTATTTATAATCTCTATTATAATTGAATATCATAAATTATATCAATATAATAACAAATTCAATCAATTTATATATTTACTAAAATATTTAGTATTTATTAAATCAATAAAATCTTCATTACTTATTTTGAATAAAAGATATGAATTATTATTAATGACTGTACTTGAGAAGAAAATAAATATAATATAACCTAAGAATAGATAGGATCTATAAATTAATAGGAAATAATAACTTAAGTAGAATATCTCTAATAATAATAAATTTATCTTGTAATAATTATAATTAATAATAATTCCTAAATTGAATAAATAGTATGTATCTATTTGTAAATAGCAAAATAATGAATTGATATTTTACAAATATATGATTTAATTTAGTATTAATTTATCAGAAATAAAAGTGAATATTATAAGCTAAACCAAAAAATTAAATAACAATCCTAAAACTAGAATTAGTAATTATTTTAAATTTGGAGAAACCAATAAAGAAGGAACTGAATTTTAGAAAGAAATAGTTTTTAAAATAAATTGTTAAATGTTTTAACTTAATTCAATAAAGTGGACTCATGATTAATATTAAATATAATATATTAGATACATATTAATATATTTATGGGTATTTGTGCAGGAAAGTCTTAATAAAAAGAGAATCTAGTGACAGACATTGAATCAATACCTATCCTTACTTAAGGTATATTGGAGTTTAATGTGAAAATATCAGGTATTAAGGTAAAGATGGATAATCTGGTATTTTTAATATAGTGATTATAGTATTATAGCCAGCTGGAAAAATATCAATGAAAATAGGTGAATATGATTAATTTGAAACAGAATGCTCAAAAGAACTTTATGGAAAATTATATGTAAAATAAATATTTCATCCTTTAATGTAGTTTAAATAAACTCATGCATTTTAAATGTCTATAACAGAAGAGCAATTAAAGAAATAATATCTTAATGTGACTTTGATGACACCGAATAATGAGAATATTGCTTCGATTTAAATAAATTTATTTTTAATAGCAACTGGCCCTTAGCATATGGATTATGAATATACTGGTTTAATTAATAAGAAACAATAATAAGGTAAAATAAGCTTTGATTTTAAAATTGCTTAAATTATTAAAGTAAACATTGTACCTTAATTAATGGAATTTAATATGAATGAACCATTAATACATTCAGAATATTATTATTCTCTAAAAATGGTTACTTCAGCCTTGTGTTTTTAGAGCGAACACTCAGATGCATTCTTGAATCCTGCTTATTAAAAGAATTAGTTAACCACAAATAATAGTGCGTAAACAAAATAATAAGTTATTAAATAAATTATGTACAAATAATGTGGAGTTGAAATGACAGTTGAAGTTCCACTTATAGAAATATCATCCTCTAGTATTTAAGTTTGTTTGTGGTATAATGAATAGGCCAATGTAACTGTAAATACAACTACAGGAATGAATAAATCTCATTATACTCTTTTAGCTGAAACATATTTTAACTTAAATTAAATATTTACCTAAGCATTAAATAGTGAACAAGTATATATTTAATATATCTATATAGATTTGTGAGAATAATGTAAAAGTTTATAAGATTTTGTATTAATAAACAAATAGGAGATTATGGAATCATGGAGTACTGGAAGGAAATTTGAATTGTAATCTTTAAGTTATTATTCCTACTTATTTAAATCAATAAATTGTTGGTGTTAGAACAGATAAAGGTATATAATAAGGTAGTAGTGTTGTAAATTCAGGAAAGATGCCTGTAAAAGAAATCTAATAATTAAGTCAAGCAGGTTAACAATTATTAGATTTACAATATAAAATATAAAATTGTTCATCAAAAGATGTAATTATATAAATTATAAATATAGTTATTTCTAAAATCAGAATTGAAGAATTCTTAAATTGTTCATCTTAGAACTATGTAAAATATATTAAAATAGTCTGATAAGTAATCAATTATTTGTTTTGAATACAAATCTCAATAAGATCTTTTTAATGCTTAAAAATTATTAATTGAAATAGCTTAAAAATTATTAGAATCTGCAGATTAATAAGAGGAAATTATTAGAGAGGAATATTATATTTTAATTAAATTAATTTTAAATAGAGGTGAATTAAGTTTAAATCAAGTAGGATTTTCTGAGGAAACAGAAAAAACTAGTGAAAAACTTCTTAAATTTAAAACTGAAATAGGTCTCAATTATTAATCATTTTTATATAAATGTCTTGGTATTGTATTATAAAAATTGAAACAAAAATCATTAGCTGAAAATGAAAGAGGTTTTGTTGAACATTTTTTTGCAAGTGCCTATTTTAAAATTCCTGAATTTAGAACTAAAATAATTGAGAGTGTTTAAAGAACTGATGATCCATAAATACCAGAATGGAGATCACTTACTAAATAAACTGATGAAATAACCAACAAAGAATTTAATGATTTATTTGATTGGAATAGACACTTTTATGAATATCTTACTAAATAACCTAAATATAATGCTAATATCAATAAACTTATGGAAATTATCAATTAAGAAGAATGGTAGAAGAGAATTGGTAAAAGAGGCATTGCATTCTTCTTCTTTCTTAAGGAATGGTGTGATTTAATTGATATATCAGTTGTAGTCAAATAGAATGTTCCATATCAATAATTACCAGGGTATAATGTTTTAATTAAAGCCATGCTCTTGGAAATGAAAGCCAAAGAACTTAAGAATTATCCAGATATTATGAAAGCTGCTATGTGTTCACTCTTAAATAACACAAGTCTATTGAACATTGTTATAGTTATTCTCTTTAACAAAACAAATCTCTTTGATTCTGATACTCTATTGAATTGCTTAGAAATTCTTAATTCTTGTTTATAATATCTCTGCAATCATAAATTATCAATGCCAACCTCATTGGATTAATAGTTCTTTTTAAAAGGAATTAGAATGATTCTATTATAATGTGAACATGCATTCAGTGTTTCAAAATGTCTTTGGCTCATATATAATAACTATGTCTTATTTCCATGTAATAAATATAAACATTAATTAATAGTGGACATTAGGAAAGACTTAACAGACTTGCTGTTTGAGAATGTGGCAACCAAGTTTTTTATGCATTGGTCTTTCAATATTAGAATGATTTTCCATCATATTCTACTTTATAGAATATAACATCTTCATAAATCTAATAAGAATTTGAATGAGGAGTATAATTCTTAATTTATCATTTAGAGATTTAATACAAAAATATTAACAATAAGTGAAGCCTAAAAAATAGCATAGTTTTTTCGATTAAAAAAATTCATCTAAGGCTATTATTGTAATTATTTAGTATAATAGATATATAGTCTGATGTAATTTATATGAAGTTCTTTCGATTTATGTAATAAATAGAAGAGGGTAAACAATTATCTACAAATCAGTTATTAAATTAAATGATTGAGGAAACTCATTTTCATAAATAAATGAAAACTAAATTAATAAAAAAAAGAATTTAAGATAAAAAAAAAGTTTCGTCTGACTAAAATAGTAGTAGTGATGCTTAATCATATAGAATTATTGATGAAGATGAATAAGATATTGCAATCCCATTATTTACAGGAACTAGTAATGAATTAAAACCTTAAATTAAATTACCTGAAAAAAAAGTTGCTGTGACTCAAAATTAATTAAAATATTTAATAAAAGCATGTTCTGAATTTGAAGAATTAAAATATAAATATTAAAAATGGAAATAATCAGTCATACCTGTTAATTTTAATTCATTGTCAGAAGATGGTAAATAAAAGATAATAATCATTAGAAAAAATAAATTTAAATGAAACTTTTAAGGTCCCAGAAGTTAAACTAGCTGTTCCATTAGATGAAAAAGAAGGAAACATCAAAAATACCGATGAATGGTGAAATATGATTTTTCCTTTTAAATTTAATAAATAACTATTAAGAATAGTTTGTGTTTAAAACTATATATTAATTCATTAATATATAAAAATTATAATGTCACATAAAATTAAAGTAGACGTAAATCAAGATGAAATATAAGTAGGTGGAGAAATGATCCTTTGTTTAGCAGATTAATAATTGTTGAATGGTGATTAATTAAATGAAGTAGATGATATACTTGAAAATGATGAAATTAAAGTTTAAGATTAGATTAAAAAAAATGAAAAATTAAAAGAATAAATAAAAAAATCACATTATAGTTAAAAATATGATGGTGAAGAAAAAAAGGAAATCTTAGAAAAGTATGATGAAATTAAAATAGAAAAAGAAGGTTTTTATATTGCTAATGATGGAAAGATAATAGAAGAACCAAAATAGAATGATTTATTAGCAATTAAAAGTAAACTTAATAAAAATTAGCAGATTTCATTAAATGTCATAGATACTGTTGCAAGTGATTATAAGACATGTATTCCTACTACTATAANATTTAGTATAATAGATATATAGTCTGATGTAATTTATATGAAGTTCTTTCGATTTATGTAATAAATAGAAGAGGGTAAACAATTATCTACAAATCAGTTATTAAATTAAATGATTGAGGAAACTCATTTTCATAAATAAATGAAAACTAAATTAATAAAAAAAAGAATTTAAGATAAAAAAAAAGTTTCGTCTGACTAAAATAGTAGTAGTGATGCTTAATCATATAGAATTATTGATGAAGATGAATAAGATATTGCAATCCCATTATTTACAGGAACTAGTAATGAATTAAAACCTTAAATTAAATTACCTGAAAAAAAAGTTGCTGTGACTCAAAATTAATTAAAATATTTAATAAAAGCATGTTCTGAATTTGAAGAATTAAAATATAAATATTAAAAATGGAAATAATCAGTCATACCTGTTAATTTTAATTCATTGTCAGAAGATGGTAAATAAAAGATAATAATCATTAGAAAAAATAAATTTAAATGAAACTTTTAAGGTCCCAGAAGTTAAACTAGCTGTTCCATTAGATGAAAAAGAAGGAAACATCAAAAATACCGATGAATGGTGAAATATGATTTTTCCTTTTAAATTTAATAAATAACTATTAAGAATAGTTTGTGTTTAAAACTATATATTAATTCATTAATATATAAAAATTATAATGTCACATAAAATTAAAGTAGACGTAAATCAAGATGAAATATAAGTAGGTGGAGAAATGATCCTTTGTTTAGCAGATTAATAATTGTTGAATGGTGATTAATTAAATGAAGTAGATGATATACTTGAAAATGATGAAATTAAAGTTTAAGATTAGATTAAAAAAAATGAAAAATTAAAAGAATAAATAAAAAAATCACATTATAGTTAAAAATATGATGGTGAAGAAAAAAAGGAAATCTTAGAAAAGTATGATGAAATTAAAATAGAAAAAGAAGGTTTTTATATTGCTAATGATGGAAAGATAATAGAAGAACCAAAATAGAATGATTTATTAGCAATTAAAAGTAAACTTAATAAAAATTAGCAGATTTCATTAAATGTCATAGATACTGTTGCAAGTGATTATAAGACATGTATTCCTACTACTATAATAAAAAAGAAATTTAAAAAACCATAATAAGCTAATCCATTTGCTGAAGAAAGAATATCAAAAATAGATAAGGCTTTATTAGAGGAAGATGATTATGAATTATTACAGAGATCTATATTAAATTAATAAAGATAGAAAATGAATTAATAAATATTTAAATAAGAAGACAATATTAAAGAACTTATGGATTAAAATAAATAAAAAGAAGAAGAATTATAGAAATCAAAATAAAATGAATTTATGATTCCTTAAGTAAAAATTTAAGGAAGTGAAGTACAAGAAATAAAAGTTATAGAATAATCAACAGATTTTTTAAGTAATGTTAAGACAGATAAAGAAATGGAAGAGATTAATTTGAGAATTAACACTGGATATTCAATCAGAGATACTAAAAATGGAACAACCTCAGTTGTAAATGTTAGATTACCTACAGAAAGAATAGTTGTTTAAAATAGATAATAATCTAAAATGGAATTAGAGAACATTAAGGAAGAGAATTTAAAAAGTGATATTTTTGTTGAGAAAGAAGAGTAATAAGAGAAAGACAATGATGGTAGTATTAAAAAGGAAGAGGATGGTATAGAATTTTTGGAAGAAGAATAACATGGTCATGGATTAACTGCAACTTTAGAATTATTGAGAAAGAGGGGAGAATTGAATCCATCAAAATATGATTATGTTGGAAGAAATAAAGATCAAAGGGTTTTCAAAGATTAAGAACAAAAGGATGGTGAAATAAATTTAGTTTATAGAGATCATTCTGGAAAATTAATGACACCTAAAGAAGCATTTAGATATTAATGTTGGATATTTCATGGAGATGGTCCAAGTAAGAATAAAATAGAGAAAAAGAAGAGAAGTGAATTAATAAGATAAAAACAGAAAATGAGAGCTTAATCTGAAGGACCCTTAATGTAAGCTTTGAAGGAAGAGTAAAAGAAGAAAGGAGTAGCACATTTAGTAATAGGGAAAAAGAAGTATTGAAGTCTTATACAAGATTATTATATATTTATAAACTATTTTAAGATGCTTAAATAAATTATGAAAACAATATAAAACCATAAATTATGATGATAAGAAAATTTAAATCTTTTTTTTAGATAAAAATTAAATGAAGGTATAAATATTAAGTATATTCAGATCTACGTTGACGCATTCAGTGGAGAAGAAATTGTTTCAGACAGTTTCAATATGGAAGAGAAATTTGAAGGTGCTATTGGTGAAGTATAATCATAAGATATTGTTAAAGGAGCAATCAATGTTGATGTTGGTAAATTAAATAAATAATAATTTTAGGTGCTGGTGGTCATTTTGGTGGCAAGAATGAAGATGAAGAAGAAGGAGGTGTTGAAGATTAAGCCTAAAAAGTGAATAATATTATTGATGCTTTTAAATATGCTGAAACATAATTTACCAAAGCTGATTATGTCACTTATTTCAAGGCTTATGCCAAGAAAGTTAAGGCATACTTAGAAGCCAATAAACCAGATAGAGTTGCTTCATTCTAAAAGGGAGCAGGTGAATTCATCAAATGGGTTTCCACTAACTTCAATGATCTCTAATTGTAATTAATGCAAATAATATATTTTAGCTACTGTCCTGAGTCATACGATATGGAAAATCACATCGTTCTTGGTTATTATAAAGAAGGTTAAGCATCTCCAACCTTTGTTTATATTTTAGATGGATTAAAAGAAGTCAAGATGTGATGTATATATACATTAATACATATCATTAACAGAAATTCTTAATTAAATATTGCGTCTTATTACATATTAAATAATAATAAGTAAAATATAATTATAGGTTTCATCTTTTAGCTAAAATCATTCTATCACAATTAAAACATTTGAATTTATTATTACCAATTGCACATAAATGACATCTAAATAATTGATGCTTTCCTATTTATTTTTAACATAAATGACATGTTTTCTCTTGGAATCCTTTGCCACATCCATAACATGCTTTTGCTGGATATTCTATTGTTGTAATTTATCTGGTTCTGCAAATAAAACAATTATGTGGATTTATGGGTGGTTTTTTATCTCTATAATTATCCCTTTCTGTATCTTACTACATTAAACATCGATCACAAATAAAGCATTTTATACCTGCTCTTGTTTATTCTTTAACTAAAATAATTGATATAAATAATATATACTTTTAATCATTGAAGATAAATTATCAATTGAATGAACTAATTTAAATAAATCTTATAATTATACTACTCCTCTCTCAGTAATATTAGTTTTCATTAAATTAAGATACTTTAAAGATTTATATTGTTCTGCCTAATAAAATTCATATATTGCTCCACAAAAACTATCTGTAATGTCTTCATTCTTTGCTATTGACAACTTTTCTATGTTAATCATAATAGGACTCTTTATGAACTTTAAAAGTGTTACTTTAACATTAAATATCAAAATTACTCTCTGGAAAGGGTTGTCCATCTAAATTTAAATTCTTTAATGAACTCATATATTTTGCTTCACTTAAAATTCTAATGGCTTCCCCAGTCATATATGATTTAGTAAAAGTTCCAATATTTAATTCCACCATATTAATAGTGTTAGGAGAATTACAAAGATGAGTCATGCTTTCATTAGTCAATGGACAACTATTAATTATAAAAACCATCAAGGATTTGCAAAATTCTGAATAAGCAAAGGCTTTAATGCTTTCATCTGTAAGTGGCTAATGAGATAAATCTAAGTATTCCAAAAATGCACTATTAGAGGAATTAAAGTATTCAATCAATCCTTTATCAGTGACTTTAGTAAATGACAAATTCAAATATCTAAGACGAACATTCTAACTAAAAGATATACATTATAGTCCTCTATCTGTTATATTTAATCCTTAAAGAGATAACTTGTTGAGATGATTCACAAAATTTCTAAACTTATTTGAATCTGAGAACTGAGTTTATGAATCACTTGTATGAGTCATAGCAGCAGTACTATTAAAATTTTAACCTGTCATTCCTCTTGTAGATTCTAAATGTTTTTTAGTTCTTCTTAAACTTTGAGTAGCATATAAAGTATATTAATCTACAGGTTTTGTAAAAGGTTATGTAATGAACATAATTCCATTATCAGAAACAGCACTATCATCAAGGAATAAAGTTTCAAGTTTAACTAAATATTATGACTCTCCTATCAATCTTAGGAATATGTCTGTAACATTATAAGAATTTTTGGATAAATCCAATTCAGTTATATTACAACAATTTTTTGAGGAACAAATTATGGACATCCCTTATTCAGTGATATTACTTTATTATAAATCCAATTTTTGTAAATCTTGCATATTGAATTTTTTGCATTCAAATTCCAAAGTATTATCATCAAATATCTTCATACCTGATTTCTCCTTTTTTGTGAAATCAACATGTTCTTCTTTATCTTCTTTCTTAAATTAATAAGTTTCTTCGACATAGGGCATTCTTATGTGATTTGTAGCTTTGTAATAATGTTTATAACCTGACAGGATATTACCACTAATTGGTATTCCATATCCTCCTTTTTAGAGATTATAATCCATTATATAAATTATAATTAAAAATCAATGGCAACCTAAATTTCATATAAATAAATATAATTAAAAAAATTATTACAAAAAATTGGCTCTATTAAATAAAGAATAAAGAGTATCAATTTAATGTCTTTTATGATTCATCAGGCAATTCTTTCGAGTAGATAGAGGAAGCTTTAAAACTATTCAAGTATTCCTTATTTGTTCTATTTAACATTACTGAATCAACCTCTGTTAATATTTTTGGTAACTTTAAAGATTTGATGATAGTTTAAGATGATATAGAGCATTCTGGTATTGAATATTTTGGTCTTGCAGCTGCAGGAAACACCTAATTATAAATTATTGTTACTTTATTGATAATAATAATCTAAGTACTTTTACTAGCCTCGATATTAAATAATGCTTTATCTAAGGATAATGGTTCACTATTCTAAACATTTTATTTAATAATGTCAATATTCCTTCTAAAATTATAATGAGCTTTATTAATATGACCATGTCCTTACAACATTTCATATCCTGTATGTTCAATAGGATTTCCAATTCTTTCAACAGAATTTTTTATTCTAGTTTTAGTCTAAGCTGCTTCTATAAATGGAACATCTCTATGTTCAACACATAAAGGTATTTTTTTGATTTCTTTAATAAGATTCAAGGATTATGTTCTTTAATTTTGTTTTTTGGCATCAAACTTTTATAATTTTTAAATTGCTTATCCTTTTTAGAAATACTATAAGAATCTTTATTTATCTAATACAAAATAAATAACTTTTTAGCTTATACTAATAGCTCTATATTATCTTTTAGTACCAGCCAAAACCTTAAAGTTATAATTAAATATACTTCTTCATGCCCAAATATCTAACCTGCAGTAATAACAGAAGTTCTAACTCTTTCTAATTTTCTATCTGTTTTTGTTAAGAACTTTTAAAGTGTAAGATTGGGAGTTATTTATTATTAAGTTACATCAACAAAGCGTGACAATTCTATTTCTCCTTATTTCAGTAAATATATATTACTAATGTATATAAAGATAATAATACTTTGCATCTTCATCTTCTTTATATACCACTTAAAATAGTTTTCTTTCTTCAATTTTAAAATGATAATATAATTGATTTAACATCTATTCATTCCAATCAGAAAATATGGCTACTTTACTTAAAAATCCAATATTCTGTTTTTATTATGCTTCATAGAATGCTGACAATAATTTATTAAATTAATCTCTTGTAACTGTAGCAAAATGAGTATCTTCTGCTGCAATTATTGTGGCTGTTCTTGGCACTTATTTAGTCAGTGCTATTTCACCAAAACTTTCTCCTGCATTAATTATGCCTACTTTTGTTAATGTTGGAAATTAAGTATCTAGATATTCTTAATCCGTCATTGTAGCAAAGATATCATCTAATATAACTTATGTTACAAATGCTTAAGATTTTATTTTTTTTGTTTTTCTTTTTGTACTCTTTTTAATATTCTCCATCATTTCCTTATTTTTTTCATTTTTTAATTGTTCTTCTTATTTTTAATCTTCTTCTGTAGGACCAGAACCTTCTTATAATCCCTTTTTCTACACTAAAACCCAAACACTACCCTTGAGAATTATATAAAACTTTTTTCCAAGATCACCTATGTTAAAAATTATCTATCTTTTTTTCTACAATTCATAACCCAATTATTTGTATAATCCTTATACCATTTCACCTCCCATCGATTATTCTAATTCTTAGAAAAACTTGAATCTAAAGAATGATAATCTAATTTTATCCACATCCAGTTATGTTCTTTAATTCGGATCTTTCTAAAGCAACTTCACTATGTTCTATAAATTAATTTCCTTTATAGCATACTTAAAGATCTTCGTCATCCTCAAAATCTATATCAGATTTTTTAAGAACCTCCTAAACAATCTCTTTTATTGTCATTCTATGTGTAGATAAATTCCCTCTAACTTTTTCTATTGCAGCCTTCATAATTTTGTATTAATAAATATATTGTTAATAAAATTATCAAACCCTTTTTATCTTATCAATTTAAAGAAAATAAAAAAATGAAATTCTTTAAAATTTAATATTTATTAACTTTTCAGATCCTGAATTATACATTTCCAATTTCATTAGTAAAAATAGATATGATTTATGAATCTTATCCTTTTTATATTTATAATTTACTGATGTCTGTGGATATTTATGATTAGTATCCATACATATAAGAAATTAATATTTAATCAATTCAATATGGTAAATAAATTATTTGAATGTAGCATCAATTTATTCAACTTCTTATCTACAATGTCATTAGAAATTTAATGTTATTAAGCTAAGTTTATTTGTTATTCATTATGAATAATTGCTATTTATTCATATGAACTAAATTATGTAGTTTGGTTTTTTGTTATCTTACTTATTTTATTAATATATTTGATAATAAAAATAAGATTTCTAGATTTAAAAAAACCAATGTACTATTTTAAAAATAACATAATAATTATTCTATAAAATTCCATAAATATTATTGTTTAATCGAAATTAATTAATAAAAAGGTTTCTTTCTTTTTATTATTTGATTCTTGATAAAAAATGAATACTATTATTAATATATTATATTTATTCTATAAATATAAATTATAAACTTAGAATTTCATAATTTTAAGATTTTATATAAAATTTGTATTTTATTATCAAAATCAACACTTTGTTAAAGTATAAATTTATAAATTAAGAGATGTCTCCTTTTATAAATGTAATATTCTAATGATTATTTATTAAGAGTATATAATCATATTATGGTCTTTTCATCAAATATGAATATAATTGAATTATAATATTTATCAATAATTTTAATAAATGCAAGTTTTTGACAACCTCGCTTTGCAAGAAGTATAATCTATAAGTGTTGATGACTCTCCTGATAGATTGAAGGAGATAATTAGAATGATTTTATAGGAATTGAATTAAATGGGATATGATGATGTTTGTAAAATTCTTGAAGATGAATCTCAAACTAAATTAGACACTACATAAATTAGTGAGTTAAAAGAATCCTTTTTAAATGGTGATTATGAAAATATTTTATAACAATTAGACTACTCAGACATAATCAATAGAGTACTTTATTATTTAAAATAGAAATTATAATTTGAGATATAAAAATAATTGTACTTAGAAATAGTTCAATAAAGGAATTATGAACAAGCAGTTAATTTATTAAGGTAATTATCAGAATACAATGAATAAGAATCATAGGTTTTAGCTAAGTAAATAAGTTAAATATAATTAGATTGATATTTGTTTCAGAAGATGCTTCTTAATTATATGCTTAATTAGGGATACCTACAGATTAAAAAGAATAAAGATTATAACTTTATTAAAAAAGTCTAAATCTTTTAAATTTTGGTGATTTTTCATTATAAACTTAATTTGATAAAGTAATTGATCAAGCTTTAGAATATTAAATTAAACGTTGTCCATATCACAATGATTCAAATGAGAATAAAAATTACTCTTTATTAATTGATCACAATTGTTAATCGTATTAAATACCTAAAAATAATTCGATTCTTTTTTAAGGTTTTGATGATGAAGTTTGGATTGGCAAGTTCTCTAATTCAGGTATATGGATTGGTTGTGCAACAAGAAAAAATTCAATATATATTATTTCAAAGGATTATCAATATAAAATAAATAAAGCTCATGGGATGGATATAAATTCATTAGTGTTTTCATCAGATGATAAATTGTAAAAATGAATAATTTTAAATGATTAGGTTATTTTCAGGATCAAATGATAAAAAGATTAATGTGTATGATGTATAAACTGCTTAATTAAAACTAACAATAAATTAACATACTAATGAAGTTTTATGTTTGGCTTATTTTAAAAAGTATTTTAATATATAATTATAAGTCATTTATTTAGTGGTGGTGTAGATGGATGGATAGGTATATGGTAAGACAATGGTAAATTAGTGAATTAAATAAAAAGCAAAGTAGTAAAGAATATTTTATTAACAGATTAATACTTGTTGCTTCATAATGCTGCAATATTTTCAATTACTGTTATTGAAAATGATTTTAAATTTAATAAAATAATAACACATATGGAAGAATAAGAATTGATTGTTTCATCAGCTGTCAGTTAAAATTAATAATTCCTAGTATTAAATGTTTCTAAAGAAAAACCAAAATTACATCTTTGGAGTTTGAAAACATTTTAAAAATAGCATGTTTTTTTTGGATTTTAAGTTAAAGGAATTGAAATGAAATGTTGCTTTGGTAGTAAAAAAGACAATTATGTTTGTGTTGGTAGTTAAGATGGTAAAGTATATTTTTTTAATAAAAACAATTAATTATAATAAAATGTCATTAATGGACATAATTAAGCTATTAATTTCGTTGATTGGCATAGTTAAACAGCCTAATTATTAACAGCAAGTGATGATAAAACTGTTAAAATATGGACATAAGACTAGGTAGTATAATAATAAATAATTAATATTATTAATGAATAGGATTAACCATCAAATTCTTAATTAAGTGAAATTGTAGAAGAGTAAAATGATCATGAAGAAGAAGAATACTAATAATAATCAGAGGGAGATCAATCATTTTGAATTATAAAATAAACATCAAAATCTTATCCAATTATAAATCATTCTCTTTATAATTAAGATATCTTTTCATATTAATATGAAATCTAAATTTTAACAAATATTATTATACTTAAAATCATAAATTATTTTATTCTATCAACCTACCTTAATATTTAAAATATGTCTTCAAATTTTTTGTTGAATCTTTTGTGGCTTATATAAAATCTAAAATTAAAAATAATTAACAACTCTTTTAATTGATATATAGAATTCATACCACACTTATGGAATGTTGTCGAAATAGTTTAAAATTTAATTAAGAATATGTTATAATATAATCAAAAGTACTCTTGATATTAGGAATATTAAGGAAATAAGAGGAATATTATATTTTCAGTTTATTAAAATTTTAATTTTAGAAACAATATTATTTTAACAAATAGCAACAATTAACAATTTTCATTTATCAATACATCTATAAATTTTAGTTTATACTTTAGTCTTAAAATATAGATGTTCTCACCTAGATGTTTTAAATCTTTCTGAAAAAATTAAGAAATATTAACATAGCTTATAACTGTCTAATGAAATTGTTTCTATTTCATCTTCATCCATTTCTATATTTATTAAATAATTTGATTAAAAAATAAAAAGGATATAAATAATATTATTCACTATAAAGTGATTCTCTCAACTGGAAATTTTATTTTACAATAATGAAATCAATTCTTCTTCTTATTTCGAACATAATTCCAATAGTTGTGTTCTTTCTATATTAAGAATCTCAACTTTATTTTTTTATTAAGATAATTAAGCTATGATTTAATTATATTTATACATTCTTGCTATTGTAATTTTATTTACATAATGTCATTTATTTATTATTTTGGTATCTGAATTATATGATGATATAATTATTTTAATGGATGCATTTGAATATTAAAATCCAGTTTAAGAGATTATACATTTTATCGCAGAGCTAGATTTTCAATTTTTAATTGCTGGACTAATTATATAACATTACTAAATTTTGTCAATTATTGATATTGCTCTTTTATCCTCTAAACAAAATTAAAGAACTTTATTACTTTTAATTGTTTGTCTTATCGTTATTATAATCTTTGGTTTTCTTAAATTAAAAAAGTAACCTGCTCTTTTAAATCTGTTATTTATTATTACAGTTATTGAACATAAAATTTGTCATACTAAATAATTGAAGATGGAGTTTTAGTTAACTTATTGGAATTACTTTTACTTTGGCTAAAATGAGTAAGCAGTGCTTCATAGTTAGATTACTATTGAGTATTATTCTATCGTTTAGTACTAGACTTGGATGACGCAGCTAAGTAGTTAATATGCCATACAAGAAGGAATAAAATAAGGTCTTGACTCTGTCATGAATTTTATAATTTATCTATCTTTATAAATTTTATTTCTATATCAAATTTAATAAAATAAGTATATCAATAAATAATATTGTTAATATATAATTTAAGAAAGAACAAATTATTTATATTTTCTTTATTCATATTCATAACTGAATATCAAAAATTAATATAAAATATTGTTGGATCATATAATTCATATTTATAAAAGGCAAAATATTATAACAATTATGAATTTCATAACTAATATTTAAATTAATTTAAGATTCAAAATCAAGTTTTTAATATTTTATTATAATTATGAATTATCATAAAATTGTCTTGAAATAATATTTAAAATTGTTTATATATCTATTAGTTTATTTTAATAAAACAATTTATTTAAGTAAGAGAAAGATTATAAATCAATTTTTTAATTCACCAAAAATATATACTAATTCCTACTTTTATCCATTTGGAAGTTTGAGTGTTCCTTTTCCATGTTTTACTCCATGAAACCAGGATCCAACATAAATTCTACCATCACTATATTCATAAGTACCATCTCCATGACAAGTATCTTTATAAAATCTAAAAAAATTGAATATTATTTATATTTTACTATCCAATATGATGATCTCCATCACAATTAATATATGTTCCTTAACCATGTTTTTAACCATTTTTCATAAATCCTTTATATTAAGAACCATCACTCCAAGTATATGTTCCTTTTCCAATAATTTCATTTGATTCAAATTATCCTTCATAATATGAACCATCTTTAAATAATAATTTTCCTTCTCCATGTCTTAAACAATTTTTAAAATAACCTTCATAATATTAACCATCTGGCCATGTTTATTTTCCATATCCATCCAAAATTTAACCATTCCAAAACCCCTCCAATATACTACCATCAGAATAAGTCATTTTGCCAATTCCACTTTATTTATCACAAATCCAATGACCTTCATATGTATCACCATTTTAATAAACTTATTTACCAAATCCATGTCTCTTATCATTTTACCAATTACCATCATATATTGAACCATCCAAAGAAAATAATTTTCCTTTTCCAGATCTTTCTTCTCTAATTGTTTCTCCTATATAAAATTAACCATCTTTTTAAGCCAATGTTAAACTAAATCTACTAATAAGTTGTTTATCACTAATTCTTGGCATTGACCAAATACTATCAGATCCTTTCAATGGAGATTCATCAGTTTTATCAGTGGCAATCTATTTAATATTTTCACTAAAATAAAATGAATATATTATTACAATTGATGATCAGATTTAAATGCTTCAATTATATCAGAATCTTATACTTAATCTAACCATCTTTTTCTCTTTCCTTCAAACCATTCTCCAAATTTATAATCACCATTTTATGCATACATAATTCCTATTCCATGTTATTTTCCTTACATCCAATTTCCTATATATTTCTTACCATCTTGCCAACAAAATAAACCAAAACCTTATTTCAAATCTTAATCATATGAACCTTCATAAATTCTACCATCAGGCCATATAGTTTTTCCATTCCCTTACATTTTATTTTTATACCATCCTCCAATATAAGTTCGACCATCAACCCAATGATATTCTCCATAACCTTGAATTTCATCATTAATAAATTCTCCTTCATAAGTTGAATTATCATTAAATGTCAATACTCCTTTACCATGTTTAAATCCTTTTTAGAATTCTCCAATATATTTAGCAATCTCATTCCATTATTCGATCCCATAATAATGTTTAAAACTGTTTAACCAATAACCTCTATAAAAGGCTCCCTCAACATATTTGTACTCCCCATAACCTGTAGCTTAATCATTCTTCCAATGTCCAATATATACATCCCCATTAACAAAATATTTAATACCATATCCATCATATTTTCCGTTCTTCCATTAACCTTCATACATTTAACCTAATTATTTCTTAGAATATTCATACCACTTAAATAAATTTAAACTCCCCAACCATCTTAAACATCATCTTTTAATTAACCTCTATACGAAGAACCTAAATAGTTGTTTAAATTGTACCATCATCAAAAATTATAATATCTGTTTCCTTATATTTGATATATATCTCTTGTTCGATCATTTTTTTCATTGTTAATGTATCAAATTTTGGTAATTCAATCACCATCTCTAATATCATCAACTTATTTTTTTCCCAGAAGCCTTCATAAATTTATTCATCAATTGTTGTGTACTTTCCATAACCATCCATTTAGTTATTGTTCCAATTTCCTTCATATATATCCCCTAAATTCAATGATGAAAAGGATACCATTAGGAAAAATTGCTTTTCCATAACCGTGAAAAGCTTGATCATCCAACAATTACCCTTAATACAGAATATCTAAGTTTATATTTATCTATTTACTATTTTCAAGTAATTTACAGGAACATTCATTTGTGTTTATTTCTGCAAAATGGGTGAAGCTTTTAGTATCATTTGCAATTAGAGCCATTATTTTATATTAATATTATATTCCAAAGAAATCTATACTTAATATATATAAATCATGAATCTTAATACCTGACTAATTTTAGGTAAATTGTTTCTTAAATAATTCTAATACAATTGATAATGAAGAATCAATTTAAATAATAAACTTAATATTTTCCTTACTCATCAAAATATGATAAATTGATAATTAATTATAAATTAAATTGATGAAAAGGCTTTCTAATTTTTACATATAATAGGATGAATATAATTATTTTGTTTTATATGTTAAAAAAAAATCATATTTTTCTAAAAATACTATTTATTATTGATAAATGTATAAACCTAATTCAAGAGTTATTTTTCTTAAAATGTAATTTTAACAAATATTTTTCATTAAAAAAAGAGTATAATTTATAAATAGTAATTAAAGTATTATAAGAAAAGAAATTTTTGTTGTAAAATACATTTTAAATGGGAAAAAATATATGTAGAAGATAGATCATCATTGTTATTAAGATTTTTTATAATCATATTTAAGTTTAGTTTTTTCAAAGATAGAGTATATTCCTTGTTAATATTGTTTTATAGTATTTTTTATATCAAGATTATAAAAAAGAGAATTTAAGAATTTATTTAAGAAATATAAATTCATTATCAATATTTATTCAATAAAATTGATTTACAACTGTTATGAATTAAAATAGAAATTTCATCTGCCTTCTCTTAAAAAAGATGATTATCACTGAAATTCAATAGAATTTTAATATTTTATAATTTTATAATATCATAGTTATCATTAAACTCTTCATAGATTTAAAAAGATTAGTTAGCAATAAGGATAAATATTGTATGAACACTTCAAATTATTATATATAAGATTGGATCAATTTGTTTCTCGAGATAGAGCTTGCTAAAATGAGAAGAATGAATAAATAATAGGGAATGGAAAAAAAGATGTAAATCTATATAAAAATCAGTCTTTTTTCTTTCAAATTTTTGAGAACTAATAAAAATAAATAAAACTTAATGCTGTTTACATTAGAAAAGCAATTCTAATTAATATTAATCTAGTTACTTTTGGACAATAGTGAATAAGATTATTAATTTATAATGTATTTTGTTAATATATTTTTAACTTTTATATGATTAATCAAAAAACTTTGTACAGACTTAACTAAGTATAACAAGGATAGTGAAAACTATTTTTATCTATTTATTCTTCTACTTTTCAAAAAATTTGTGTTAATACGAGAGATTCTATAGTTTCTGAAATCTTAGAGATTAATCTAATTATTAAAGAATAGATAAAATTGAGCATAGCTACATTAATATATTATAAATACATTAATAAACTCATTTAAAGATTACAATGGTTTAATAAAAGTTAAAACTATTACAATTACATTTTTACTATTGATGAATTAAGTTAGTTTTCAATTAATTATTAATTTATAGGATTAATTTATAGAGACCAAAAATAATGATAGTATTTATATAATTATTTTCTTATTGTTTGATTTTAAAGATTGCTAAGAAATATAATATGGAAGAAATGTATTTTTAAAGAGTAAATTAATTAATAAAAAAGTAGATTGAGACTGAAATTGAAATTTTGGAATCTAATAGGGTAATTAGGAGATTAAAAATGAATATGTTTCTATAGTTTCTATATTAATTTTGATGAAATGCAACCTCCTATTTAAAATAGAATTACTGGAAGAACAAATCATTCTGATAAAATCGAAGGAGGTTTTTTAAAAACTGTAATTTAAAATTTAGATTGTAATAGATCAATTGATATAGAGGTTATTTGTTAGAAAATTGATATGTCTCAGATTGTTTAGTTTATCTATTTTAATTTTATATATTTATTATTGAATTTATTAGAAATTTCTTCATGATAGATTCAGACACAATAACTCTTGATTAAATTTATGGATGTAATTTCAAAAGAGTGCCATTACTTTATGCTGAAATGGAAGGAACTAATCCATTTTAAATAAATGAGGCTGATGAAGATTTAGATTCAGATAAACAAATACCTGACTAACCGAAGCAAATTTCACCAACTTAATAAAAAGCTTAATTGAAACCTTTGATAAAAACAAGAAAGAGATAATAGACTGTTCATAAATCACCTGTTAATTTGAGCTAATTTGAGAAGCATATTGGATTTCGAAATTCTTTTTATAAGAATAATAACAAAATCAATTTAGCTTCAAGATAAAGGGTAGAAGAAGTGAAAAATCAAGAAATTGGAATGTTTACTAAATATGTATAAAGGTTTTAGCTTCAAAAGTTATAAATTTGGAATTGAATTAAACGTAGATTAATAATTTGAATCGACATCGAATTTTTGCTATTTAATTATTTAATATTAATTTCTAAATTTTATACAAATTAAAAATATTAATAATATTGATTATGAATTCATCTCAAAAATTTATACTAAATTTATAATGAGAAATTATTTGAATTATATAATGATCAATTATTGAAGAATCTTATAAAATAAAATATAAAAAATAATGAATGATGAAATATTCATTAAATAGCCAATGAATGATGAATAGAATGATTAATCAGAAAAGTAAAAGAAAATATTTTTATTTTATAAGATAATCATTATTTGTATAAAATGATGAATCATTAGAACATTTAGTAAACTCATTAATCTAAAATTAATAACCTGATGAGGATGATTAATTTAAATCATAAAATGTTAAAAGGAGAATTAATGATTAAAGGTATTAATGAACTATATAAACTATTGCATTTTAGATTCACATTTCAAGAGGATAAACGAATATTAGAATTAGTATAATAGGTTGGTCCTAACTTTAATAAGATAGTAAAATCATTTCCTGGCAAAACTATGAATATGATAAAAAATAGATATTATAAAAAATTGCGCTACATAAAGGATGACCTATAAAATGATTAAGAATATGTAAAGAAACAAACTAAACATAAAAAATTAAATTGAATTTTATCTATTTATAGACTGATCTAGCTACTTTAATGTTGCTATTTAATTACTTTTAATAATAATTTTATATTGTTATATTACTTAATTGCTTTAAGTATCAAATGATTATATTTATAAATAAATTAAGTTTTCTTGAAACACTCATATGATGAAACTAATTATATTTGAATCGAATTAAATTTTATTAAAATTGTTAATAATAATAAAAAAATATATATTCAAAGAGTAAATTTTATGTATGCCATAGATATTTCTTAAGTATTAAATATCAATTATAACAAATTACAGTAAGAATGATGAGATAAAAATAGGTAAAAAACTTAATTATGAAAAATAAATATATAAAATTAATGAGTTTAAATAGCAGAACAAAAAAATAATTAAATTTATATGACAGATTTACATATATAAGGTCATAATAACAACGAAGAGTAATAAGAAGTTTCAGAATAGTCTAGTGATGAGGAATTAGATGTTTTTCATTATTAGGAAGAAAAGTAATGATTTATGATTGAATATTAGAGAGAAATATCCGATGCTAGTTAGGTTATTAGAAAATGTGATAAGCTAATTGTTAGTTAATTTATTGACAATTTATGCCTTATATGGAGATGACATCAGAATAATATGTTTTGATAAAAGAGCAGATATTGTTTTTGATGGGATAACAATATTTTGCATAGTAAATATTAGAATAATAAAAATTTAGATTATATTTTCTACTGAAATTGTTATCACATCAATAGTAAGAAAGGATTATTTTAATTCATTTTTTTTTTGGCTTGATATAATTTCTACAGTTTCTTAGATCCTTGATATAACGTTATTTAATATAGCTGTAGGTTTAGAGTAAATTTATATTATAAACAGTAGAGGTTCAGTATCAGCTAAAACAGGATCTGATTTATAATAAGCAAATAAAGCTTCAAAAACAAGTTCGAAAGCAGTACGAGTTGTTAGATTAGTAAGATTAATTAGAATTGTGAAGTTGTATAAGGCAGCAAATTATTAGAATGTAGTAAGTTTTCAAAGAAGTAACACTAAGTTAAATTCTACTATTATTATTAAAAATCCAAATCAAACACAAATATATCCTTTATAAAATGAGAATAGAGATATACCACTTTAAGATTAATTAAGAGAGATTCCACACTTTAATACAATTAATGGACACACAGTTTAATCAAAAGATTAACTTAACAATATGACAAGTGTTATTGATGGTTATGATTAAGGCAATAGTTATGAATAGCGACGTAGTTAAAAATAAATATTACCTGAAAGTTATTACATTTAATAATAATAACAAAATGAGGATATTACAGGTAAAATATAGGAAAAAGAACATAAAGAATAAAAATAGAAGAAGGAATCTAGAGTTAGTAAAAGATTATCTGATGCAACAACTAAAAAAGTAATTTTATTAGTAATATTGTTACTATTAATTATGCCTTTATTTAGTTCAGATTATTATTTTGAATAATCATTAAGTTTAGAATATGCAGCATAATATTTTAAAGCTGTAGCTGAAATTCCAAATACAAGATTATCTGAAATAAATGAAACATTAAATTTTGTAATAAGTCAACATGATTAATTTGATACACCTGTAGGATTCATAAGAAATCCATTCATAGATATACCAGATTACCAAAGGGATAATTATGAATATTTAAGAGAAAGTGCAAAAAGTTATTATTTTAAATATGTTAATCCAATATTAGTAGGATTAGATTACATAGGAGATCCAATAATTTTATTTGTATCAGATAATTCATAGGTAGAGAAATTAAATTCAATTATAAACATTGTTAATACATTGTTTGTCAGTTGTGTCTTATTATTTGGAGCTTTAGCCTTTGCAAATGATGCAAAAAATGTGGCATTAGCTCCAATAGAAAGAATGATTGCAAAAGTAAATGTTATAGCTAGAAATCCTTAAGAAGCAAAAGAGATGAAATTAGAAGTAGAATAGTTACAAAGAGAAACTACATAAATTGAAAATGCCATAATTAAAATAGGAGCCTTGTTAGCCTTAGGATTTGGGGATGCAGGATCAGCTATTATAGGAACTAATATGGCATCATCAGGAGATGTAGATCCTATGTTGCCTGGCAAAAAGAAATTAGCTATTTATGGATTCTGTGATATAAGAAACTTTACAGATGCAACTGAAGTATTATAAAAAGATGTCATGGTTTTTGTTAATAGTATTGCTGAGATAGTTCATTCAATGGTAAATAGATATTAAGGTTCAGCTAATAAAAATATTGGAGATGCTTTTCTATTAGTATGGAAGATCTCTGATCATTCTTGGTATGAGGAAAATGGAAAAATTAGATGGTAATATTATTGTTAATATAATTAAGGAAAAACTTAGAACAAATCAATATCATTGCAGATTGCTCCTTATTTTCTTTTATGAAGATATTTGCTAAAATTAATAGAGAACCTAAGATATTAGAGTATCGTAAAGATACAAGATTAACATAAAGATTGCCAGGATACAAAGTAAAAATGGGATTCGGATTGCATATAGGTTGGGGAATTGAGGGAGCTATTGGTTCTGAGTTTAAAATTGATGCATCATATCTTAGTCCCAATGTAAATATGGCTTCTAGATTGGAGGCTGCTACTAAATAATACGGAGTCTCTATTTTGATTTCTAGTGATCTTTATCTTCTTTTCTCTCAAGATTTTAAAAAGTATTTAAGATAAATTGATATGGTAACTGTTAAAGGAAGTGTAAGACCTATTGGACTTCATACTATTGATATTGAGGCTGATAATCTTCCTTCAAGTAAAGAAGACTATTCTCAAAATGAAAAGTTTTAAGTTATGGATTAAAAGAGACAAATATTTGTAAATTAAATAGAAGCTGGAGAATTCAAATCTGAAAATCATTTAAATAGAAATAAAGATCTTATATTAATTATGAATAATTTTAATCCTGAATTCCAAGTATTATACTTTTATATATCTAAGGCATAATTTAGTCAAGGATTTTAGGGATACTTATTGGGTAATTGGAAAGAAGCCCAAATGTGGTTTGAAAAAGCTAGATTAATAAAGCCAAATGATGGACCTATATCAACATTATTAACTGTTATGAATGAATATAGTTTTAAGGCTCCATCTGATTGGAAAGGATATAGAGAGTTAACAGAAAAATGAATATTTATTATTTATTTAATTTTATAAATACCTAAATCTTATATCTAAACTACAGATATAAGATTAGTATTAAATTGTTTATATAGGATTTAAAATAAAAAATATCATTAATTTATTTAATATCTTTATATTTATCCTTAATATTTTTACTATACTATTTTAATAGTTTTTTTATTTTAATTTACTTTTATAGAATATTTTTCGTTTATTATTATTGAATTAATTAATTTATGTAGAAAATCAACTTTGATAATTAAAAAGAAGAAGAGTTAATTTAAATAGCTAAAATCATTTTCCCAGGTTCTAGTGATAAATATTACCCTGAATTTTATAAAACAATCCAATATGTATAAATGGAAGAAGCTAATAAAATTCCATTTTCTTTATTAGAACATAAAGATAAGACAACTAATAATTACATTATTTATTTTCATGGAAATGGTGAAAATATGTATTAATTTTAAATAAATTTAGAAATGACTCTAAATATTTGGTAGCAGGTTTTTTAAAATATATTAAAGCCAATTTTATACTTGTTGAGTATCCAGGATATGGAATCTACAAAAATACAATTACTAGCGCTGAGTAAATACAAAAGGATGCTTTAATAGTGTTCGATTATATAAAATAAAAATTTGCACTAAATGATAATTAAATTTATGTATTTGGAAGGTAATTTATATTTATTTTATCAAGATCGATAGGAACTGGTCCAGCATTTTATTTAGGAGCAAACAGAAATTTTGCTGGTTTAATAATTTTGTCTGCTTATATAACCTTATATAAGTTAGTAAATGATTTAATTCCATAAAAAGCTCATTTATTATTAAATGAGAATAATTTGAATAATTAAGAGAATAGTCAAAAAATTAGATGCAAATGTTTATTTATTCATGGGAATAAAGATAAACTTACATTCTTAGAACCAATTTAAGAATTGTATAATAAGTAAATAATGATTAAAATTAAAGTTTACCTGCTCATATCAAAGAAAATTCATATTTATCCATATAAGAAAATATGGAACATAATTCTTTTGATTTCCAAAAAAATTTAGTTGAACCAATATAAAACTTTTATCCTGAGTTAAAGATGATTAATATTGTTGAAGATGATAATGAGTATGATTAATATGAATGATTGAAAATTAGATATATTTTAAATTGGATTATCATAATTTCTAAAGTTATCTCCATTTATTAGTTATTCGATCTAATATTTTTCTTGAATCATCTCTTTATTACTTTTCTAATAAAAGCATTTGAAAGTCTTAATCTGTTGTTTTAACAATATTTTTATGAGTAATTTATTAATCCAACAATAATTCAATGGCAATCAAACTATCTTAACTAAAACAATAACAAATTTTTAATACAATATTCCTTCAGATGTCTTCTTTTTAAGATCATCTAAAATATCTCCAATCAATTTAATAATTTTTGTTGTAAAAGTATCTTCTAATTTATTTCTATCAGAATCAGATAATTCAACTTCATATTGGATTTCTTTAAAAAATTGTTCTTTACAATTAATAAAGAATATTTTATAATATTCTTATTCATTTTTAATGAAATTTAAGATATTCCACTTAGTTCCCTTCATTAGAATGTCTTCACCAGAATCACAAGTTTCTTCAACCAATTATATCAATAAATTGCTATATGCTAGAACAAGTCTTGATAGAATGACTATACATTCTTCTAATGATTAATCTCTTCTAAATAGTAACTTCAATTAATCTAATTTTTAATACAACTCTAAATTAACAAAATGTCTAAATGCTATATTTTATTTCATTTGTTACAAAAACAATAATTACTTAACCAATTGATCTCCTGTCATTTTTTATTATTATTTCTACATCCAACTCAAATTTTAATCATTATACAGTTTTTATAATGTTGGATTATTTGAAACTAATCCTTTTTCCATACTTTCAAACATTTAAAAGACTTGATCCCATGAAATTCTTTCAGTTTCTTCTACAATCAAAGCCTTTGTCAAAAAATCTCTAGTAAAATCAGTGATTGCTTAATTCCCTTTAAAAACTAATGGCTTAATTAATATATTTTTAAGTAAATCCTATTCATCTCTTCCCTTCCAAGGTACATCATGAAAGACCATCTCATAAAATATAACACCAATAGACCAAATGTCACATTTTGTTGAATAACTTTTCCTTTACAATATTTAAGGTGCCATATATAAAGGAGAGCCAACACATGATCTTAATAATTAGGATGTATAATTATCTACATATTTAGCAAATCCAAAGTCTAAATTTTGATAAAATAATTACCTGCTATTTTAACAATACCTTCATGATTTAATATATTAGCTGGTTTAAGATCTCTATGTATAACTCCTTATTTAACTAATTCTTTAAATCCATTTATTATTTATAACATGATACCTTGAGCCTTTCAAAAATAGATTAGAATATTTTACTTCTTTTTCATTCAACCTTCTTTTTTGAAGAAATTCTTTTAAATCACCATCCTTGCAAAATTCTGTAATTATATAAAGAGATCTTTGAGTAGTAATTAGATCTATAAATCTGACAATGTTTGGATGATTAAACTTTTTTAAAATCTCTATTTCACTAACAATCTAATTTCTTAGGTAAGTATCTCTCTCAAATAATACTAAGTCCATTTTTTTGATTCCAACTATTTCATTAGTTTTAATATCCATTCCCTAATAGACTTTTCCATAAGCTCCTTCTCCTAAACAATGTCTTTCGTTATATTGATATTGACCAATCTATTTAACAGTTCTATTTTACGAGCTCATCAATATCAAAATTTTAATACTCTTAATTATACTATAATTCAATATAAAATAAAGATGGAGAAAATATATATTATAATTCTTAACAATAGATAAATAGATATATTAATGAATAAAAAAGAATTAGAAAATAAAAACTAGTTGAAATTGTTTTAATTTTACCAATCATTCTATAAAAATAAATAAAGTAATTCAGTATAGACATATTCAATCTTTATCTTCAATCACAAAATCCTATTATTTCATATATCTACTTATATTTTGATATTAATTTATATTTCCTGTATATCTATATAATTAAAGATGTTTCCTAAAAATATAATTATAGATTTACCTATTATATTCTCTAACATCATTACATTCTCTCATACCAGATAGATACTTATATAAATGTTTAAGTTCATCATCTAATTGATTATCAAAGAAAGGAATTATAGGTATTCCATTATCTATTTACCATGAAAAATTGCAAGCAGAATTATCAATTAATGCTACTCTCTCTAAATTTCTATTAAGTATTCTAAGATCTTTAACATGAATTCCACCAGATGTTAAAATACAAGATTCTCTATAAAGTCTATGTGCAAATATATCATTATTTGGATCTAAATAATCAATTACACTTTTAGCATATATTTTATTAGAGGCAGTAAAAACTATTAATTCAAAATCATCTGATAATTTTTTTAATATTTCAATTGCATTTGGCCGTACATTAATTTTAGCTTATACCTATTGTGTTTTATTAACATTAACAGTTAAAATAGCATCATATAATTTATGATCTCTTTCATTACAATGTATTAATGTTTCATCTAAATCAAATACTAAAGTTATTGAATCTAAATTTATATATATATATATAAATAAATACTTTTATATTTATTTAATTTGTCTAATTTTACTTACTTATTCTTAATGTCTGTATAATTGGCAGGTTTTAATTTGATACCAATACTTAATTCTTAACATAATTATTTAAAATGATTTCGATATAATCTAGTAAAATAATCATTTTAATTTTATAATAATACAGCTTATTTAACTTTCTAAATATAATATATTTCTTCTAAGTTGTCATTTACTTATTCTTATTAATCATCTGGAACTTAAGGAAATTGAAAGATCCCACATTTTGGTGTAATAGGTTTTGAATTACCAACATTTTTACTCATTAGGGAATCATAGAGTTTATCCACAATTCCATCATTTCTTACAATATCTGAAGATTGTCTAACATGTTATGATTATGTTTTATCATTTTATATTGTTGGTATACCATGTGATAATTTATGTGAATGCTTTGTTTAGACTTTTGAAAAGGAAGTGTCAAAATTTATTGTTTTTTGCTTATCTTATAAATTTTCACTTTCTTAAGATTTTTAATAAGTCTTGATAGAATGTTTATCTTGGTTTTTAGTAATATATTCTTGAAACTTTTTTATTGCTTAATTCAATTCATTTTGTGTAAGTAACGTTCCTTATTTTTAAGTATTGCTTTTATCAAGTTATTATTATAAGAATTATTATGTGAATTATGTATTCGATGGATTTACAGCTATCATTCTTTCTAATTTTCTATTCTTTAATTTATCACCAGTTTTTTAAAGTAGCTAAATCATCTCATTTTATTACATAAAATTAAAAATGAGTAAAATTAAAGTGATGAGCGTAACAGGTAATCCAGATTTATTACACTTCAAAAATTTGTAATTAACAGAACGAAAAAAGACATATGAGATCTAAGAAATGCATGAAGTAACAAAATATTTATATAAATAATCAGTCTGAATATGATCATCAAGTGAAACTGCTAAAAAGGGATGCTTCATTAAGAATTTAAATTAAGAAATTACAACCTCTTTGTAATTAAGAACCGTTTACTATGGATGACTCTTTTATGTCTAAAACAGTGAAAAGGTTTATAAAATAGAAATAAAATAGACCATTGTTATTAATATAGAATGGAACACCTACAGTACATACAAGTCGTAGAATTAAATTTACTTAGACAATGATAAGTTAAGCTTATGAATCATAATTGAAATTTTTTAATTCAAGAAAGAATAGTAATTATATATAATCAATTTTAGCTTATGTATAAATGATATTATCAATTGATGATTAACTTCATCCAGTTATTATTGAATTATTTAATGAATTTGCACCAAAAGCTTGTGAAAATTTCACCAAATTCTGTGAAGGTGTCAATATTGAAGGAAAATTTTATACTTATAAAAAAAGTAAATTCACTAAATACAAGCCTAATGGTTGTAATTTAATTTAAATTTTAGGGTTTATTTAAGGAGGTTAGTTTGATAAAAAAGTATCTATTTATGGAGGATATTTTGAAGATGAATCCTATGCATTGAAACATGATTGTGAAGGTATTATTGGATTTGCTAATGATGGATTTTAACATACAAATCATTCATAATTTTATATTACATTAGCACCTATGCCTTATTTTGATTATAAAATGGTGGCTTTTGGTAAAATTATCAGAGGAATGAAATAAATATTGAAAGTATTGAAATAAGAATAACATTCTGATATTGTTATCTATGATTGTGGTCGTTATGATCATTAAGCATAAATTAAATTAAAATTAGAAAAATTTACTGATGATTTTTATTCCAATATACCAGAAAATACACAATCATTTAATAAATTTATAGAAGCAGAACAATTACAACATAATGAAGCATCAGGTGATTTCACTTAATTAGTTAAATATCTTGTTGAATAAATGAGAATCATATCAAAATTTGTATATTCATTAACAAGTCTTAAGAAAGCAATTCAATAATTAAATGAATCCTTTCTTAAAACATAATATTGTCAAATTCTATATATATTAGATAATTAATAAACTTTATAAGCAGATAATTAATAATCTAAATATATTGTTGCATTTAGAGCTGTTGATGGTACAGATTCATGTAGAGCATCAGCATTTATAATTTTTAAAAAATAAACTACTATGTTTAAATAAGTTACATTAAATGATTTTAAATAATAAGCAGAATAAATTACATCTATGGGTTATTGTATATATGGTTAAACAACTTAACTTGTATTTGGAACTGGATATAATTTAAGTATGTTTACTTTATAGAATAATGAATTTAAATTATAATAATAGGAGTAATATATGATTAAATATTAATATAGGTTATAAATATCAAAGAAAGAAACATTCTACTCTACTAATATTAAAGATGACTTTTTACAAAACAAAATTATTGCAAATCTACCAACTAAAGTATTAAGATATACAGATAGTATTTTTACTACTCTTCATAGAGTTGTACGTCTAGGAGGTTTAGCAATGTATAAGGAGGTTACAATTTTTGAAGCCATTATTTGTGCATTTACTCTAGCCAGATCATGGGGATGGTCATTTTGTGATGGAACAAGTTAATATTATATTTATTATTTTAGCTACTTTTAATTAAATTAGAATAAGAGACATAAATTAGTTAACATATCTATATATTGGTTAATAGAAATGGATCTAAAAAATTGAAAACCATTTTCTATCAATAATTTGATTATTTTAATGTGTTAATACAAATAATATCATTAAACAGAGGAAAGAATTCTTATTTTATTTGACTCATTAATATAAATGAGGTTTAAGTTAAACATACATTATTAATTAAACAATAAATCTTTGAACGAGCGCTTTTTTTGTTATATAAATTTAAATTTAAAATTCATGGATTATATATCAGACGATGCCATGTAAAATATGCCAAAAAAACCTTAAAATGCTTATATGATATAGAGGTGAGGTTTACGATGAAGTAAAAAAGAAAAATTAAGAGAAAAGCATGACTGAATTAACTTAAGTTATTTCCTAAATGTGGAATGATTTAGATAAAAAAAAAAAAGAGGTAATATTTAATTTAAATTTAGAAATACGAAAATGAAAAAGAAAAAGCTTAAAATTAATATAAAAAAGATTATGAAGCTTGGCTTAAGAAATATAAATTAGATGAAGAAAAAGTTAAAACTTGCTTGAAGGAATTAAAATAAGAAAAGAAAAAACACAAAAAAGGATCAAAAAAAGTCACTAAGGCTTCTAAAGATGATGATGAAAGTGAAGATGAAGATGAATAAAGAATTTAATAAATTAAAAATAAAAATCAAAAAAAAGATTAGAAAGAAAAAAAGGAATAAAAAGAATAAAAAGAAACTAAAGAAAAAGAAAAATAAAAGCAAAATCAGAAAGAATAGAAAGGAAATAAGAAAAAATGATTAAATTTTCATATCCATTCATAATTCATTATTTTTATTACTATTCTCCTATCTCAATTAAAAATCTATATATTCAGAAAGTTTATTTACTATAATTCAAGAAATATCAATATATATTTAAAAATTAATTTTCTAATAATATTTCTCCAAAATTACATCATATAATCAATTTAATTATAATCTTCATGTTTAACTCTAATTATTTAAATAAAATTTGTAAATCATTTAAATGAATAAATAAATCTTTAGAATTTAATAAACATGTAAAATATAATTCTTATTTAAGTAGGAAATATTAAATATTGAATCGAATATTATAATTAAAACGAAGAAATTAATAACTTTAAAGTAAACATTAAGATGGATGAATAACAACAATATTAATAAACTGGTTTTATTAAAAACATAAGATGAGTTTATTTTAATTTTTAATAATAGTAATGATTAAAATTGATAATTAATCATAATCAATAAAGAAAAATAATCAGCAACTTCATTTTTCATATTGAAAATATATGTATTAACAAATGATTTTATCAATATAGTTTATAGAATTGTAAATATTTATTAATATAATACTTTTATAATATAATAGTTTAATTATTATAATTATAGTATTATTTGAAAGAGTATGATATAATTATGGAATAAAAAATGTAAATTTACTCAATAAAGTTATAAGAATAGGAATCTAACTATAATATTGAAGCAATTAAAAATATATGAGAATACAAATATAAATGGTTAAATTTATTTGGTAGATATAGTCCAATGTATTAATTTATTATGTTTATGTTATCGATATAAAAAAATATTCAATAATTTTTTATTAATTCTTATAAGTTAATTTATGAAATTGATAGGTAATGCTTATTTAATTTTGGTTAGATAAAGCTTAAGACTATGATTCAAATGATCGATTAAACTAAAGGAAATTAATCAGTGTCATATGTGAAACTAATAAAGAAGCAAGAGATTATTTATATTTTTTGAAATAAAGAGAAGAAGAAGAACAATAATAAATGCCTAAGACTGAAGTTTTTTCAATATTCATAAAAACAATAATGGAAGTATCTAATCCGACCTCTACCTTTAGAATAATTTGGGAATCAATAAGCATGTTATTTATTTTTGTATAAATGATATACATTCCAATGGCATTATCATTTTCAATTGATAGTTCAATTGAGATGGAAATCATTAATGATATAATGGATATCTTTTTTGTTATAGATATGCTGCTTAATTTTCGATTGGCATATTATGAAAAGTAACCAAAAATCTTATATTATAAGTGGAAAATTGGAGTATCGCTTAAAATATATAGCATTAAATTATCTAAAATTATGGTTTTGGATAGATGTGATAGCAGTTCTTCCTTTTGATTTAATGATAGGAAATGATAGTAATTAATCAACACAAATATTAAAATTTGTAAGATTGTTTAAATTTGTGAAGATCATACGTCTATTAAGAGTACTAAAATTAGGAAGAATTTTGATAAAAATAGAAGGTATACATCTAATAATAATAGATTTCAGAGACATTCTCTATAGAATAAACTCTCTAAGCTATGATATAATTCCTAAAAATAACAGCAATGATATTATGTATAGCACATTGGATAGCTTGTATATGGAATATAATAGAATTTGTGGATGAATAAGTAGAACTTACATGGATGACATAATATGGAATTCATGATGCTCCTTGGGAAGTCAAATATATAACAGCATTCTATTTTAGCATAACTACAATGATAACAGTAGGATATGGTGATATTAGTCCAAATACAAATTTAGAAATGATATTTGGTATTATTGTAATGGTTCTTTCATCAGGAATATTTGGATTCAGTATGTCAAGTTTGAATTTCATAATATAAGGAGAGGATTAGAATATTGCTGAGATAAAAGAATAAAATTAAAAAATAATTAAGTAAATACTATAATAATAATTCAATTAGATATATTAAATAGAAAAATATACCAAAACCATTATAAATAAGAGTAAAGAATTATTTAGAATGGTTAGAAGGATCTGCTTAAGTAGCCAAAAATTCTTAAATGATAATTTTAAACAATTTATCATCTAATTTACATACTGAAGTTTTGACTTTATTACATGGAAGAATATTAAAATAAGTAAATTTAATAAGTAGAGAATTCTCATCTTAATTAACAAATAAATTAATATATGTTTTAAAAGAACATCTTTTAGGACCAGAAGAATATGTTTTTAAAGAAAATTAAGTAGATAGTAATTTATTATATTTTATCTAAAATGGTTAAGTAGATATTTGTCTAACAAGAAGAGAGTTTTCATTAAAATTATTAAATAAAGGAGATTATTTTGGGGAAATAAGTTTTTTTAGTAAAAGTCCTAGGACAGCAAGTGCAAAAACACTTGATTTTGTAAATTTAATGAGTTTAAGTAGAAAAGATTTGTGGGAATAAGCACATGATTTAAATTCAGATTTGGAAAAATTATTTTATATTAAAAATTGTGTGGATGTTGAGAATTCATTAAAACCATTAAGATTAAGATGTTATATTTGTGATAGACCACATCATATTGCAAGAAATTGTACAATAATGCATTTTAGGGTTAGAAGATTAAAAGTTATAGAAGAATATTTAAAATAAAAGAATACAAGAATTAAAGAATTTAAAAGAAGACATGGAAAATCTTTAATATCTTCATCTTAAATTATATATTCAAAATCTGATGCATTATTTAGATATAGATTTTTATAATTAAAATAGATAGTAAAAACATCAAAATAAAATGAAAATTTAGATGAATCAGCTGTTGATTATTCAAAATTATCAACATAAATTGATGATAATAATTTTTGTCTTGATAAATATAGAGATTATTAAGAATTCTATACTGAATTTAATCCTACTAAAATAATTTCAGAAATAAATAAATATTCAGAATAAAAATTATAAGAAATGAGAGAAGAAAAAGAATAAATAGCTAATAGATTTAGATAAAATTGGATGAATAGCAGAAAATTAAAATAATTGTAGATTGCTCCTCCACGATAATCCAAATTATCATTTGATACTCAAAAGATTTTTTAATCTGATATCTAACATATTATATTTTCTGAAGATTCTTCCAGTTCTCATTCATCTTGTAATTTGTTAACCAAAAAAAGTGTGAGAGGTAAAAGACTTCTAGATATACAAACGCAAAAATAATTATTGTAAGTATTTTGACATCTATTTAAATTTAGAATTAAAAGATCAACATCTCGTTCCTAATTAGAAAAATATTTATAAAAAAAATAAAGTTCATTTGAATTTAAACAGAATAAAATTAAACGATAGGTTTCTTTGAATATATAAAATAGCCGTACTATTCCTTTGGAAATCAAATCATATTAAAATACTAATCTTAAGCTCTTAATCATTAATTAATATTTAGTCTTCAAATGAATATAATTTTATGTTTCTAATTAGATTAATATTATATGTTACTTAATTACATCAAATAAAAGTTGATTTCTATTTGTAATTTCTCAATTTAAAAAATATATGATTATATTAATATACTAGTTAAGTTTTTGAGTTAATGGTAATGATTTTATTATTAATTTTTAAATCACTTATTAAATATACCATTTATTCTTAATAAAAATAAACTTTATTCAGTAGTTATATTTACTATGTAAAGTTATCTATAGAAATAAGACATTAACAGAGGATAATCTTTTACTTTTGATATTGAAGGACAAAATATTTATTACTATTCAATAGCAAAACCTTTACCAAATGACATTATTGATGACCTAATCGTATGTTCAAAAATTAAAAAGCTTTTACTATTTTAATTACCTAAAGTTTGGTTCATTATGGCTAAAACAACAGCTTATTTAGTCATTGAAAACTAATAGAAGTTTGTGACTTCAAATTTCATTTTAGACATGTTTATATATAGTTGGTTATCAAATGATTTATAAGACTTGAAATAAGAGTTATTAAATAGATTGAATAGACTTAATATAGAAATGGAGAAACTTCATCGATTAATAGATATATTTTCTTAGGAGATGATTTTTATATAAAAAGAACTAGATCAAATCAATACTTGGGAATACTAATTAAATTATAATAAGAATTGTATTAAGCCACTCTATGTCTTTCGAGATAAGAGTTCAAATGACAATTAATGTCTAATCAAAAGAATTGATGAATTGAACATCAATGACGATAGCAGAAATTCAACTTTAACATCCTCTTAAATTTCTCAAATATCTAATCACAAAGAGGTTGAGAGAAGCAAAACAGATGTTAAAGAAATTACAACAACGCTTCTAACAAATAAAATGAGAAAGTTTTCTAAGTAGATGGAAAAAATGAGCGAAAATTTTTTTTAAGAATTGATTATATTTAATTCTCAAGAATAATAATGGCAAATAGCAGGATAATTTGTTGTAATTATTATTGAGACAACAGTCTAATCAGATTTTGATATGAAAACCATTGAGAAAGTTAGATTTATATAACCTGCATTACTCTTTTATAGGAAAGCTATATAAGTTTGGATGTTAACTAAATAATCTTAATTTGATAAGACTCAAAAAATACATTCAAGAATAGGCAAAGTATCTATAATTCTTAATTCAGGTATCATTTAGCCAATTTTTATGTAAAGCAAAGTGTTTTCTTGGTTAATATTGGAAAGAAACATTAACCATTCCTTTACATACATTTTTTTAATTAGCAGAACAACTTTATTCTTAAGTAGAGAATGAAACAATTTTGATTAAGGTAAATAATTCTTTAGAAAATAGAAAATGAGTACTTTTTTGATTCTCTTCAAAGAAAAATTAATATCATTATGGGAACAAAATTTATCTCTATTCGCTAAATCGCATATATAAAATTGATAAAATCTATAATTAAAATTAATTATTAAACTCATTTATTATAAATTATTTAATTTAATTTGGAAATAATTTATCCAAATCAGGATTGAAATTCTACTATTATTTTAAACCGTTGTATTTTCTAATGTTTAAAATGTTTGACTTCTTTAGATAAACCATCTCTTATGATAGATTAATATAAATTAATAAGTTTATTATGTCTATCTTTAAATTAATTGAACCATATTTTATATACAAATAATTAATTTGTAATTTTATGTTACTATTTTTAATATTAATAAGTTAAATGTCTATTTAATTAATAAATATAAATCAAAGTTAATCTTGACAATGGATGAGTAAATCTTATTGATATAGTTTTGAACTATTAATTTAATGAGTAATTGTTTATATATATGATCAAATAAAAATAATAGTAAAAATTAATTATCACTTAAAATAAGAAATTTATATAAAATTTGATATTTATAAATAGCTGTTTGGTTTTTATTATTTATAGTAGATAAAAGAACAATTAATTATGTTAATGTTAATTATTTAGAACTATGAATATAAAATAAAATCATTAATTATACTCCAAAATTTTCATATAATTTTTTAGACTTTGAAGATAATTCATAATATCATTTATATTAAAAATAACATTTCTTAAATTAATAGTGTACATATAAAATTGGATATTCTAATTTAACATTAAGTAGATATGATTTAAAATAAGAATTTAATATATCAACCATTTGGTGATTCATCAGCATTTAACCACTTAATTCTTTTTCCATTTTCCCAAATACCTTCTTTTTTTTCTCCATTAGGTAGTGTGATCATACCTTTTCCATGTTATTTTCCATTAATCCAATGTCCTTCATATTTTCTACCATTTTCCCATTAAAAAATGCCAAATCCATGTTTCTTATCATCTTTATAATCACCTTCATATTTTTTGCCATCAGCCCATTAGGTCACACCTTTACCATTCATTTTACTATTATTCCATTGTCCTTTATATGATTTACCATCTTTCCAATAATATTCTCCATATCCAGTTATATCATTTTCAACAAAATCCCCTTTATAATAACTGCCATCAGCAAAAGTCAAAGTTCCTTATCCATGCTTTTTACCATTTTCATATCTACCCTAATATATATCGAGAATTAAAGGTTTACTTCATATTTGGCTCCATCTGGCCATACTTCCACTCCTTATCCATGTTATAAATCATTTTTCCATTCTCCTTCATATCTAGCACCTCCTTGAATGTATTAATAAAACATACCACTATGAATATAAACACCTCTGCCATTTGCCATATCATCTAACCATTGTCCTTCATAAATATCACCATCAACATGAACTATTTAAGTATAACAAAAGAATTACCTAATTTTCCAAATCCATTTGCTTTATCTTCTACCCATTCTCCTTCATAAAAGCTTCTATCTGGCCATACATATTTTCCTGAACCATCTCTCATAGCATTTTTCCATTCCCCTTCATAGACACCTCCATTTTTCATTTCAATAGCTCCCAACTTAGTTCTTGTTGTTTTATTTTTCGTAGCTTAAACCTATGCAATATATTGATCTTCAGGTTTGTTATCATCTAAACTTCTCAAAACATATTACCATTTTCTCTTTTCATAAGTTTTGGAGAAGAACTATCATCAATAGAATTGTTTCGTGCCCCTGCCATTTGAGCTACATCTTCATCCTTTAACTGATTACTGATCTTTTCTTTACCCTAATAGTTTATTTCCTTTTTATACATCAGGGTCTTAATTTTAAGCATTATCAGGTTTAGCTGTTAATTTTGATTAACTTTATTGTTTTTAATTTGTATTGATTTCATTTTCATCATTTGGTTTAGTTTAACATTAACATGTACAGGCATTGCCCATTTTGAAATGAGTAAAATTTAATATTAAACTAAAAAATTAATAATTAACTTTCAATTTATTTTCTTATTTCATAGTTTCACTTTTGAATATTAGAATAGAAGATAAGTTAAATATTAATCCAATAAGAATAATTTAAGTGGTTTTAAATAATAATTATTATTAAAAAATAAAATGAAATGCATATGTAAAAATAAACCAAAAGACTTAATTATATCAATTAAAGATGATAATATAATCTTTTAAACTTGTAATTATTGTAATATAACATGGATAGGTAATGACACATAAAATGTTATCCATAAATTTTAAGGTTTTTATGATTTTAGTGATAATAGTGATAATGATAATTAAATAATTAGATTAATGTCTTAGATCTCTAATAACAATATTGATAAGAATTCTTTCAAATAAATTCTTGAGATAAATACTAATTGTTCAAATGTATTTTTGGTTCTCAAAGTTAGCATTCCAAAATATTTATAAATAATGAAACCAATTTTAGACTAGTGAATTCTACACAATCCACTTCTACTAGTAGTCCAACTATTAAAGAAACTAAAAAAAAGAAGAAGTAAAAACCAAAAAACAATGAAACTTAACCAAAATCTCAAGTTGAAAAATCAAAATAAATTTCTGATTCAAAAAATTCATCAAAATAAACTAAATTTTGTTCTTTAGTAAATGAAGATATACGAATATTTGAAGAAAAAATAAAACAATATACATCTGAAATAGATGATTCATAAAAAATAGTTTTAAATCTCCCATAAGATTGGATAAAAAAAATTGGATTACAGAAAAAAAAGAAATGATACATATGATATTCTAGTTTAATTATTCTAATATTTTTTATCTTTTATTTTCATATTAAAATATAATGGATAAGAAATATTAATATATATACTTTTTATTGTTTTTCTATTAACATTTTAGTTTTTTTGTGAACAATTTTATTGTTAATTCGAAAATGAAATAAAAGAACCTAAAAGATTATGAAAATAACATTTCTTACAATTAGTATTATATTCTAATTTAATGTAAAATATTGAGCTTTTTTCAAATGCTTAAGATGAAGCAATACTTTCTGAAAGAAATGAGCAAGAATAATTTCAAAGTGAATCCTCAAAAGAAGATGATAATTCTAGTGATTCAATTCAAAATGAAGAAGAATAAGAAATGAACCCAAAAGAATCTTAAACTTCTACATTCCCAGAATAATAAATTATTAAGGATGAGACTAAGAAAAAAGATGTAATCATCTAAATTATATTAGATAAAAGAGACTTGTCTTGAAAAAATAAAATCATATATTGGATTTGGTCATAGTGATTTATTTTAAAATGAAAGAATTGGATCAATATTTTTCTTACCAATACCTTCCAGATGGCCATTAAAAATATAAGTTACAATTGCATAAATTATTATTGCCATAACATCTTTATCTTTATTTGTTGGAGTCTAATAAATAGGATAGAATATATTATTTAATACTGTATAATAATGGACTAAGAACAATGTATCATAGCTATTATAAAAATAAATTTGTGAGATCACAATAGATTTTGTTTAAATATTGATTAAAACTTAAGAGAATGATATCCAACTCATTAATGTTACTTTAAGTCTAATTTAATCTGAAACTTTTAGATATAAAGATATTCTATATAAAATCGATAATTAAATACCAAATTCATCTAAAAATTATGTTACTAATGGAGGTATTATAGATTAATATACTCTTAATATTGCTACTTATTCACTTTTAAAAGATTAATAAATATCTGAGAATAAAATTAGAACATATTTATCCATCAATAATATAATGTATTATAATTATTAAACTTTGGGATCAAACTTTATTTGGATATTTGATGATGGATTCTTGATGCAATATCCAGGTGTGAATGTAACTGACATTAAAAAATTTAATGAATATCGATTATAAATGTATAATAGTAGAAGAAATCTCTCCCATATTCCTTTAGAATACACTTTTGACCCAGTTTTGAATTAGATTTTGTAAAGAGAAGTATTACCTATAATGGATATAAATAATAAATAAATTGGTTTGATCTTTTGTGAAAGAAAACCATTTTTGTTATATATATTATTTTATTAAATAGCCATTAACAATCAGTACAATTATACTTTATTTTTGTTTTCATAAGAAAATGATATTCTCTATTATGAAGAACAAGAATATAAGATAAATATAGAAGAATTTTAGTAATTACTAAAAACAATGAATACAGATGATTAAAAATTAAAGAAAATTAATATCTCATAATTTCTATTTGAATCAACAAGTGTTTACTCATACTTTGAACTCTATTAAGGAGATCTTTCAAATTAATAATTTATATTAGCATATTGTAATTATTAAGGACTCTATTTCGGAATGTATATTTTGATTTCACCTAAATAGTTTTTAACCAACTTTCTTGCCCAATGAAGAAGTTGAATTTTAGAAAATAACATATTACCAGAAAGTTGATAGTTTCAATAAATAATTAATTCCTATAGCTTTATCTATACCAATAATATATATTATTTTTTGTGTTTTTTATATGGTAAGATATATAAAGCCTCTTCAAAGAATAACAGAATATGCAGATTAATTGTTATAGAAATCTCAAAATTTTGATGAAAAATAATTTGAAAAATAATTCAATAATTCAAAAGGAGATGATCTCATTTAATAATTAACATCATTATTTGCAAAACTTATGGGAAATCTAAACAAATCAAAATAATTAAAAAAATAAGAGATAATTGATTTCTATAATAAGCAAACATATCCAAAAAATTAAAAATCAAGGGATGTTACTCCCATTATTAATTAAGTCAAAAAGATTAAATTAGATTAAATTGTAAGAGATCCTGGAGTATTACAATTTCCAAATTTAGATGATTGAATATTTACTTTTACAAAATTAGCATATATATATATATACTAATTTACAAAATTAATTACAAAAATACCTTAACTGTCAAATGGTATATTTAGTTTTTATATCATATCACTATCTTTTTCTACAAGATATCAATTATTAAACTTATATATAATATTTATATCCAATTTGATACAGTTTTTTTAAAATCAATTGCATTTTTTTACATATATCTTTACAATTTAGATAATTATTCAAGTAAGCTTCATATAAAATTCTTAAATGTTATTAGTTTAAATTGTGTTTGACCTCTCTACAAAATAAATCTTAAATAATTCTATATAATAATTCTAGCTTCAAATGTTTTTTTGAAATCCTATATCATATTTTTGTGAAATTAATGAAGATTCTATTGTTTATTATAAGTATTAGTTTCATTTTGACAGATTATAATTAATGAAATAATGATAATATATTTGTGGATTTTAGAATCTTAGAAATTTAGAGAATATAAAAAACATAGAATGATGACAATGGCGGTTTTTCAAGTAAATCTTTAAATAATAAATTACAATTAAATTTGATTATTTGAAGGAATATGTTTATGTTACATTAAAGTAATTAGTAAAATTTTCTGGAATCATAAGAAATGATTAATTAATCCATATATACGGCCTGTTTATTTACTCAGAAGTTATTAATGTAATAATTTAATAAATAATAATAATAATTTATTACGGCTTATGCTTCATCTAGAAATCGAAGTATAATCTTTGTAGTTCTTTATTGAAAAATATTCAGAATAATGCAAAATAATCATTCTTGATGGTAATTTATAAATCTTATTATTAGTGAATGAATCTAAAATTTTGACGTCTAAAATATTGAGTCAATGTTCTAGTGTTTAAGATATTAATGAAGTTGTTTAGTTTGATTTTTATTATACTGAAAACAGATATGTAAATTAAATTTATCTTATCTAGTTAAAAATAATGTTCTAAGATTGCAAAGTATGCTATGGAGAAGCAATTCTGAATCTAGGTTTTTATATTGAAAATAATTTACCATTGGTTATTGATAAAATTCCTATTCATAATAGATATGATCAAGAAGCTTATATTTAAGTAGGATTGGCATGGAACTAATTAAATTAAAGTGAATATAAAAGACTTGGAAACAATAGATGGTAAAAATTATATATCGAATTTAGTAAAATTAACTAAGAAATTAAAAAAAGTGAAGAGTGGCTTAGATAAAAGAGAGAATGCCAACATTCCCCAATATAAGAAAGAGGAGAAAATTTGATTCATAATAGAGAAGACACTTTAAAGAAATATTCTGAATAACAAAGCAATTTTGAAAATCATTTAAAATATTCAGAAATTGATAAATTAAATGAAGGTGATGTAAATACAAAAAGATAATAAACTGTAAGAGTTTAAAAACTTAGTTTATAATAATAAAAATCTAAAGAGGAGAAATCCGATATAGATGGACCTATAGGTTAAAGAGAAAATAAATTTGTTGTTCCAGGCAAGAAAAGGACAAAAAATGTATAAAATCATGAAGAAATAATGAGAGGATCAACAAAACCTAAAACTAATCCTAAAAAATTAGATTAATTTGATAATTTCAATTCTAGACCAACTTAAAATGAATAAGCATTGTTATTATCTTGTAGATAATTAGAAAATGGAGAATAGGATGAGAATTCATTATAAATTTAGAATCAGATTTTATAATATTAGAATAAATAAATGAAACAATAAAATGATAAGTTATAAGAATAAATAAAGAAATCAGAAGCTGCTTTTAATTTATTATCAGAAACATATGCTGCACTTTAATCAGATTATAAAAAAATGTAGATTTAAAGTTTCAATAGTAATTTTAGTAACTCATTTATTAATGAATTATATAATTTACCTGATAAACACAGTAAAGAATTTTAGTAAATAAAAAAAGAATCAGAAATACTTAAAAAAGAAAATGAAATACTTCTAAAAGATAATGATATATTAAAAGATGAGAAAGATTCATAATAATAAAAATATACTCAAGAAATATTGAAATTAAATGAAGAATTAACTAAAATTAAAAATAATTATAATGAATTATAAAAAGATAAGATTTAACTCTAAAACTATCTTGAAACACAAAAAAATACATAAATTAATAAATAATATTGTATTTGTTTTTAAAAGGAAGATTTTAGTACAAACAGAGATAAATTATAGTATAATACAAGTATTTGTGTAGAGACTATCTATTAAGTTAATGATGAAAAAGGAAGGGCATAGACATGTAAAAATTAAATTGATAATTTATTAAAAAATGATGGAAAGTAAAAATAATATACAATTTACCTCTAGATTAAATTAATTTTCATAATAAGAATTACATAAATTGGTATAGGAATATTCCAATGAATTATAAATTATCTAAAAAGAAAATCAATAATTAAGTAAAGATTAAATATAATTTTAAGTACTTAATTCCAAAAAAGACTAAATAAGACTTGAGAGTTATTAAAAAGAATTAGAAATAACTAAAGTAATTATATTTAATATTATTTTAATTAGAGAATAGTTAAACTAAGTGATCAAAGATGCAATTCCCTAGAACATTAAATTGTATAATTAGAGAAGGCTGTTCTAAATGGTAAATAAAATATTGCTGATATGATTAATGCAGTCATGGAATGTGGAGGATAAAAACTATATGATTAAGTGGAAAGATGTTTAGCATTTAGAAGAAGTTTAAAATTAGAATGAATTTCTAATTAAATATGACTAACAATTTTTGATTTTATAACATTTGTTATTTATTTAAAATACACTTTTCCTATATTAATTTGTTTTTCCTTATAATTGAATAAATAAAATTAGAAAGCACAAAAACTAGGACTTTAAATAATGAAAGAACATAATAATTATTATGAAAATTATTTACTTATTGTCTAGATATGATAAAATAATAATATAATAAAAATTTTAGAATTTATTTAAAATATAATGTCGAAGCAACAGGATAATCTATTTTAAAATAATAAATCTTAAAGGACACTTCGAACAGAATAAAGCAAATAATATGAAACTGGACATTTGTAGCCTACTCTGAAATAAGTGAATTCTCCTCATCATTCTCAGTCTATTTCACCTATTCGAAGTCCAAATGAATTGAGTATTGATAATAAGTAAGGATTCAATGGATAACCAAATATAAAAAATGCTGACTAGGTAGAAATATTAAAATAAACAAAAGCAAATAGGAGCACTTATTTAAGAGATTGAGAAACAAAATATCTGTATAAAATTAAAGACACAATAAATATAGGAATGTTAATCAAAAATAAGTTAACTTGAATTGCATTATGGATTAAAGATTGAAGAGTTGGAAACACAGCATCTTTATTAAATATAATTAACATAAAGTTAATTAAGAGAGAAATAATAGGAGAATGCAAATTTAATTAATGAAATTAATCAATTAAAATCTCAAAAAAATAAATATAATTTACTTGTTGAACAAACAAATATAGAAAACAATTAATTAAGGGAATAATTAAGAAAATTTTAGATGCTAAATTCTACATAAACAGGAGATATAGTTGATGATCCATCTTCAAAATAATAGAAATTAGAAATAATTTAAATAAAATAATAAATGATAAGATTAAATGAAGTTATAAAAAGTTTAGAAGAATAAAATAAATATTATGAAGAAGAATGTAATAGACATTTTAAAGAAAATTAATATTTAATTAATATTCAAAATGATTTAACTTAATAATTAGAAGCATATAAAAAAGAATTGTTACAATTTTAAGAAGAAAATAAAGTATTGTTAGAAAAAATAAATAAAAGTAAAGAAGAGTTCAATATTTCTTAAGAATAATTAATTTAATAATTAAAATAGGAATAGATAGAAAAACAATAGCTTTAAAACTAATATTAATAAAAGATCCTTGAATTATAAAATGTAACATCTTAATTAGAATCTAAAATTTAAGAAACACAATAGACATCTTCTTAAATGAATTAATATTCTTGGAAAATTAATTAATTAGAATAATAAGAGAAGGATCTATAAAATTTAGTTGAGCATTAAACAACACAAATTTCTTAATAACGAAAAACTATAAATCTTCTTGAATAAAACTTATAAAATTCATAGAACACAGAAATTTAATATCAATAATTATTATAAAATTATAATAGTATTAAAGAATAGTTTTAATAATATTCAATTTCTGAACATAATGCATAAAAATAATATTTAGAATAATAAAATAAAATAGATAAATTAACAGTAATGTTAAAAAATAGATTAAACGAAATAGAATTATGGAAAAATAAATGTTATGAGAATAGTTCATAATAAAATAGACAACTTTTAGATTAACTTATATAAGAGAATGAAATATTAAAATAGAAGTATTATTGATATTTTTTAGTTAGATGTAATATTTTAGAAATAAATATCAAAGAAAATAGCAACCCTTCTTAATCTTAAGAAATCAATAAACTTAATCTTATAGTAAATATATAAATTATAAATTAGATTAAATAATAATAAGATAAAATTATATACTAATAATAGCTTTTGGAAAATCAAAAAAAATAAATGAGCAGTCCTAAAAGTTAAAAAACATTTACAACAGAAATTAATGTAAAAGATTTTAATACAAAAGGTAAACATAATTGATTAATACTTTATCTAAAATTAAATATTCTATTAAATATTCATTCAAATTAATTTATTCCATAAATATTGACAAACTTTAACAGGATCATTTTCAATAATTTTTTCACTTTCTACCCATGAATTTTTTGGAATTTAACCTAATTATTATATTAATATTATACCATTGTTTCTTCTTTTCCATAAAATATAATACATTTTAGTTTTACTTTTTTTAATTTAAACAGCTCTACCAATTTTTTCAACTTTATCACCTTATTCAAAAGAACCATCATAATTAATTAAAGCACTCTATTAAATAATATCAGATTAAATAGATTATTATTTATCTTAAGACGTAGGTGATTTTAATAAATCATAATGATGAATAACATTTTTTGACATTTTTAACTCTTTTATGAGTTTTAATTATGATTATAGTATAAATCTAACATCATCTCTAAGAGTATTGATTTAATGTTAAAATTCACATAGTTTTGTGTTAAATGTTGAGAGTTCACTTTTTTAAGGTGGTACATCTACAAAATCTTCAATTTAAGGAGGTTAATCTAATGGATCAAAATAGAATGATTTTCCAAGCATTTGAACACTCATTTTATACTCTGAAATCATATTTGAATCAGCTGGTACTTTGTCTGCTTTTTCCCATGTTGATTATGAGATTGGATAACCTGCCCATTTTACTAAAAAATAAAGTTAGTCATTTATAGTTCTAGAATCTAAGATGGCTTCCATTGAGAAAAGCTTTCTTTTAATTTTGTTCATAATTTTGTATAAATAATTTTTCCAAAAAACACACTTTTAAATTTTAAAAGCACTCTAATTAAAGAATATACACCTTCTTCAATTTTCTTAATAATTTATCTATTTAATATATTTCATTTTAACATATTCATCAATCTCAAAAGACATATCATCTTATTGAATCTGATATCCTTCTAATGTGTCTGTTAATTTAATTTATAAACTTTTAGCCTCTTCAGCAAAATAATTTATTTTTCTAGGCAAAGAAGGTAATCTTTAATGAATATGCTTTGCAGTATGTAGAGAAAAAGATTTTTAACGAGGCTCAGTTTTAGATATCTCCTACTTTTTCTTACATTAGTTAGGTTATTAATTGGTCATTTTTAATAAATTTTAATACTTTGACCTATATTTAGATTTGCAGTTTAATGGAGTACCTTAACTGTAATTAATTGGAGAGATTTGAGTACAGTTTATAGGAGTAAATATTGTGCCTTAATCAATTCTTTAGTAATTTGAAGGAGATATTCTTCTTAAATTACTAGTACCCCAACATGATTATCCAATTCTAGTGGGAATTACAACTATATTTATTTTATTTTATCCCTCTTTTTCCATTTCTTTAAGTATTAATTCTTTGATAATTTATTTTACGCTTTTAGGTTGTTTTCTGAAAGGAGTTTACATATTAATTAATAAATATATAAATACATAAAAAAAATATTTATTAAATAAATTAACTATAAAAAAAATGAACTAAGGAAATTAATCTTAATAATAAGTTAACAATTACCATAATCCATTGGAGGATCAATTAAATTACAAAAATTATTACAGAATAATGGTTTTACTTTTTGCAATTTTAGTTATTTTAGGAATTATGCAAACTTATCAATTCACTTAATATAGGAGAGAGAAACTTTTAACATTTTTATGATACATAAATTCATTTATTATTTGTTAGAAAAAATGAATAATATAATATATTGCAATCTTTTTACAATTCTAAACACAATTTCTTTTTTGAATTTAAATTCTTACATTATAACAGAATCAGAATTCAAATATTAGAAATTCTCTTTTCTCTATTTATTTACTATCTAATTTATGGTTCAAGTATACACTAATTTATACAAATTCTTCCATTTACTAACTAAATTTAAATCAAATTAATTCTCTAATTTATGATCAATTTATCAAAATTATACTTTTTATTTTGCAAAATATAATTATCTATAAATATGATTGAATTTGAAGTAGAAAATGAAAATATTATCTATATAAATTATAAATCAAATGAAAAATTAATAAAACATTTTTTCTCAGATTCATTTATTTTATAAATTATTTTAGATTAAATTAAAAGATATTAATAATTATTTCATAGAGTGTTTAGAAATATTTCAATCAAAAAATATATGGTTTATAATAAAATGATAATGAAAAATAGGAAAAGAAAATTTAAATATTAATTTTAGTTTCTTAACACAATTAATAAATAGCTTGAAATTAATATGATATAGTTAGGTCACTATAGCTACAATTAAGGGACTTTTAAATAATTTATTTTTATAATATAGAATGGTTTTATACATATTTGTCATTAAATTTTATTGTTTTGTCTTATTCATTAATAAGATTTGTAATACAAACAGAAAATTTAATTAATCATTTATTTTGTTAAAATAACAATTTCTATTTTTATTTTAAAATAATATATTATGCTTTTGTCATTGAGTAAGAGGAAATATAAAAATAATAATGTATGGTTGAAATTTTAGAAATAATATTTATCTTTATTGATTATGTTAAAATAGATCATAAGAATTAGAAATATAATTAGTTTTCTATCAATTATAATTGTTTTACTGTCCAAAATAATATTGAAGAAATACTTAAATAATAGTGAATAAAAGAATATTTTAATAAAAAGTATTAAGTAAAGCAAAAGATATTATTTAATCAAGACTTCAATAATCTGAATCGATAGGAATTTTCATGCATGATTTAAGTTGTTATTTTTTTGGGGAATCCTCAAGTGTTGGGTTAAGATTAAATGTTTCTTTTGTTATTTATACTTATGTTTTAAGTCTATCTCTGAATCTATAGATATCTTCATCTTAGTATCTCAGAAAAATAGTAGTTGTTGGGGCAAATTTTACATATTTAGAAATTTTTTAATTCCTGAAGCAGTCTGTGCTTTCAAGATCAAATTATGAATATGGTTTTTCTTCCATCAAGTCTTATATTTTAATAGGCATATTAAAGTTTAGCTTAGGTCCTTTGATTTGAATCATTGAATTTAGTTAACTATGATTAGAAAAATATATTTAATGAAAATAAATTAGGAATTGTTTTGCAATCTAAATAATAAATAAATGTTGTTTCTTTAATAAGATGCAATAATTCAAAGCTGATTTTATCTTCTTCAATCTTAAGAACTTAATATTTATTTTGAAAAAAATATTTTAATTTACCAATTTAATCAATTCCAACTTGTGATTGTATATGAAAACAAATATGTAAATTAATTTCAATCCTTAAACATCCTCAATTTTATTAAATTTTACTTTTAACACCTTTCAATTTAGATTCTATATATTTTAACAATTAATTCAAGAATAAGATATATACTTTCATAATAAAATTGATTATTTTTATATTTAGTATATTAATTAAAAGATATCTATATACATTAATTATAATTTGTGATAATTTTAAGATTTTAAATATAATTTAATGAAATTACATTTCATTTGAGTATTATGGAATATTCACTTTTTTAAAACTTTTTTCATTCTTCTCACTTTATTATATTTCTATTCAAAATAAAACAACTTAATTAATAATATTTCAAATTATAAAAAATAGATACAACATCTATTCATCTTTTAATAGAAACTTAAATAATCTAAACTTATATAATTAAACATAAAAATTACAATAATTTATATAATTAATTGATATATATACAATATTATCTATTTATTAGATATTAAAATATATAAATAAAGAAAGGGAATGTATTACAAACTAATTATAATTTATATTGCTAAAAAGAATTAAGAAATTAATTAAATTATTTAATTTATGGACGATCCAAGGTTTGCACGTATAAAGAAAGATCCAAGATTTAAATCATTACCAAAAAAACAACTCAAAACTAAACTAAACAAAAAATTCAGTTCCATTCTAAAGGACCCAAAGTTTTCTACAAAACCTAAATTTGACATATATGGAAATAAGAGAAAATACAATTCAGAATTTAAAGATCATTATGAATTAGAAGATGAAGAGGAAGAATAAGTAGTTTAAAAAGAAGAAGATGAAGAAAATTAAAATGAAGATTAATCATTTGAATAAGATTAATAAGAGGACTCTAAAGAAAAATCATAAGATGAATCTGATTAAAATGAAGAAGAACTTAATTCTGAAGAAGATATTTCTATATCATCAGGTGTTGATAATTGGGAAGATGAAGACTTAGATTAAAAGAATGCACCAATTATTTTATAAGCTACAAAAAGATTGGCATTATAAAATTATGATTGGTAATAAATTAAAGCTAAAGATTTATTCGTTCTTTTTTCTTCATTTGCACCTACAGGCTCATCTATATAACAAGTATAAGTATATGTTAGTGAATATGGAAAATAAAAATTGGCTGAAGAAAATGAATTTGGACCTAGACAAATATTCAAAGAGAATTATGTGTAATTATTTTAATTTAATTAATTAGACCAAAAAAATAAAAAGATGAAGTTAGTGCAGTAAATGAATTAATTGTAAAAGGACATGAAGAAGATTTAGATGTAGATCCTATAAAATTAAGATAATATGAAAAAGATAGACTTAAATACTATTATGCAGTTATTGAATGTGATTCAAATAAAACAGCAGATTAAATCTATTAATAAATTAATGGAAAGGAATTTGAATTAACTAATATCAAAATTGATTTAAGATTCATTCCTAATGATGTAGTATTACCAAAAGATAATCTCAAATAGGAATGTAATACTTTACCATCTCATATTACATCTAACAATATTATCAATAGAGCTGTTGGACATACAGATGTAAAATTAACTTGGGAAGATAGTAAGCCTAGAACAAATTTTTGGAATAAAAATATTAAAAATTTTAATAAAGAAGATTTTGAAGATATTGTTGGAAATTATGAAAGTGAAGATGAGGAAAAAATTAAGGAAGATGTTAAAGATCTATTAAATTAAGTTTAAGAAAATAAAAATGATGAAGAAGAAGATTGGAGAAATTCATTTAAAAAAAGTATCAATAATTTTTATTATTAGAATCTAAGAGTAATCTAAAAGTTACATTTTAAAGTGGATTCAATCCAGATGGTTAAAATTCTATTATTGAAAGGATGGGTTAAAAGTCAAAAAAAATTCATGTGCCTAAGGAAGGGAGAATTGATGATTTTTTTGTTGGATTTTAAGAATAAGAATAAGAAGATGATAATGATAATGAAGGAAGACCAAAAGAACATTTAAAATATTTAGAAAGAAAGAAATTAAAGAAATAAGAATTAAAATAAAAGAGATTTGAATAAGCATAATTAAAATTACTAGTTGAAGATGATAAAAAACCAAAAATTGGATTTAATCCTAATGATAAAAGGTAATAAAATGTTTAATATAAATTTAGATTTGAAGCTATACATACAAAACCAGAATATGCAATTGATCCAACTAACAAATAATTTAAATCTGTATAAAATGAATAGGAACAAAGAAAAAAATAGAAATTATTTTGATTATTTTATATTTATGTAAATGTAATTTATTTTAACATTTTAATATATCAAATAAACATATTGATTAAAAGTGATAATTACTAAACATCAGGTTAAAACAAAGAGAGATTTAAATACAATAATAAAAATAGTGATATTATTTATTCACGTATTTCAATAAAAAATATCAATCTATAGAGAAAAAAGAGTTAAATTAAAAATAGATCTTAAAATAAGAAAAAGAAAAGGAATTCATTTTAAAATAGCTATGTTAGCTTACTTCAATAAATTAATTATATCTATGAGGTTTCCAATTAAATACTCTATATGTAGAAATAGATTAAAAAATAATGAATCTAGAAAAATAAGGAAAAGTTGATTGACAGAAGAAGATAAAGAACTATTTTTAAAGAATTAATATTGATTATAATAACCTTTTTCTAAATTTTAATATACTCAAAACTAACTAAACTATTATATTAAAGTCTTTCTTATTGGATGAAATCCTTAAATTACAAACTCGTATGATTCCTTAGCAGTAATTTTCTCTTATCTCCATTTCTACCAAAAAGGTAATTCAATTAACCAATCTCTATACAAACCAAAAAGATAGTAACATGAGAATGCTATTGAAATAGCAGCCCAAACTATATAATCACCTAATTTAAATTACTATTCTTTCCGAAATTCATTTTCATTGCTGCTTATTTTCTCTTTATATAAACATCATTAGAAGGTTTGAAAAAATAATTAGGGTATTACATTTTATTTTAATAAATAAATATGTTGAATTTATTATGAATAAATATAAGAATTTGAAATATTTATATAAAAAAATAGATAACCTTCTTGATTATGTGACTGAAAAATTATTATAAAATATATTGTATAATAATATTATATTATTATTATCTTAAATCAGGAAATTTATAAAAGTAAGAATTTATTGAATGTATAAACCAAGTTTAAATAATATATAATAATTATTCTGATATGGTAAGATAATTGATGAAAGGGTTTATTAAGGAAGCAAATTGATTGGTGTCATGTTTTCACATAATTAATTTGAGAGAGGATTATTTATTTATAATATTAAATTGATTAAATAATTATTAAAGGATAGTATAAATATAGAAAGCAAATCTTAAAAGTTTAGTAATTTGATATGTTTGCAAAATTAGTTCAGAAATAAATTAACATAAATAATTTTGTGAATATCTTATTGAAATCAATTAAATAATATATCATAAATGTCATCAATAACAATACCTATGATAACATAGGCTCATCGTCTTCAAAAGGACAGTACTTTAAATTTTAGAACAAAGTTGCAAAGATCTTTGAAATTATCTGAAAAATATCATAGCAATATTCATCTGAAAAGAGAAGATCAATAGCAAATTAGAGTATTTAAGATGAGAGGTGCCTTCAATTCTTTTATGAGTTTAAGCCAAGAACAGAAAACAAAAGGTTTAGTCACTGTTAGTGATGGCAATTTTGCAGAAGCTTTTGCTTTCTTTTGCAATCATTTCAAAATAAAAGGTACATCAATTATATATATGATTAGGAACTGTTTTTTTACCTGAAGTGTGCTTCTAATGGAAAATAGAAATCATTTAGAAGTATGGGAAGGATTATGTTGAAATAAGAAGTGTTGGAGAATCATTTGATGAAGCTGAAGCTGCAGCTTAAGAATATATAAAATAACACGATAGAATAATGATACATCCATGTGATAATGTTAAAGCAATCATAGGAAATGCAACAATTGTATTATATATATCATTTATTTTAAAGGGCATAGAAATAATAGAAGATTTTCCAGGAGAGGTTGATTACGTTTTTGTGCCAGTTGGAGCAGGAGCATTGGCAGCCGGAATAGCAACTTACTTTAAAGCACTGTCTCCAAATACTAAGATTATTGGGGTTTAACCAGATGGAGCAGCATCTATGAAAGCATCATTTGATGCAAACTAAATTGTGACAATAGAAAGTATGTCTAGATTCTGTGATGGATCTGCTGTAAAAACAGTTCCTAAAATCACATTTGATATTTGTTAACATAATCTAGATGGTTTAGCAGTAGTACCTGAAGGAAAAGTAAGTTCAACCATTCTTGAATTATATAACTAAGGAATAGCAGTAGAACCAGCAGGAGTAATATTATTGTATATATTTTTAAGGCTTTGGCAGTTTCTGTTTTGGATTAATATGCATCAGAAATAAAGGATAAAAATGTTGTCTGTTTAATATCAGGAGGAACAGTGGATCTTTCAAGATTTGATGAATTTAAAGAGCATTCTTAATTATTTGAAGGATTGAAATACTTCTTTTTGATTTAAATTCCATTCAGACCTGGTATTCTAAAGAGCTTTGTTAGTTTGTAATTATAAATACTAATATTAGATGTTTAGGACCAGATGATGAAATTAGTCATATTCAATTTTAGAAAAAAGCTAATAGAGAAAGGGGACCATGTTTGGTGGCAATAGAAGTAGCTAAAAAGGAGAACATAAAAAAGGTTATGGAGAACATGACTAAAATGCATTTATAGTATGAAGTTGTAAATGATTCAAAAGAGTTGTTTGATTTATTGGTTTGATAAATTATAATATTAACGTATATAAAATATGTCTGTTATATTCGATTAGTTGGATGTATACTTATTAATAAATACTTTAGAATATCTAATCACTAAGATTTAAATTTACTTAAGTAATTAAGTTAGGAGTCTCTCTATATTACATAGAAAATTGTAACTTAAAAAGACTTGTAGTAACAGATAATCAAATTGCATTATATAATGAATCTGAGACTATAAATGTTTTATAAAATGTGTCATACATATGTTCTGATGGTAAAACTTTGTTTTGTTTACAGAGTATAAAATTATCTCAATTTTTAAGCAAATGGTGACCTATATTAAATTGACTAATAACCTAAATTGTTAATATCTTCAAAGAACTATATGAGTATCACCCCTACAACTGCTATTGATCATTCTGGAAGAGGATTTTTTTGGAAAGATAATAAACCTATTTATTCTCATTGTAAACATATTAGTACATATCAAGACAAAATGACATTGATTACAAGTATAATTTTATTTGATTAATTAAGTTGGAGGGAAGATTTTTAATATAGAGAATAATACTCAAATTCCTATTTAATAATTAAATGGTTTAGAGATTAATGGATATTTTAAGAAGTCATTATTATTCTAATTTGGAGGTATTGCTATTACAGAAAATGGTGATGCTTATTGTTATGATCAAACAAGATTTAAAACATAAAACAATAGCTTGTATACATTGGACGAGGAAAGTTCAGTTGAATAAAGTATTTGTTAAGAAGAATAAGAGAAAGGAAGATTTTAAAGATAAACACTTTAAATTAATGATTTATTTGATAATAACCCTGATTTTAAGCAAGTATCAAAAAATTAGGAAAATTAAAAATTATAGTTTTCATCCAAAGATATTCATTCTCCTAAATAATCTTTGGAAAATAAAATATAATTCCCACAAATTTGTTTATCAGAATTACAATTACCTCCAATTCAATCTTCTTTGAATAATTTTTTAAGTAAATTATAGTTAAAACCAGAAAAAACAATAGATTAAATTCTCAAATCATAGACATAAAAAGAAGAAGAAAATGAAAATATTCCATAATCAAATCCAAGTGAATTAATATCTCATGATTAGATTATATAAACAAAAAAGATTATGTCATTCTTAAAGCCTGAATAAATGTAAAATTAACTATAAAAGAATGCTATAGAGATAATGGATTAATAATCTATTATTGATTATTAAAATAATAGTGATTTTATAGATTAATAGCATGATAGTTTTATGCAGATTTTATAAACAGATAAAAAACAATCAGAAAATAGTAAGATTTAAAATATTATGTCAATTTTTGATTAAATTCATATATAACCAAAAAAAAGAAGTCCTTCAAAGATGAATATGTTCAAGAAATAAGATTAAGAAAACAAAATGATATCAGATTCAGATGGATAATTAGATTATAACTTATTAGAAATAAAAAACATTTTAAAAGAAAATCATCCACAAATATTAGACAAAAAATAATCACCTCCAAAGACAAATAGTAAATTACATAAAAACTTAGTTACTTTTTCTCAAGATATTTCATAAGAAGAAATTGAAGATCGAGTTATGTAAGTTGTTAATATAGATTAAAATCTATAAACTGTATCTCATAAGCATTCTCCTATAAAATCCAAATCTCCTATTAAAGATAACAATATTTCATCAAGCAAAAAGCATTCACTCTAATTAAGTGAATAGAAAGTCTTGACTAAGATTAATTAAAGTGCTGATGTAAGACAGCCTAGTTTTGATGTGAAATTATACCGAATATCCCTGAATAAAAATAATCATCATCTCATTTAAGAGTTCAACCTTTAAATTGTAATGCAGTTAGGCCAGAAAGAATATATACTCCTCTAAAAAGCAGAAGAAATAGCACTGCAAGGGGTACAAGTATTGAAACTAATAGATTCAAATAGTTGTAGATTGAAACTTAAGTTGTAGTACCAGAAATATAATAAAATTAAACACCATTAATCAATAAATTTGAACCTTTAGATTTAAGTAATGCCATGTATCATATTGATTAAACACTTTTTGAAAATACAACAAAGCGTACTACTGTTGCTTAGGTTCTTGATGTGATTAATGTAAACTAGAAATCTAATTAAAAAATACTTAAAGAACCACAATTAATAAAAGTTTCTTCGTCCTCTTAAATACCACCTTCTCTACGAACCAATAGTGTAGGGCCAATCAGTAAAAAAACTGAAGTATCTCCTTTGAAAGTTTAAAGATAAATAAAAAATTAACCACATTCAAAGAGTGTCAATGATGATACAATAAGATTGAAAAGAAGATAATAAGATATTATTTTAAGGAAATTGTTCTTTAAATTAGATATTCGTCTTAAACTTAATAAATTAGAGTTTATGTTTAATTTGAAATAGAAAAATGGAAAATGAGAGATTAGTTATTATTATTTGTTATTACTAATTGAATATTGTTAATAAGACAAAAATTATAATATGAATAGTCAATTATTCATAAATAATAATAAAAATATCAATATTAATGATGTTTCTTTATTTAAAACATCATTTAAAATATGATAATAATATATCTTAAGTCTATTTTGATTAAAATCTTCAAAAATTATACTAATCATTTTGAATATTATAAAATTTAATGAAATTCATTTTACATTAAATGAACTTTATCTATAAAATCTCAAAAATAATTATCAAAATAAATACAAAATATTAAAATGATTTAGTTAATTATATATCTATTAAATGAGGTGAACATCAATTGAATAGATGAAAGAATTGAAGTTTTCTTGATTTTATTTATATATTTATTTATTCAATATTAAGATAATTAATATAAATTATAATAAAATGTCAGACGTCGACATCGAGGACACAATAAACAGAATAAAAAATCACAAATCAGTTTAAGGCATAGTAATTGTAAATCATGAAGGTACAATTACAAGAACAACATATCTGAATGAAAAAAAGGAAGAAGGTAACTGTTATATTTGATTGTTAAATAAGGTGACACTATAGCTAAATCTATACCAATTTTAGCTTAAAAAGCTAGATCTTTGGTGCGTGACTTAGACCCAACAAATGATTTAGCATTTTTACGTATAAAATCAAAGCAAAATGAAATCCTCATTGCACCAGACAAAGACCTTTTATTAATTGTTATTTAAGGACCTAAGAAATAAGGAGAAGATGATTAATGATTAAAAATATATTTATATCATTTAAATAGGTCTGGCTAAACTAATATAATATTTAACAATAATACATAATTTCATTATAATTCGATCTGTAACATATTAATCTCCATTACTTTTGGTTTTAATGGTACTAAACCTTCCTTTCGAAGAGATTGAAAGCTTTTCTTTTTATTATGGTAATATATATGCATTTTCTTCTTTTTAAGCAATGTCTGCTTTTTCCTTAAAGTAATTTAATGTAAGATGAGAATTATGCAAATCATTTCTTGTCACTTTAGATTAGCTTTATGATTTAACGAATGTTCTAGACTCATACATTATTTCACTTTCCTTATGTTCAGATTAATATTATTGGAATTGATTTATACTTTGAATTTCTTTATCATCTAAAGGAACAATATTTCTAATTTCAGATGGTTCTCTAGAATTGCTATTACAAAAAGGTAGAGTCTTAGGCAATAATTAGGATTTGATTCTACTCCTTCTAAGTAAAGTTAGATTTGGTGCTTGGATTTCTTCTTTATTTATTACTTTGACACTATTGATATGATTAGTAAAGTTTCTTTATTTAGTACTTTTTCTATGTTCAAGTACTTTAATTTTCTTTAAAGTTTATACAAAATTAAAATCATTTAGAGTTCCTGTTATATGTTTAATAGGTTTATCTATTTAATATTTATTATTAAATGATTATTATTTTACTAATTCTATGGTACTTTCAATTGTAGCATCAGATCTCTATCTTTTATTATTATTATAAAAAGGTTTTTGTAAAGTACGAGGCAATTATGCATAACCATCAAATTTATCTGGTTGAGGTATATAAAATGCAGGAAATTAAGACAATGATTCTATGCTACATGGATAATGACATGGATCTGATTATTGAATTCTACTTTTGAATCCTAGTTTGCCAGTATAATCCAAACTAAATTTTTTAATGAATTCCCCTGTTTTTGTAATCTCTTGTGTGGCACCATTCATATTATTGATAAGAAAGAATTTACCAGTTTCATAATCTTTACTATGAATAGAATTATTAATACATACCGAATTAGATGTGAAGCCATTTACAAAAAATTAAAATATAAAATCAATATTCACTATTACGTTCAGATACATAATCTCTTCTAAATACAGAAAAGGCTAAATCACTATTTACTTCTAAAAAGTCTTTTTTTGTTTATAAAATCTCTTATTCTTTTTTCTCTTTATCTTATTTAATCTTTCTTTAATTTTCAGATAAGAAATCATTCTTGTCAGTTACAATTTGAATTGCAGGTGATCTTATTTATTGGGATGTCTCCTCTAAAGATTCTAATTACTATTCTCTTTTCTTTAGAGTTTCAACAAAATCAATCAAACGATCTTTTTCTTCTTTTCCTTTACCATAGTATGTACACATAATCACTTAAATATCTTCTCTAACTCTTTTTATTTTCTCTAAATCCATTCTTTCTTTTATCATTTATATTTCCCTTATTTTATCTTAAAGTTTATTTAATTCAAGTGAACTTTTACTAATAGCCAAACCTTAATCACTAAATGGTAAATTTTTAGCATGACCCAAATAATGTTTTAAACCTAAAGATTCAGCTTATTCTTTTGGTATCAAATATTTGGTCTTTTTTATCATATTATCTTTATCCTTCACTTAAACCTTAATTATATTAGGTAATTAAAATCCAGCCTATTAATGTTATTATAATGATCTAGTTGTCTTTCCTCTTTTCAAAAAGTATTTATCATCTTGAACACTTGTTAATGTAAATTCTTAAAAGAATTTTAGTTAATCTGTATCAAATTATTTGAGTTTATCAAAAAATTTATTATGAAATCGCATTTAAACTTTAGCTTCCTTTTAAGAATAATCTTTAAAAATTAATGAATTTATTACTTTAACTCATAAATTTAGAAACTTCTGCTTCAATTTATTAAGAAGTTAATATTACTCTCTTATCTTTTAATTATTAATTTCTTAATGAATCAATTTTATTATAAACATGATAACAAAATTGACAAACTATTTCCTATTTATAAAAATTAGATATTTTCAAATGTTTAAAAAAAGCACTATTTGTAATATCTCCTAATGAATAATCTATAATTTATAATATAAATTACATATTCTCATTTTGAATATCAATTATTCAGTTGGTGGTTTATTAAGATATGGTTCTAACATTTTAATAGTTTTAAATCTTTCAATCATATCTAAAAATATAGATTTATATGTAATTTTCTTATGTGTTTCTTTTTCTCCTGCCATTATAAATAAAGAAAATTATTCATCAAATTCATCATAAAAAATATTATTGGTTGCATAATGACAATACAAACCAGCACATTTATCAAAGTTATGAACCTATTATTTAATAGGATATAATGTAGCTATTTCAACAGGTTCTCCATCAGAATGAAATTATATATTATCTAATCCTGTCAAATATATTTATAAATCTCCTTCAGTCATAAAAAACTCTACTTATAGTAATTATATAGATCTTTAGAGTCTCCCTTCTAAAAATCTAACCAAACTAAAAGCAAAATGTTCACATTTCACATTCTATTAAGCTGCCAATGATTTATCAAATTCTTCTTTTAAATAAACAGGTTTCTTGACTATATTTTCTTATTTAGAGAATTCTTCTTTTTATAAAGGAATTTAAGCAAATCTCTTTCTATTAACTCTAAATTTAGGTTAATCATCAATTTATTCTTTAGAAACTGTTACTTAAAATATATGTTTAGGTGATTTTGTTACTCCACAACCAATAATTTTAGTCCAATTAGTAATAATTTCTGATTTTTCATTAGGATTTTTAAAAAGTTCATTGGCTACTTCTTATGAAACTGCCCTATAAATACGTCCTATAAGATTAAATGATTTGATATTACCTTATGCTAATTTCTATTCAAAATGGAATATGTAACATTTACATGTAGTTTTTAATTCTTCACATTTACATGGAGTTTATAATTATACTTAATCCAAGTTGTCAGATTAAATATATTCACCTAATCTATTTACATTCTTGGCTCTACAATATGTTCCAAAAACTCTCCATTTTAACCATTCATCATCATGTGTTTTAATAGAATACTTTAGTAATTTATTATTAGAATTACTTTATCATCCATGTAGAACCATTATTTAGGTTCTCCTTACTTCAAGATAATTGTATCAAATATTTTAAATCCAACAGAGTACATAGTTTCAAAGATGGAAGAATACTAGTATTAGAATTTATTGATATACAGGTTGTAACATTTAAATTAGCCATGGAGTGAGATCTTCTTATTACATTTTTTTAATATGTAAAATAATAAACAAAGTATAAGACACATTATTTACGGATCGACTTCATATCCTCGTCCCAGAGCAACTCGTTTCCTAGAATCATAACTTACTGCTAGTTTGTTATTATAGAAATTACTATATTTCAATGCATATTTCTCCTTATTATTCCTGTATGTCACTTTAGGTATTAATATTCAAAGAGTAAAATTTATACTTTCATCATATTTAGCTTTGGATAGTCAAGTCTAATTTGATGGATACATTGAATTTAGTATTATTGCTCATTTGGGCTGTATTAGAAGGGTTTCGTTTATCAAATGGATATAGCGGGAATATTAAAGAATAGGTATTAATTATCAATTAACTTAAGTTCCCAGAGTTATTTTCATTTGTGCTAATCACCATTGTATCTCTTGCTCTTGAAGTGATGCAGTATATTATTCCAACCCTAAATTATCCAATGTAATTAGGATTAGTAATAATTCAAACAGTTTTATACTTTTGTGAAATTATGATTGCTATATCATCTCTATGCACTTAAAATAAATCATAGTTGGCATTAATGAGTTTGAGAGTCCCCAAATCTGAGAATGATTATTAAATTAAGAAACGTATTGAAGTAATATGGATGTGTGAACATCTAGGATTTGAGAATTAAATAAGAAGAGAAGTAACGTTTAGTAGAACAAGAGCAAGAAAGATTGACGTATCAAAATAATTATTGAAATAATAATTCAAAGCTTCTAATATAAACTCATTTTCTTAATTAGCATTCTTTCTCTATCATTATATTAATCTATAATTTATTTTTGTTCAAGCTAATTTAATTTTAAAAGATAATTTTACCAATTTCTTTTAATAATCTCTATTATTTTGATCAATACTCTATTATAACTATTAGATTTTTTATTTGAATGATATTTCCATAGAAGAATATTCTTCCTTTAAAGCAGCTTCATAAGATTATTCAAACTCTTCTGTAGTTTTGTATTTAGCCACAAATCTTTTATATAAGTCATCCTATATTATATAAATTTTATCTCACTTTCTGATTCTTCATATTATCAACTTTTTTATTTAATTCTATGATTTCATTACTAGCATTAGTATATTTTTATTGAACTTCACTTAATTTCAATCCAAACTATAGATTTTCCTATATAATAATTTAAAAATATTTACATCTCTTAACATAGTAATAAGATTCTAATAACTATCTTTGACTTCATCAATTATTTTATTATAATAAGATGCAGGATTAGGAGGTAATTCAACTGTAATATGACTCAATTAACTTTAACTTAAAGTAGTTGAATTTGATAATTAATCTTATAATTTTTTGCATTAACTTTATAACGATTTGATTTCATTCAATAGTTTAATATTCTCATCTTTTAAATCATACAATTTTTTTTGTAAAATATTTTCACCATTTGATTGATTCATATCTCCTTTTTTCTAAACTAAATATTCAATAATTTCTAAATTCAAAAGACTCATTAAAAATCTATTTGGTAATATTCCTTAAGATGCTATTTTTTAGAAATAATTTGATTAGAAATTAGTAAAACATTATTCGTATTATAAATAATGTATACATTAAAGTTCTGTTATTTTATTGACATAGAAGTCAAAATTTTATATCATATTGTACAATTTAATTACAGTCTCATTTGCATCAGAACAATTACAAATTTGAATAACTCTTTAAGGATCTAAACATTTATCATTCATTTTAATATTTGAAATCCATTATTTTATTTTTTAAGTATGTGTTGAACTCAATCTAGATTATTGAATACCCAATTTATTTAGTTTTGAGATTTCATCTTCAATATTTAATAGATCCATCTTAAGTGAAGTTTAATATGCTTATTCACTCATTTCATATGGAATTATACTCACTATTTATTCTTAATAAGCACTCTATGGACGAAAAGAATGAGATGATCTTAATTTAAGTGTCTTAAAACCTGTTCCAGTTTTATTCATTTATAACATAAAATTAAAATGATCAAAAAGTATTTTAGTTTTGATTTTCAGGTTATTGGAAAAGTATAAGGTAATAAAGATCATAAATCATAATAGGAGTATATTTTAGAAAATTTACAAAAGAACAAGGAACTAATTTAGGATTAGTAGGATGGGTTGAAAATTAAAAAGATGGATCAGTCAAAGGAGTTGTTTAAGGTGATCCAAAAAAATGTGAAGAAATGTAAAATAATTTTTGATTATATAACTTTCTTAGGATACATTGGTTATCTAATGTTGGATCTCCAAAAAGCAAGTATTTGAATTGATTTTTAATTATAGAATTGAGAAGATGATCAAAACAAATGAAAGGGAAATTGATAAATTATAATATAAAGATTTCTCAGTTAGAGATGATAAAAAATAGAAGTGATTTTATAATATAATAATTTATGCCAAAATAAAACTTAAGCAACTACATTAAGTTTTTTAACTAAATAAATGATCTAGAGTAAAAAGGGCTTATTACATCTAAATAAAAGCATTTATTAAAGGTGAATCTGACTACTAAAGAGTATCAATTGAATAATCTTATATGCACAATCTATGATGAATAAGATTACTAGAGTGCCATTCTTTAATATTTACAAACAATAGAACCGTAACCCAAGATTAGATATCAATCTTCTGGAGAAAATGACAGTCCCATTAGATAAAGAAGAAGAGGAAACTCACTTTCAAGGGTATCTTAATTTAATGAGACAAAATTAATAGCATAGATTGATGAACTTAATGATCAACTAATGACATTATGGTAATCTGATTCATAATTTGTAATAATACTAAATTATTTATTAAGTATTTAAACCATGAAATCAATGATAAGCTTAGGAAAGTAGGAGAATTTATTACTAAAACAGCAACTTCAACACCTAGTAATTCATAGAAATAAGTAACTAACATATCTGATTCTAATTAAGTTATTGAGAATCTTTAATAACTATATAGGGATATGAAAGTAATATTATTTATTTTTTATTCCAGTAACATTTTAATGACTATTTGAGATGCCATATACTTTTAATGGATGATAAATTATCAACTGAACATTTAAATAATGTTTTAAGGGCATTTATGAAAAATTTGGTTGATGCTGATGAAATATCATTTATATATAACAATGAAATTTACACTTCTGAAAATGGTTAATTTAATGAAATAAATTTAACTGATTAATAGTAATTAGAAATTTAATCGATTCTAGAAGGTAATGTTATTGAGATATCATAAAATTATCCAGAAATAAGTTCATTATTTTAAACTACTAAATTCAAAGGAAATTATTTACTCAAAATATAAAATTCAACTTGTTTATTTTGTTTTCATTCTAAAGGAGAACATAAAATGATTATTGAATCTTTCCTTTCACTTTGCAATGAATATTAATTTTTTGATGAAGTTAATTAATTAGCATAATTTTTACTTGAAACTCTAAAATAAGCTAGAGTATAATGTTTTAATCCATTATAATTATCTCATATGATTCAAGATATAGGTATAGCATTTATAAGATGTTCTAAATATTTCTTTATTCATAAATCAATTTCCATTTTGAGTGAAAGATATAAAGTATGTAAGGATAATACATCTTTTATAAGTATGCATCCATTTGTTGAATTTGATTTTAGAGATTCCTTAAACTTGAGTATTCATATATGTTTTGATTTAAATAAAAAGGAAGATATGAATGTTTATAAATAACTTAATTTGAGTTTCAATAAATATTTAAAGTTTATTAAGTAATGTTATGATAGAACAACATTTTATAAATTTTTTGTAAAATCACAAGATTCATTGATATTTGAATTTGATAAATAAGGATAAATTACATTTGTTTCATAACCAATAACAAGTAAATTGGCAGAAGAATTTAATATTAATTTTAATCCTTAATTTTATAATGCATCCTATACAAGTATATTTAAGAATAAGAATTTGATTTAGCATATTGAAAATCAATTGTAAGATCAAAATAAATGGAAATTAACAGATAGTAATTCAACATATGAAGTATTTATGAAAATGGAAGAAAAATATTTTAAAGGATTTTTTGTAATATTTTAATAAGGATGGTTTAGATATAATTAAAAATCACTTGATGCAAATTAATGGTAAAAATTAAGAAAGAGTTTTCTTTAATAAGAAACTAATTAATATTTAGATAAATTAGAATAAAAACATCCATAATTGAAAAATTCAGTAGTGTAAATGTTTAAACCTAAGGCAACTTAAAAATAATCTTAATTCAAAAATTTCAGTCCAAGTTTTAGCCCTAGACATTTAGATTAAAGAAATTCACTTTAAGAAAGTGAAAGTATACGTTTAATTCCAAAAACTAAAGGGATAAATCATTTTTATCCAGATATGATCACAGAAACATGTATTGAAAATATTGATAATTTTGATTTTAATATACTACCTTATAGTGCTGATTGGTTAGAGAAATAGAAAGTAGTATTTTCAATATTAAGAAGAAATAATTTTATTGAAGATTATAAGATAAGTGAAGATGCATTATGTAGTTTTTTATGTGCACTTGAATATAAATATAATAAGAGAGGCAATCAATTTCATAATTATGATCATGGAGTAACAGTTATGTAATGTACACATGCTATAAGTTTGGAAATAATGAAAACTTAATATGCACATTTATTAAGTTAATTCACAAAATTTGCATTGATTCTATCTGGATTGTGTCATGATGTATCTCATACAGGAAGAACTAATATATTTGAGATTAATAGTTTATCTAATTTAGCTATTAGATATCATGATAGAAGTGTTTTAGAATAACATCATGCAGCAACTTCAATGAAATTGTTATGTGCTCCTGCAACAAATATTATTCCTAATTTTACATCATCTGAATTCAGAGAGTTTCGTAAACTCTTTATTTCCAACATTCTATATACAGATATAACAGAGCATTTTAATTTAATGAAAAATTTTGAAGCTAGAATCAAAGAACTAAATTTTGGAACTGAAGATGATATTAAATTAATGACAGGTATGATTATTCATACTTCTGATTTTACTGGTGGAGCTAAACCATTTAAATTAAGTCGAGAATGGAGTACAAGAGTAAATATGGAATTCTAGGAACAATATAGTTTAGAAGGCAAATTTGGTTATCCTCAATTACCATATATGAAAGATTTAGATTAAGTATGATAATCATAATCTTAGTTACCTATTATGGCCAAATCAGAAGTTGGATTTTTCAAATTCATTGTAAGACCACTTTGGTCCATCATGTCAAAGTTTACTGAAGACAGGTTACAATAAAGTGTTGATAATCTTGAACAAACTATTGTGGAATGGGAAAAGTTAATGATAAATTGATAAAATGTATTATTTTATTTAGAATTATTTCTTTTATATTGTGATTTTAAATATTTATTTTATTATTATTTATCATTATTTCATAGCAAGACCAGCTTCTGGAATGAAGACTTCTAAGATACTCTTCAATTCAGCATCATCTTATTTGCTTAATTCACCAGTACTAAAGATATTATTATAATAAATACCTTCTAATTCTTTCTAACATAGCTGGGAAATTTGTTCTGAGATGAGTGAGGAATTTCTCTTCGAATTTTGCAATTTCTGAAGTTTATACTTTATCCAAAAATCCTCTAACACCAGCATAAATAACACAAACTTATTCTTCAGCACACATTGGTACCTAAAATTTTATTCATATTAAAATTTACGTATTATTTTTATTTAAGTAATTCAGTTAATTAGGCACCTCTATTTAATAATTATTATGTGGCTGCATCTAAATCTGAACCAAATTAAGCAAATGCAGCTACTTCTCTGTATTAAGCCAATTCTAACTTAAGTCTACCAGCAACTGTCTTCATTGCTTTAATTTAAGCAGCTGAACCGACTCTTGACACAGACAAACCGACATTGATAGCTGGTCTAATACCCTAAATTTATATTATATTAAAAATTTACCTTAAAGAACAATTCTGTTTCCAAGAAAATTTATCCATCTGTAATAGAAATAACGTTGGTTGGAATATAAGCTGAGACATCACCAGCTTATGTTTCAATAACTGGCAAGGCAGTTAAGGATCCATTTCCATTTTCAGCATTAAGTTTAGCTGCTCTTTCTAATAATCTGGAATGCAAATAAAAGACATCACCTGGATAGGCTTCTCTACCTGGTGGTCTTCTCAATAATAATGACATTTATCTATAAGCAACGGCTTATTTAGAAAGATCATCATAAATAATAAGAGCATGCATTCCATTATCTCTGAAATATTCTCCAATAGCACAACCAGAATATGGTGCTAAATATTAAAGTGGAGCAGCTTCTGAGGCTGTGGCTGCAACCACAATTGTATATTTCATAGCACCAGCTTATGTAAGAATTTTGACTAAGTTAGCAACAGTTGATCTCTTTTAACCAATAGCAACGTAAATGCAATATAATTATTTATTCTTGTCACCAGAATCAAA